TTATAAATATAAACCATTAGCACAAAACTACTAAACATCAAAAACTATTTAGTTTTACAACTCGAGAAAGTACACAACGACTCTTACATCGGCAACTGTATCTATCTGGTATGTATTCGATACTCCTGATAGCGTTTAACAATAAAAAAAATATTAAGTAAGAATATAAATAGGTTATATTATATTTTACGATATTTTCATAGTTAAGATGATAAAGAGTAAAAGATTACATCAGAATAATGACTTATTCTGACGCATGCGCAATAGTCCGTAATTTTTTAGTTTATAAGTGAGTTTTTATTTTTATAAAAATAATTATAATATAGTAACACTTAAATACAACACAAACAAAATAAAAGAGTAAAAATATTTCGATTATGTACTTCCTAGCTTCTTCATCTGATCAGCTCCAGGGTGCTAAATTTTAATAGTAGGCTTAACCAAACTACATAATATTTACCTAAACAAAGACATTACCATAAAGATACGACAAGTATTTTAACATTAATAGGGAATATGCATTTTTTTTATTGCTTAAATTAATCATTTACATCTTTATAACATGGAAAAAAAATATAAATAGTCTTGAAAATAGTCAAATAATTTTTCATAGTGAAATTTAAAACATTGAATAAAGCCACCATTTAGCGCGCGCTTTTGATGACGTCGTTGGTTGTGTCCCGTGTTTGTTTACTATAGCGTTTTAGTTACTTCATACTTATTTTCAGTTTTAATTTCTATACAAATCATGGAAGAAATTAAAAAACCTTCTTACAAGTATTGTATGGTACCGAAGTGCAAAAACACTATTATCAGTACACCCGATAAAGTGTTTTTTCGTATTCCACGCGATGCGAAAGTAAGAAAAAAATGGTGTAAGATGATGAGAAGGGATAATGTATCTCCATTATCGGTTGTATTTTGTTGTGAAGATCATTTTAACGTAAGTATGCTATATTTATGTACAGCTTAGTGTGAATTAGTTATTAAGCAGTAGTCGATTCGATCTAAAACTAACCTAACCTAGTTTTGAAAAGTTCATTAAATGAGCTTGATTATTCCTATTGCGGTTGTATGAAATTTTGATGATTGATAATTCATTTAAGGTTAATATAACACAATGAAACAGAAAGGATAAAAGTGTGATCTACGGTTAAAGAAAGTTGTTACTCGTATATTTTTGTGTCAAGAACGTAATATAGCATACTACCACCAGCTGAAAGAATGGCCATAGTTAAAAGGCAAAGACTATCACTGGTAAATGAAGCTCTTTCAGAGTATGCTATCAAAGGTAGTAATATTTTAGAAATTGGTGAACCTTCACCAAAAAGTGATTACGAATCAAGTTCTAGTACGTCCCATACAAATGTATGTAATATTAATAAAGGAGGATCCAGTACGTCCCATACAAATGTATGTGATATTAATCAAGTAGGACCCTGTACTTCCCATACAAATGTCTGTGATATTAAATCAAGCAGGACCCAGTACCTACAGTACTCCCATACAAATGTGATACTGACATAATAAATGCATCTATATTCGGTAGATTATCCGATTGTGCTTTGACAAAACCAGTTTCTGTCATCGTCCTAGATTGACAACAAGTATATATTCACAAGTAATCACACAGGAATACACTTTTAAACATTTTTTCTCACAATCATTACTAACACAGTATGAATATCAACGCCGATAAATGTCGCGACGTGACCATTTACGTCACATTTCGTTTCGACCAATGGTGACGCGTTTTGTAAGTTAATTTAATAAATTAAATTATCGTTAATTTTCCTCCTGTATTTTTCACTTTCTATATATGTTTCGTTTCCAAAACGCCTAAAAAATCACCGTGTGATTTTTTAGGCGTTTTGGAAACGAAACATTTTAATTTGGAATCATCTATAGTACCAATAAAAATGATTAAATCAATTGTAATGTTGTCTAAAAAAAAGTTTCAGTTTTAATATTCATTTTTACTCGATCGACTTGGAAAGTAGTAATGGACTGATCGTTCATTCATTATCTTATATGAATGAAACACGTCCGTGGGCGTTTCGGCGGCCGCTGCGCACCGCCGACGCTAACAGCAGCTGACAAAAGTATACCTATAGGCGCGAGCTAGCGAGTACTTACGTAGATAGACTCCAATTTGTCCTTCATACTTTACACGGGCTTAGGATCGTCGGAAATACCTATTTTATTTAAACTTCTTTTCGATTATTAACCACGATTGTTCTTTTCACAACAAATCAATTTATCAACGGACTGTAGGTATAAATATTTCAGACGTTTTAATTATTATTCGCCGGAGTGTAGTGCGTGCATACCTGGACAATGAGCTTAGTGATCGGTGGATAGGTCGAGGAGGGCCAGTGCCTTGGCCACCTAGAAGCCCGGACTTGACGCCCCTGGATTTTTTCTTATGGTCGGAAATAAAAAGACTTGTTAATACACGGGAATATGAAAGCCGTGATAATTTACGCATTGCGATAGTGGACGCTTTTGATAAAGTGAAAAGTGATAGAGACACATTAAGAAAATTAAAAAACAATTGCATTAAACGTGGACGTTTGTGTATTGAATGCAGCGGACTCCATTTTGAGCAGTTCCTTCGATACAGAGAACTGTAAATAGTGTAAATAGGTATGTAAGTTAATTATTGTGTAGATAGCTCCGATTTTTTAAATACGCCTGAAATATTTATACCTACAGTCCGTTGATAAATTGATTTGTTTTGAAAAGAACAATCGTGGTTAATAATCGAAAAGAAGTTTAAATAAAATAGGTATTTCTGACGGTCCTAAGCCCGTGTAAAGTATGAAGGACAAATTGGAGTCTATCTAAGTAAGTACTCGCTAGCTCGCGCCTATAGGTATACTTTTGTCAGCTGCTGTTAGCGTCGGCGGTGCGCAGCGGCCGCCGAAACGCCCACGGACGTGTTTCATTCATATAAGATAATGAATGAACGATCAGTCCATTACTACTTTCCAAGTCGATCGAGTAAAAATGAATATTAAAACTGAAACTTTTTTTTTAGACAACATTACAATTGATTTAATCATTTTTATTATTACTATAGATGATTCCAAATTCAAATATTTCGTTTCCAAAACGCTTTCAAAATCACCGTGTATATTTTTTTTTAACTAAATAAAAAAAATACCTTTTAGGTATGATGTAAAGACAATAAAGAATCTAGAAAAAAATATTTAAGACCAATTTAAATTTTATGCATATTCCCTATTGCCAAAATTTGTTCATTTAGGTACAAGAAGTTATTAAAACTGTTTTAAAAAAACTGACTTGGTTTATCAATAGACTGCCATGTAGGTATCTTATTATTTTAATATATAATATAATATATTCTATCACATTCACACAACGCCATCCAGTCCCAAACTAAGCAGAGCTTGTACTATGGGTACTAGACAACTGATATAAATACATATATACTTTTTTTTTGTAAATATATACATATTATACATAGAAACACCCAGACCAAATCAAACATTAAATGTTCATGCACACAAATGTTTGATTTGAGCGGGAATCGAACCCGCGACCTTTGGAATAGCAGTCCTTTGCACAAACCATTATGCCATCCAGTCGTCTAATATCGTTCTATTATTATAATCTATAATTACAATCTATTGGTTCCGTTTGCTACAAGTAGTAAGTATAGCTGATATCTTGTCTTGTTTTGTCTTTGCCACGACAGTGCACGTTTGATAAAGAAGTTAAGCGTATCAAACATCATTTATATTTTTAATCACAATGTACCTACATAATCTTCAGATTATAGTATACTAGCGATCCGCCCCGGCTTCGCACGCGTGAAATGCGAATACTACTAATGTGGTGTTAGTGTGGAGTAGGTAATTAATTATACTATTATTATGATAGGACTATACTGCTGGACATCTTTATATGCAATATTTATAGGCTGCCAGATCCTGCTGAACGCTGCCACCCGCGACGGACTTACGGCTCGAAGCGGTGACGGCTGCTTTGCAACCGCATTTTATATATATATATATATATAAATATATAACTTCTAATATCTTCTAAAATATTCATTTCAATGATGTGCTGTAGAGAGCAATTGTAATCTACATTAAATAATATATTGTTTAAAACAGTTTTGTAATTAACTCGTTTTTTTTCTGTAATATTTAAAATATAAAAATGGTTACTGTTTGTTATCCATCAAGGACTTTTTGTAGATATTGTTAAGATACTCGTAAACGAGTACAATTCCGTAGTACATTATTTTGTTATTGATACGCCACAAAAACTCGATGTACGGGTGTTTTTAGAATAAGCGTTATAGTTCTTTGAAATTAAACAGGTTGTAAAATAAACTAATAAAGGAAATACTAAAGAAAGTCACAAATTTCTATTCAAGTTTCTTTTTCTCAGACTAAAACTTTCAATAATTTTGTGATGAACGCAAATATGTATAGACACTTAGTATCAACAGCATCTCCAATTATGCACATCACATAAGTGATAATAAGTAGGTATACTTAGGCGCAGACTGAGCGCTTTCCAAGGGAAGGGGCCTTGCAATTAATAAAAAAACTCGTAATACACACACAGGAGAGCCCAGGAGAGGGGATGATTACTATAAATTATATTGATAACAGTGGTGTTTCCACCACTGTAATCACTAAATCCTATAACTAAAAATATTAAAAACTGATGACGACTAAAACATATTTAAAGAGTAATGACTATATTGTGAAATTAAAGCAGGTAAACAAGAAATGGCCACAAGTATATTTAACAGGATATATGTAATAGAACGAAAAGACGAAAATCGATTGAAGTGGTTCGCGGTTCGTGCGATAGGCTGATGACGATGATGATGATGAGATGAATTATCCTAATATTTTCAGGCGACATGGTATCAGGTGACTTTGCCTTATAGGGATTAATTTTGGGGTATTAGTGTTCAACAATTGGTAACATTTATACAAATGTCAATAATAGTCAATATGTCAGGTTTATTGACAAATATTCACGAAACAGCTGGCGCGGTGAAGGAAGCCGGGAGAGCATACTTAGTTTCTGGAAATTATGAATACTATCATTATTTCTGTGATGGTTTTGATGACAGAGTAAGGTTTTGAAACTGTACATATAAATTTGTTATATCGTAAAATATTAGATTTTGAGGTTATATTACTATTCTTGTTTAGGGTTGGGGATGCGGCTACAGGACTTTGCAAACAATTTGTTCCTGGATAAATAATAATCAAAACAACTGCGTTAAAGTTCCTTCTATTAGAGAAATTCAAGATATGTTGGTACAACTAGAAGACAAACCTCAGTCATTTTTGGGATCTAGGCAGTGGATTGGTAGTTTTGAAGTAAGATAAAAAGTAACTTTACTTATATCATATAGCTTAAATTTTTATTTTCGGAAGGGAATGACTAAATCTTGAGTAATGTTAATAACGACTGTTAATGTAATCTTGTTTAATAACGACTGGAATTGAAACCTTTAGATAAGCAGTTAAATTCCAGTTGTTATCCTTTTATGTTTCTTTTACCTTATTACACTAAGAGCTTTAAATCTTATCTTTGTACGAAACATTGATTTCCAGTCATGCTGCATGGCAATTTGTAATCTGCACTAACTTTTAGAGAAGACATGTATGTAATTTCTTAAATCTCTTTAAATTACCTTTTTTTCTAAAGTGCACCAATATCATCCTTTTTCTGCATCACCCAAAAGTTTATGTAACAATGTTCTCGTCTACCGTTTCTGTTTTGTTACAGGTATGCCTAATTATAGACAAGTTATATGACATTCCATGTAAGATTATCCATGTTAACAAAGGAGATCAATTGAATACTATAGTGGATGCACTAGTTCATCATTTTGATAAGTTTGCTAGTCCTATTATGATGGGAGGTGATGTCGATTGTGCATCAAAGGGTATTATGGGCCTGCATATTGGTCAGAAGGATCCTAGCTTGTTAATTGTAGTAAGTATAATATTAAAGTAGTTCTTTAACAAAAACATCAATACCATTACTAACTTATTGCATAAAAATGAAGTTAGGATAAATTAGAGTTCTGGGTAACAGGCATTTGAAGTATGCAACACAGCTATTCTTCTTTTGCCTACCCTTCTTACTTACCTTTCTCTTTCTTAATGCTTCTAACTTTTCCCATCTTAGACAGCCCTGCTGACAGTTTTAGTAGTGAGAGCAAAATTTAGGTATACCTTTATCATAAACTCACTCACAAACAGTTGCCTCATTACTGCATTACTGACACAGAACTGCTGAATGTATGAAGTTTTAGTGTTAACACTGCACAATACCAAAAATTCTGAACCATTTTTTTTTAAATTGCAAAAAATCTAATAATTTATAATAAATCTAAGTCCTTCATAAGTATTACCTCGTGACAATATGAGAATGGGATCAAATAGATTAGGATCAATAGGATCTTATTTTAGTAGGCCCCCCATTTCTGAGTAATGGAAGTAACATGTAAAACATACATAAAAAAATAAAACTAGATTCAGACCAATTTTCAACTTTCTACTTTTTTTTTAAGTTAGATAACCAACACAAGAGCCGGCTTAGTGAGCAAACTACGCAGGACAACGGCACTGCAAAGAGAAGGAAAACTTGGAGCAAACCCTATACCAACCTGTGTGGCAAGAGTGATATAGTAGGCCAAAACCTCCTTTCTAAGGAGAGACATATGTCCAGTGGACTAGTAAAGGTTGTTGATGTGATGATGTGTAGTGAAATAACAAAAACTGCTGATTTTATACAAGCAAATACAGCAACAGCTAACTATTGTACTTTGCCAACAGGGCTGTATGTAAAAAAAAAACTACCTTTATTATTACCATAAGACCAAATCAACTTTTTTCTTAATATAGAACATGAATTTTTACCTTAAACAAAAATACCCTTAAATAAATACTTTTTTTTTTAAAGATACTCACTATATTTGTTGCAGGATCCACATTATGTTGGCACCATAAAAACAAAACAATTCTTATTCAACAAAGGCTTTGTGAAGTGGCAGCAATTATCTGACTTCTTAGACTCATCTTTTTACAATTTATGTTTACCTCAAATAAAAGCTAAGTCTAAATCATGAAAGTGATTGTAAGTTTTAGAATGTGAGAAGGCCTGTTGAGTCATTTTTGTTTCAAAGGCATTTTTGTAATCCTAACCTAATTAAAACATATGTATACATGATGAAACTGTAATGTATTCATTTAAAAAAAGATCATCCATATTAAATTACTATCTTGTCCTGTTTGTGAGATTAAATATTTAGAAATACTTTCTTTGTAAAAGGAAAGGCTTAGACTGTGTGAATAATTCCTTGACATGAATAAACTTCCAAAATAAAAATAACGAAATGTATATTCTTCCGTCTAAATTATGAAAGATATCTGTAGTGTATAATAATTAAAGTAAAAATAAGAAAAACACTATTCAGCCTTTATTTCAAATATTAACATCTAAGTACAAAATCTTAATATGAGATCAATACACAATACTGTAATAAATGACTAGAGATTATTATATAAACAAAATTAAATATTTTATAGGGGTCAGGAGTCCGTTTTATATAATTATAAAACTTGGTTTACGACAGAGCTAGAGTTAAAACTTCATAAAATGAAGGATCATTATAAATTAGACTTGCAACGAATAGTATATTCGGCAGTATACCGAATACCGAATATTCGGCGAGGCCCCTGACCGAATAGCCGAATATTAGGCAAAAGTATTCGGCTGGATTTTAGCGCCAAAAACTTGTACAGACGTGAATTAAATTATGTACCTGTTTTATGTAACAATGACTACTTAATAAATGATTATAAAAGAAATGAGAACCTTACCCTTCTAAATTTTGATTACCACAATAATTCAAATACATAGAATCCTCCATTTTTCCAATTCAGAAGATGATTATGTACCTGTGTTATGCACCAATGACTACTTAAATGATTATAACAGAAATAAAAATATGAATATATACGTAATCAATCGATTTTAATTTTTCATTTTACCAATTATTTCTCAATGACAAAATATATTATTTAAGTATTCGGTATTCGGCCGAATAATATGTAGATATTCGGTATTCGGCCGAATATAATAAAAGCAGCCGAATAGGCCGAATACCGAATAGTAACCGAATATTCGTTGCAAGTCTATTATAAATTGAATTGTTAACTTTTTTGGCCAAGTTTTTAAATCTCTGAATCAAGCTTAATGTTTGATTCTTCATTAGTAATTGAGTCAAATATAAAATGGGTGGTAAGATTAGATAAATATCAGTCAGTTGATATACATATCTATTGAAACAGTCTTCGTTATATTCAGTTATTGTAATGGTCATAATCACAATTGGTTAAATCCACGTTATGTTAAGATAACTTAATAAGTCGAGATTTAGAGGGCCTATTGTAAGTTTATTTCACTTTTACTCGATTGTCGCGGTGACCGCGTTGAGCGTTGCGATTGACTCGAACTAAAACTCTTCACAACGTCGGACGCGGTCACCGTGACGATTGAGTAGCTGTCAAATAAGCTCACACTTGGCCCTCACTCTTAGACACGCTCAGTAAAGGTGCATTTGCATCTATTCTATAGCTAATATGTTGAAAGCAACACTGTTGCGGTTTGTTGAACATGTCTCGGAACAGAGCGTCGACCGTTCTAGGAACTTGTTGCTTTTCTATCCACATCTGGTGCGTTCGTTCAACAATATTGTTTCTACAATTTTTTTTTGTCGTTTGGGAATTCAGGGAAATAATGAAAATAATATAATATATATCACTCACACACGGCCGTCTGGTCCCAAATTACTATGGTAACCAGACTGCTGATTAACATACTTATATATTTCTAAATATATATATAAATATACATATTACAGATAAAGCACACCCAGACACAGAACAAATTATCGTACAAATGATCGTGCTCATCACACCATTATTTGTCTAATATTATAGAAATGACGAAGTGCTTTGAAATATATCCCTAAGTGAATATAAAGACAATTAGATAAAGAAGACGCTCATTTAAAACTAGCCAATTGGCACGAGTGTCCAGAAGAAATGGTAAAAAATAAAAAATAAATTAGAACAGCATTCCAAAGAAAACACCAGAGAATAACCGGAAAGACAAGTGGATTTGCTATAGATACATCCAAGAAGTGGTTTGCCTACGAGAGAATTTTTATTTTTTCAGATTTTCTTTTGGACGTCCATACACCTGGAACTGGATGTTCCAGCATTTCGCAAGAACATAAGTTTTATTTGTTGTTTTTAACATACGTAGTACAATCAAGTGTAGGTAAGTTTTATGTAGTGATAAGCGGTAAAGAACCCTGGCTACTAAAAACAACCTCATACTTAAGTTTCCACGACCGTCTTTTTTCTCTTTTCTTTCCGAGTACCTTCAAAACAGTTTTTTCCGTAGACATGACAGGAGACAACTGTAAAACGTATGTAAAAAGAAAGTGTCGTATCTGTTGCTGATCAATGTTGACCATAAAACATTGTTGAAAACTTGCATACGACAATCTGCTGCTTCAACTAGTTATTGACCTAGACCACCTTAAGTATAATAATTAGATGCATCAATCAAAACAATAAAAATATCTTCTAAGTGAGATCTAACAATGTAAACAAATCTTGGGATTGAATTTGAACTGTTGAACTGTGAACTGTTGCATCGATAGGGTAGGAACATCATAGTTTGGTATCTTAGCGCCAGCAGTTTTATAGTAAAACTCTTTCGTTGTTCTCTCTCGCGTTTCATATGACTTTTAACGTTCAAAACAGAGTGAGCCTTTGTTGACTTGGGTCTGATGATGATTGTAAAACTATTAGTCAGTTATCAGTTTACCCATTAATCGCCATTTTTAACTTTCCGAAACTAATTGATTAACAATAAAATGTAAGCAGTCTAGTGTGGTAGTCAGTTATTGATATTTTGTCAATCTAGATAAGTCACCGTACTTGTGTATAATTAGTATTTTTTTTAATTCCTCAGGCGTGTTATTTAGTCTGTATTAAGTGTAAGACAAACGCCTTGTAAAATCCAATGGCTGATATGTTCGGCCGTCCACAGGTCAGCCTCGAACACAAGGCCCACCCCCATCGCATTGCGGCGTTGTGATGTCGTATACACTGGCGTACGTAGCGTGTTCTGAAAATACAGTACAATTGTTGTCTAGTAAATAGAAGTTAAGACGAATAATACGGGACATTTTCACTTTGGTTTCCCCAACAGTGAAAATTCCTAATAAATGTATTTTATTCTTAAAATAAATTTATTAGGAAGTAAGTCTATTATAAAATTGCTCAATAAAAGGCAACTATGGAATGAACTTATATGAGTATGCGAAACTACTTTGCAGTAGTTTAAACCTCAGTGCCGTTTTCCAACCGAGCCTTAAATATTCTTAACTCGCTTATTTTAAACATTTTCCATAGTCTAAATTACCTCCTTCTTTTACCCCGTCTGAAAAATATTGCCTACATTCCCAAAAAAGGCTGGCGTCAAACAGGCGGCCAGCCATATGAACAACTAGGTACACCAAAACAGTAGCAAATCGCGATGATAAAAAATATTACGAATATAAAGCATAAAATGTAATAATGCCACTAAATATAATTCCATTACCTGTAACTTTAGCTTATGAAATTCTATCGGTATAATATACATGATGGGTAGTTCAGTGACCAGAACTTTGGGGTGCGAACGCCTCAGGCAGCCTTCTTCGAAGTCCCACCGGCAACCCTCCAGGTACAACCCACGCACGTAACAGCCCTGCCAAATAATTTTAAACATAAACCTAACGGTATAAAAGTAATGAAACTTATTTTAAAAGGGAATTTAAAGCTATATGAAAATTTAAAATTAACCATGGTGTGAGAGTGCTATATAGTAATACTTTTGTTGCAAGAATGAAATAATCTTCTGAGAAGTTGTGTAAAGATCGATAGCGGATGGGAACGTGCCGAAAGTTTTCTGTCTGCTTACCATGAAGAGGGCTGTATGCTAGAGGCAAATCTAGCGAAATGGAGTCAACCAAAAAATTGTAAGCGTATAGTTAATGCGCCTACATTTTTTTATTACGACACTATTTACGTTTACATTAATCGCATACGATCGCCAGCCCCCTTTTTTTTTTTTACCGACCTTAAATGGACTACTGCGTAAATACTGCGTAAAATAAATAATTAGCACCTTTGTACCTAGACGATCTAGTTAGAATTCCATTTTTATGAAAGCGAAACGAAAGCAGTTATAAAGGCACGTTTAAACATAAGCGTTTTCGCTGTGTCGCTCAGGTAATTAGTATGAAGTTCCACTGCTACAGCGAAATAGTTGGGATCATAAAACGCGGGCGCCGCATGGTATTCCGTATATACCGCAAGCCGACAGCGAATACCGCTCAGGTGTGAATAGGCTGTAAATTGAACACGTATGCGCACTCAGTGGATAACTTTTGGCAGTTGTTGAACACGTCCTAAGAAATAAATTATTTTATCAAATTTAGATGATTTTTAAAACAACGTACAGTGGTAGGTCGTTCTTCTATTTCATCCGGGTGTGACCACTTGGTGACTCTCGTGAACTGCGTGGAGCGATCGAGCGGCCACGTGTAGAGACGACAGGCGATCTGTATGTGCGCAATCAGGTACGACTCGGGAATTTGCAGTCCAGACAACCAGATCACTATTGGCTCTTCTATGGTGGCCTGGCGAATACCGCGCAAATAATAACTAGATATAGTGATAACACACTAATATTAATTTAAATAAGTCATTGGTTATATACATTGGGTATATAAAGACTTTTTACAAAAGAAACTGTTTAATACCTTGGAAACCTACTTTCTAAGAAAATAAAGGCTGTTGATAATGATATAAAGATTGTTATCGAGTAACACTTCCGGCCTCACATAATACGTGAGCCATTATTTACGAACTAGTTCAGGTACATCCTAATAATTAGGCAATATATAGAACTTATTATTGTTTTATAATATAATTAGTAATTTTGTAATCAAGTAAATAGTTGATTCATTTATACTTATAATATTTTATTGGCGCTTTCCGCTTGACAGCTTCCGGCGCAATAAACCTTTAATGTTATTTATGTTATATAATTTAATATTATTTAATAATAATTGTACGTAAATAATCAACAGGATAATTAAGATAAACAATGTTACCTATTAAGTTTGTATTAAAATAGGTCAAGATGATTGTATAAATACCGACGGTTAACATATTTCGGGCATTCGTATTCTACCCGTCCTAACGTGTATTAAAGAGAATATATTATTTCGTGTGGATTTAAAGTGTCTTAATTGTCGCCGCCACCCTGATAATCATTTTACAAGATATTGCGTGGCACTCGTGAATACTATTGCAAATACGGCATTGTCAATATATGTGTGTGTTTAGTAATATATCTAGCTTATAAAGTTATTATTATTCTGAGGGTGTTTTTTTTTACTTAATAACTCACACGGCAGCATTTTTGGCAATCTACATCTTCTAGTAAATGGCAGGTCTCAAACACTCTTAGATTCTAAGGGGTTGAAGCATGATGTTTTAATAAGTAATATACCATGCTTTAATAAATACTTAATCCTATACAAAAACAATAATTCAAATTTCACTGATAGCTCTACAGATCAGAGCGTTTAAACTCACACAAAAAAACCGTTTAAGCTTTTATTAATATACGTAGGTACTTTAATATATACATACTTACTAAACATATAGACACGCAAAGTTCTACATTTTGTTAGAGAAAAATGTTAAGAGTATAAAAATGGTGTACCCAGTCCGTATATTGCTTAGTTCTCGAGATGAAGTGGTCCATCCAGCCGCCGAGGTTCTTGCACGTGTCGGGTGCCAGGCCGCGCCACACCTGCGGCAGTTGCCCGTTGAACAGGCTGTACGACACGTTGTCTAGTACGGCGTCCATGCCGATCTCACCCGCCAAGGCTTTCCGGAGCATTGATAGTGTTGAGCCCATACGTTTTACGAGCCGGTTGAATCTGTAACAATAGTCGTACACGATTCAATTTGTTTATTCCTCATACAATAAAAAAGTTAACAATATTTTAAAAACGATTCGATGGACGAGTCTTTCACAGAAAAGATGATTAACATCCTGAAACTTTCAATAAAATAAGACCATTGTATTCATACATTATATAACCGCCGCAAACAGATGTGGACCCATTCTTATTTGCAATACAGCAAGTAAACAATTGCGAAAAAAAACGAACAAATATCAGTGAAAATTACTAAGTAATTGAGGATTATTGGGTTATTGCAAATATTTGAAATAAATTCTTCTTTTCAAGTATCAATCGACCCACTTCTCTAATCACAAATCCTGTTTACCAATAATAATAATATCTATTTCTCATGTTCCATACACTTAAATCATAAAATATTACCTCTCCAGCTCTTGTAGCAATACGACAAGCGTTGGAGTTATATTCATTTCGAATTGTTTGCGTACGCGCCAGATCTCGAATTCAGGTGGCAATTTCGACATCACATCTACGGCTGCAATATCAATGAACTCTTCGCGAGACATCGCGCCACCAGCCTCACCTAGAAACAGACGTCGAAACTGTGTATTATACCTATGTACATATCAACTGTAGTACAATACCTTCGGTGTGTTACAGTCAACTTGGATTTATTCTGGGAATAAAAGTGGTAGATTTCTAGTAGAAGATTCATATTTGATATAAGTTAGACATTAAGGTTAAAAAAGGCTAAGCAAAATTTAAAATGTAGTAGATCGACTACCGTAATAGAACACTGTATTTATTTGTATTTTTTATTTCTAGTTGTTTAACCTAATATAAATGACCACCGCACTGTTTTGACACACCACTTTTCCTAAAGCCTTCTATTTCTTATCATAAATCAGGTGCTAATATATTGTGGCTACTCCCACATACAAAGGAACAGAACATTTCATCAGAACAGACATACTACAGCGCCATCTAACGAAGAAACACCGAACTACGGAGTAACTACTAAATAAGAATTGCTAATTCTGTATCGCGATATGAAGAATTCTCTGGTCGATTGGCATATATACAACTTCCCAACATCAACCTAACCTGGTCGGAGGATCCTCCCTTTGTGTTGGAGGGACATGACGACACCCGTTCCTCCACAATATAATTATGTGCATTTTGATATTAAATACAACGTTTAGTCCTTGCAAATACTATGCGTTAAAGCGTTTCTGCTACAGACATAGAAACGAACACAGCTCTCCCATGGAGTGCTATTCACAATACGATTATTTTTAACTATTTTGTAAATTTTGGAATATTTCTGTTTGTTGCAGATTTCAAATAGATTTAACCTTTCTCGGAACTCATCGAATCTCATCCCTGGTGCTTTGCGGGAGGGCTAGAATCTTGGTGTAATAAAGATATAGTAGTGGGAATGTCGATGATATTAATCTCAAACAAATAATGTTCAAAAAAGTTAGGTATAAAAGTTAGGTAATTTTAGTATTTCTTTCTCATAGTTTAACGGTTAAACATCATCATCAACAACAGCGTTTAACAGTCCACTGCAGGACCACGCTGCCCAGTCGGGTTGGTGGTCTTGTTTGTCACTTCCCTTTACCACACGGACACGGTTAACCATACCAACCAACAAATAAGACAACGATTTCATCATCATCATCATCATTTCAGCTGAAAGTCGTCCATTGCCGGACATGGGCCTCCCGAAGGCTCTCTACTACAACCCAGTTGTTTTAACATATGTTTTATGGTTATATATTTTTTGTTAAAGAAATCTTACCTTTTGTTCCTTCTAGCGGCAAAAATGATAAAAATGAAATTTATAGAGCACATCAATTTCATAAGCATATTGTTATACTAGCCACTTTTGTAAATAGTATAAAATGAAGCCGCTTTTGGTTCCTGTACGCTTAGATCTTTCAAACTACGCAACGGACTTTTTTGTAGTTTTTAACATGAGAAAGAGTCATTCCAGAGGAAAGTTTTTATGTATAAGACATGCATATTATTATAGAAAAAAATTGAGAATTTCAAAGATTTGCAATGTAATGTCGTAAAAGACATGTTTGTTTGCGCTTACATTGTAAATGCAGGCTAAACCTTACGACATAGATTTAAATAATGTACTACGGAATCGTATGTCTCAAAACGATCTACAAAAAAGGCCGCGATGTTATATGTCTATCTCCTAAGGATAATAACCCACAGTAACCATGTTTATCTTTTATAGGCCGTTTACACGCATGGCGAGCCTCGACAAGTGTCCACAACCACAAGCGTGTAAACAGGGTGTTTGGCTCGGCTCGCGTAGGCTCGTCGCCCATCGGTACTAGTGACGGTTTTTGAACACAGATCAAAGGAAGCTCGCGGCAAGTGTTTGCGATGTATTTAAACGTTGGCACGTGCCTGTTACCTACTGCTCAATTTGATATTACAAATATTGTAGTTGAGCAGTCGGGAATCAACATTAAGTCTCAATGCTCTACTGATTGAGCAGTTTAGTTGAGCAGTAGGGTTAGAGATATTATTTTTTGTTTAGTGCCGCCGTTTATATTTTGAATAAAAATATGTCCACATCTGCTATGTTTGCCTGTCCGGAACACAATAGCACACTCGCAAGCGTGTAATTAGCATCTGAGCGTTTGTAAAGTCTTGGAGCTTATGGACGTTTGCCAAGCCTCGGCACGCATGTAAACTAGGCATTACATATTACAAAAATATGGGTTATTTACAAAGCTATTAAAAAAAATATTAGTATCCAACTAAATACGTTAGATACGTTGTGCATTTTACATGTAGACCAAAATTTCCCTTTACAGCATTTCTTTAATCAAATATCTTAGAAGATATCATAGATTTAAAATGCGGGAGCAGAGCAGCTGTATGGCCGTTACGTCCGTTCATATATACGCTACGAAAAGCTACGAAATTCCACACATTATCGCTTTAAACAAACGACAAACTTTGATATAAAACAATGGCGTTGTACTGCCTCTGCCAATCCCAAACTTACTTGACAAGCAGAATTACCTTAATAAAAATGTTTTTGTAAACGCAGTAATTTTTTATAATACTTGTGGTGAGTGTTATGGAATACGCTGAATATATCATATCATAATACCCTACTCTACCCTAGTGATCATATAAATACTTACTTTTTGATATAGTTACTAAGGCAGCGTGAAAAAAAAAATCTTTCATCAATAAATCTTATGATAAATATAAATTATTTTCATTTAGTAATCTATAATTTTGTAATGTGTGTGATTGGATACTGTTACTGTTGTAAGACTATATTTTTACTTCTTTGTTAAATTTAAGATTATGTAATAATAACCATTATGTTTTCTGCTTATTGTAATCAAAAAATATACAAGGATAAGATCGTATTTACTATAAGGCCGGGTATCATACGTTTTACTCAATATTAATTAATTATTTTTTCTTTAAATTTTCCTTTCGTTACATCTCTTAATTTATTCTTGCTCAATATTTTGTAGTGATACAAATTTAGGTATTTTAGAAAAACATTACCTTTTAAGATATGTAATTACACCCAGTATCTATAGCTGAAGATGAAAAAGATAATTTTCTTTCTCTTTCTGGTTAGTTATTGGATCTTTTACATGATACGTACTGGTTTGTGGTTGCAGCTCTATGAGATGTCCCCACATCATGCGCACAGCCTGACTGAAGTATCCGATCTCGGCGTTGGGATGTAGGCCGAATACCTCCGGCGTGTTGGCCAGCGGCAATATGTCCAGATAGTCTAAATAGCAAAATTATGTTTGCATGAGCTAAAAGGATTAATCGTATGATGTTATTTGATAATCGGAAGATACACATACTTACATTAACAATATATAAATAAACATTTGAAATATACATACATAAACAATTATACATTGTATGAAAAATTAAGATACAGTGGCCTCGTTAAGCTGTATTGATAATAATAATAGACTTTATTATCAAACCATAGGCAATACACATTATTTTACAACTTTTGAATATCATACAATCACAAAATAAAACATTAAGGGACCCTTTAGACCAAATTTTGCTTCCATTTCGCATGTTGTGTTTTCAGATTAGCCGTTAGAGAGCCATGCTAATTGCTCGCCATGATTCAGCACATTTGGAGCAAATACGCGATTACACGTGATCAACTTAGCTATGAAATCACAAAGATATAAAATTTAGTTATGAAGTTCTAACGCGGGACAAATGTACTGTCGGGTAAATAAAAAGCAAATGTTACCAAAGTATTCGTCTCTGTCGCCGTCCGGCGGTATGATGTAATCGAAGGCTGAATCGTGATAGAAATGGAATGGCTGGAACTTGTCGAACAGAAATTCTCCGAAGTATTCCTCCATGTAAGTAGCCACTACGCGCCGGTCGAAGTCGTCTATTACGCGCCCACCATACATTACCTGGTATTTCAAGTTTAACTTGTTGTTACAAACACTACTTAGTAAATAGGAAATTGGAGAGTAATATTTTAAAAACGGGGGGGGGGGGGGGTTAGGGGTAGGAGTGTGAAAAATACTTTAAGACCTATTCTCATGCATAACAAGTATTAAAAAACAATTGGCCGAAGGAGCGCGAACACAAACACCGCAACCGAGATATTTATATATTAACTTTATACAGTGCAATATAGCTAGAAGGTGGTCTGACAACCTGGAAAAGGCCGCGGCAACCTATCGGATGCAGGTAGCACAGGACCGGCAGTTGTGGCGAACCTTGGGGAAGGCCAATGCCCATCACCTAGCGACGGCACACACACGCGTCAAGTGTGAAAGTCGTTTTGACTGCAGCGGACTTTTTTTCAGCAGCATGCTCTGCCGCCCCTCACTAGCCAGCGTGTGCGGCGGGTAGTAAGTCCGCCAATCACCAGATGGGGCAGGGAGGCTGCAAGCGGACCAGTAATGGACCAAGTCTCCAACCTCTTTGTCCAGACGAACCTGAACCACTGTGCCGCTGCGCAGGACCTCTTCCTGTAAACCATGGCCTATTATGTTCCTTCTCGTCCAAACTGGTTGGGTGACTGGGACGGCACCGTGTCAGTCGTCGGCTCGACGGTTTATGTTGCTGCCGAGTGGAGGGAGGGCCATATATGGTGTTTACTTCTCCCGTAACCGGAGCTTGACCGGCTTTGAAGTTTTCCTCAACAATTTGGAGACCTTGATGCGGTGACTAGCGTTTGGTTACTTGCTGGGGGAAATCAACGCAAAATCTGTTGCTTGGGGTTCCCCCAGGACGGACGCAAGGGGCGAGGCCGTAGAGGAGTGGGCGGCCTCAGTGGCCTCTGTCTTCTAAACAGAGGCGCCACCAACACGTACGTGCGACAGCAGGGGGTTCGATAGTGGACCTTTCGTTCGCTACCCGTGCCCTCGCCTCACGAGTAAGGAACTGGCGTGTCTTGGAAGAGGTTGAGACGCTCTTAGGTCACCTGTATATCCGATTTGAGCTCTCCCGGACCCAGGACCCCAGTCGGGGTCATGTGGCGAGGAGCTTGACATGGGGGCTGGTCGCTTTCGCGATGCGATAACGCAGATCTGCGATGCGGCCATGCCCCGCATCCGAGGTCGTCGACCTCTAAGGAAAGAGGTTTACTGGTGGTCCCAAGAGTTGGCGGACCTCCGCGCGGCCTGTACTCGTGCCCGGAGGTTCTACACCCGCAGTCGGCAGCGATACCATGGAGATTATGATAATAAGGCGTGCTAAGCCGCGGGTAAAGCCAGCAATAATGTAAATTCGAAAGTAAAAATCTTAATCTTACGTGTTCATGCCTGCGAAAATACTTGAAACGAAAGAACGACACAATATCGAGAGGTCGTATTTTATCACGACAGATCATACACCAATTAATGCACCTATTAATCATATTCATATCTATATGTAATGTTTATAAGATACCTACTGGTCATGTTTAGAGGACTATCGGTGCGTGCACGTGTCCATGTTGTTTTCATAAGAAAACTTTGGCATTAAACCCTTTACAGTAAGAACTTCATAGGATCATTCATTCTAATATTATAAATGCGAAAGTGTGTCTGGCATCTGTCTTTCTGTCCGTATGTCGGTTACCTCTTCACGCTTAAACCGCTGAACCGATTTAGATGAAATTTGGTATAGAGATAGTCTGAGTCCCGGGAAAGCACAAAGGGTAGTTTTTATCCAATAAATCATACTTTAAGGGGATGGAAGTTTGTAGATGAAATTTGGTATGGACATACTTTGATTCTTAAGGAAAGACATAGACGTCTTTTACAGCGATAGCCGACATACACGACAATGGAGCCGCGGGAATAAGCTAGTTTACTATAAATTTTAATTATCATATATAGGCCCTGTTCTTTTTATAGTATAGGGGGCAAACGAGCAGTCGAGTAACCTGATGGTAAGTGACTACTATTGCTGATGGACACCTACATTATCCTCCCCTAGAACTAAGGCGAGGGGAGGTTTGGAGCTCCGGCAACGCTACTCTCTTAGTGAAAAGAAACAAAACAAATGCTTAAGACTGCTTTCTGGAAGGCCGCTGTGTCACCGGTATTTGATTTGAGAACATCGATATGAAAGCTCCAGAAATGGAATCTATGACTCTGTGATTGAAAACAAACTTAAATCTTTCACGGGTTTTGGTTTTATTCCAGTACTATGGTGAATATCTAAACCAAACTCTGTTCAGATAATAATGATTAATTATACTGTTATTGATTACTAATATAAACAGTATTTAGAATATATATATATATATATAGGGTCGGGTCAAACACAGTTATTAAGTGATAATAATGTGTATATAAACTCGTATACTGGTCGGTTTGCCACTCACATTTGGATCGCCTCATAGTTTTACGTTTAGAAAATAGTGAGTAAAAATGATTTTTAAGGTTAGTTTTTTTATTATTATAATTCATACGGCTGTCTTAAAATCTTTTTTTTTGTACCTTATACTTATACCTATAAATAGAAGATAATAACAATTATCTCAATATCATATTTTGTTATCTACGATGTTTCTTCTGATTACGAAAAAATAATTATTTCCTTTTTTACCATTATTTTTTTAACCATTAATACCAGAAGTAAATTTGTACGCCAGTCCATCTGACTGCAATGATGGTATAGTGGTTAAAGGCGGTTACCTCGCCGCATTTTACTGCACGTGGGTTCCATCCCAACATGGCTCAACAAATTGTGTGATGTATTTCATAAGTTTTATATTTTTTGTTTCTTTACCAGGTAGCGTGTTTAGTCCTCATCTTGGCTGTTGCCTGCTACGGTAAGTAGTAGCATAGATGTGGTTATATTTTACTTTTAATAACCCGGTACTCAAGCTGAGGTTAACCCAAGCTCTCTACGCAAAGCTTTTCAGTGTTAAGGGATTGGACTCTTTACAGACAGTATATCTAACTATTTATGTACAATTTATTTTGTTTTTTTTTTTCAAAAAAATTGAGCCGTCGCGGGACTTCTGGGAGATGTGAAACATATAAATTACTTTGCAAAAATACCTAATGGCTATAAAAGGATACCTTATAAAAGGAAATAATAAATACATCATAATTAAATATATAAGATTCAGATTTTGTATTTAAATTACATTTATATTAATTGACTTACACCACACCGCGTTACGCCGGGTTACGACGGGTCGCCTCACCAACAGCCAGTCTTACCCACAGCATTAGATGTTTCACATCAATAATTATGTAGGCAAATAAATTAATCCACTCTCAGAGTCATCATCATCAGCAGCCCCTAACAGTCCACTGCTGGCCTCTCTATACAAAGGAAGTTTTGAAGTTTGCTTCCTTAGTCGGCTCTTACAACACCCACGGGATGAATGGGGATATAACACTCTGTATTCTTAATCCGTCACCATCGTTAGATCAGTAAATCTTGTCAATTTTATCAATTAATTTGACTTTCAGTGTGTTTTTATGATCTGGTTCATTCAAATTGTTTGTGTATAGGCGACGGTTATGGCAGTAGCAGTCAAGGAAGTTTCGGAGGTAGCAGTCAGGGTGCAACTGGAAGAGGCGGGTATGGCCAAGGAAGTACTGGAGGCTACGGCCAAGGAAGTAATGGAGGCTACGGCCAAGGAAGTAATGGAGGCTACGGCCAAGGAAGTAATGGAGGCTACGGCCAAGGAAGTAGTGGAGGCTACGGCCAAGGAAGTAGTGGAGGCTACGGCCAAGGAAGTAGTGGAGGCTACGGCCAAGGAAGTAGTGGAGGCTACGGCCGAGGAAGTAGTGGAGGCTACGGCCAAGGAAGTGGAAGCCGTGGAAGCGAAGGTGATTATCAGAACCACGGATATTAGATTTAGTTATAAACAAACTATACCTACTCTTCGGTTTAGTTATTACTCCGCTTTCACGGATCGTAGTTATATCTATGCTAACACCAAAATAGTTGATCAAATCGCATCTGTGGGTACCTGATAGCACGTTCAACCATAGATACTAATTTAAATGATGATTAAATCGGAATATGATTAAATTATTAATTTATATTATATACTATTTTTTTTTTATCATCAAGCATAGAAAAAGATAAGATAACCTACCTACAAATATAAGAACATTAACAATTTCGTAAGAATTGACTAAACGCTAGACGATATAAATAAACTTTTACACAATTTCCACCCATCCAAGTTATCATATCAGATGGGAAACACTTAGGTATTAAAATATTATTAATTCTCACTAATGAAAGGCGTAGGTTTAGCTAGGTAGGTAAGTGCGTATACGTATTTTTCATTATTATTGTCCTTCTCCCAACAACAAGTTCATAGGGACATACCTCTCCAAACAAATACTTGAGCGTAGCCCACGGAATAGGTCCTTTGGCGGCGTAGCAGCGATCGAGGTAACACTGCAAGATTTGCATGCATACCGTGAAATCAGACTCACTGAAATCGTACGATATGTTCCATCCAATTTTGTCGTATTTGCGGCGTTCCTGTAACGTATTGTGTGCATTAACCAAAAAAAAAAGATTATAACATGAGTTTAGTAATAATATGTTGGTAGTAAGCGATTTTCTGGAAATTATTCACAGCATTTAATAAGAGAATATGCGGCTCGATAGTTTTTATTATGATGTAAAGGGACACACGACCAAACAGGACACCTGCCGCCGCCCCAGGATGATGTTGCGTTCATTGTGTTCTATGTTATGTTTGAATATCGATCAACGACAATCAGAATTTAAACTAACTAATTGTAATAACTTTTGTATTAAGCTATTAATTTTTTAATACACATTAAACGAGAACACACAGAAATAGGAAAGAATATTTATTTTATTTAACAACTTTACGCAAAAAATGTACAAAGCGGACTTAATGCCATAGGCTCTCTACTAGTCTAGCGTCGTGTGGCAATAAATGAAAAGGTGCACTACACTTTGGTTAAGAATCTTAAAATGAACATAAAAAGAAATATTGTCTCGCACAGAAAGAGAAGAGAAGAAATTAGCAAAAGCAGTGAATATATACTACACACTGTGACAAAAGGTGACCAGGTCCGGCTAGTACATAATTATGTAGTTCGATTAATGTCTAAATCCCCCAAAACGCTTAATACTTTTTGCATATTTGCAATCTATATTGACTGGCCTGTTGGTCTAGTGGTTAGTGACCCGACTAACAAGCTAGAGGTCTAGGATTCGATTCAAATACAGGACAATTATTTGTGATGAACACACAACAATTTGGGTGTACTTTATCTATACTATGTATGTATTTAGAAATACATAATTATGTTTATCAACAGTCTGGTTGCCATAGTACAGGCTCTGCCTAGTTTGGGATCAGACGGCCGTGTGCGAGGTGAATAATTTCACCGTTAGCAACTTATTTATAGAGTGTGACCAGCTCACCTGTACGACTGCATGAAAGAAAGCGAGTACGTAAACGAGTTTCTTGAATTGCGGATGCGTGCACTCGTCTAATGCACGAGGCCTCATTTTAAAGTATGTATTACGTAGATTTAGTTTCAGACCGTTAGGGGGTTCTGTCACCACTGGAAAATAAAGAAACGAAAATCATATCGTTACCCCAGTTAGTTATCGACACTCAGGCAGAGGATGTGTGTTCTATTACTATAGAGAAGGAATAAATGTGTGATGAGCACGTTCATTTGTTATAATCTGTAAATTTTCTATAAAATGAATGTATGTATTAATATACTAACGTTTACCTGCGGCTTCGCTTGTGTAAATGCCGACCTTTCGATCTCTGTGCCAAATTTCATCCAGATCAATTCAGAAATTCTGGTGCTCAAACTTAAACAATTACTATGTAGAGAGTATGCTAGTAGTAGTAGTAGTAGTAGTAGCTGTAGTATGCTTAGTACAGAGGAGACTCTGTCTAGTTTGGGATTCAGACGAATGTAAGGTACTATTTTATTATTATACACAACAACGTTACATAAACAGTGTTTATGTATTTATTTTGTGTTTATTAAACACAAAATAAATAACTCCTGTACAAGTTTTAAACTACAGATAAAATAGTCGAATGCACTAATGACGAGTCAAAAAGTTAATTTCAATCAGAAGCAAGGTTCATAACGACCTCATTATGCTCTACATAAATGAATTCCCAGTTCGTTGTAGTGTATGCTACTACTAACCCTTGAGCGATCTCTGCAATATTCCAATAGGAAACGTCGGCGTGGGATCGGTAGTAAGCCAGAGCCGGTACTCAGGATGTGGCTTGACCATCATTTCGAGCTGCTTCTCCAACTCCCGCAGGAAAGACAACAGTAAATGACAGTTCTGGAGGATCAACCACTGGCCGTGGGATATAGCACCCTCTAACAACGCCAGTGCCGCCTGAATAAACAGTATTTCAGAGATTTCAGTATATATCAATAAATATATGTATATATATTATAAATATATATAATTTAATTACTTTAAACAGAAAGGCCTACATTTAACAGTCCAATAATAATAATTGCAGATACTATAGATATTCTTAGTACGGTATTTTCAAAATTTAGGATTAATCTTTAAAATACGGTACAACACAAATTAGTAACTCATAAATATTATTATATTCCTTACTCCTTCTTGTCCCTGGCCCAGTGACAGGTACTTGAATTTGCCTCCACCAAATCCACATCTATCTGCCAGTTTCATCAAGTCAGCCGTAGGATCGGAGCCGGGACTCAAAATGAATACCACGGGCGTAAACGGCGTAGTTTGTTCGAATATCATGTCCAGACTGAAAACGAAACGATTAAATTTGTTTCAGAGTTCTATCCCATTCCGTGCCTCGGCCAAAGTAGTAAGAGAATTTGTCTTGTGTGACACAAAAAGTTAAGGACACTGTTTTCTGTGAGGCTTGTTGTTTTCGATATAATAATTTCGTGTTATGTATTAAGAAAAAAGTTCTGTAAAAGTTTATATTAGTAGAGCCTGGATTATACTTTGACAATGGTTTCTTTTTAGCATTTCAAAAAATCCTTGAGCCTACATAAGCTTCAGAGATTATTTCTCATTCATTCAAAGCAATTAAATTGATCAAGCGTGTGTTTAAATAAAATTACACTACTGTACTAACTGAGTCATTGGTAGATAAGTTGCCCTTTATCTTATTTTTTTTTAAGGTGAATTAAAGAAAGCCATGAGGCTACAAAGCTATTTTAGGATAGATTTATCTTCTATATTAATTAAATAAATTAATCAAATAGATGTACTAACTGCGATAGCTAATTACCTTATGACAGGTGGGGTGATGTATTCTTCACCCATAGTAATAGTGATGTAGTCAGTCAGTGCGCGGTAGATCCGGTCCACTCGGAAGCATCGTAGTAACATCAAGATCTCAAATGGCTGTAAATGATCTCGGTATTTGTTTGGTATGTCTTCTGACTCCGGGGTGTCGCTATCGAACCACTAAACGGTTGAACAGACATGGAGGTAGTGAGGAGATAACAAAGGAACATATTTACTAAAATTACTTATGTATGAAAACATACTAAGAAACTAGGAATTCATTTATTTTAACTAGAATTATTTATGATTATATTTCGAAAGACATATTCGACATTCGACAGATAATCAAGAATAACGATAAGAAAAAGTAAATTTATGCATGTTTCTGCTAAATTAACGCAGATGCCCGTTATCATTTGCAAAATTGAAATGAATCATTTGAATTTCTATTTATAATTTAATCTCAGGAAGAAGTTAGAAATACGGTGTCACCACCCATTTTTTTTTTTTCCGTGCGGACATCCCCTCGGATACCACCTGTCGGTGGCATGTCGGACTCGAACCGACTAAAACCGCACGCCGTCTCGGGTACTAATAGCCGGGGAACCAGGTATACCCTAGAAAGGAAGTCCCTGGTGCCCCGACATACCTCGGGTCATCTACAGACGAGTAGACGACCCCCCCCCCCCCCCCCGTGTGGGAACCCCATGTTCCCTGTAGGTGTCACCACCCCTATTTCTCACGTGAATGTCGTGAAAGCGGAAAATACACAGAACAATAGCACCACAAAGAGAAGGAAAAGTTGATACAAACCCTATACCAGCCCGTCTGTAGTATGGTAGCCCAAAACCTCATTTCTAAGGATGTATGTCCAGCCGTGGACTATTAAAGGCTGTTTGTTGGTGATGAATCTTAATTAACCGTGGGAGAGCCATGCCTCAGAATATATGGACCGGCTCAACCGCAGCGATACCAGGGTCTCACTGAATAGCTGTTAAGCAATTCCTAAGGGCCAGCGCAGACGGAAAGGAGCACAGCGGTGAGTATATTTTGAAGAAACTTGATAATTAACTATTGCTGTAGTGCTCGGTAATTAACTAGTACATACACATGGCCCGAGGCCGCGCGAGCATTTTTTATCATGTTCAAACATGTATGTACTTTTCAGCAACAGTTTTAATGATTAAAATTTTAAAAAAATATCAGTGTCTTAAAAAAAAATCTCTCCGCTGCGCTCCTCTTCGTCCGCGCTAGCCCTTATTCTTCAACGATACATAGATAAATACTTAACTGATTAATTTATACCAAAAGAAATAGGAAAATATCAATATGCTTAATACTTAGCCAATAGATACATCACCACCACCCAATGATTGACTGGTAGAGAATGCCTTAGGCATTAAGTCCGCCAATGCACCAAATCACATCACACACATCACATCAACAGCCTTTAATAGTCCACTGCTGGACATAGGCCTCTCCTTAGAAAGGGGGTTTATTTGTGTAAATAAAGAAATAAATCAAATATACCTCTTGCCATTCAACCAAATTCCTAGTGATATAGTCAGGAAGTTGTGTGAACGACTCGAAGTCTGTGCTCAATTTCATGATGTCTTGCCAGCCCTGTAGAGGAAGACAAATTATCCATATACATTTGCTATTTGTATTCTACCTTCTGCTGAGAAAGAATTAACTATTAAGCCGTCAGACTTGCGATAAAGTGATATATGTATTATTATTGTATTAGCAATTGCCCGCGGCGGTCTATGTCTTTCCTCAAGACTTAAAGAATGTCCATACAAAATTGCATGTAAATCGGTTCAGCGGTTATTGATTCCCCATACAAACATCCACCCCCCCCCTTTCCACCCCCTTAAAGGGTGATTTCTAGGATAAAAACTACCCTATGTCTATCTCTATACTAAATTTCATCTAAATCGGTTCAGCGGTTTACCGTTTACCGAGTGAAGAGGTAATAGACAGACAGTCAGACAGACACACTTTCGCATTTATAATATTGTGACTAAATAATTTTCTTTTAATTTAATCTATCTAAATCATTCAGATTGCACCGTTTGCCAGAAGAGCCTAGATTTGGCACATTTGGCCAAATTCACTGCAGTGATACAATGGACTTAAAGAAAACCGCTGTCGACCAAATCTGTCATCACTTTAAGTGAGGTTACTCGAATTACAAACTGCTAATTCTGATGAAGGGGTGAGGGGGGGCGGGGGGTAACACAAAAGTTGACAACGCACTTGTGCCTCTTGAGTTACACTTGTCCATGGATAGCGGTAGTCATTACCACACCACTACACAAACGAACTTAATTGAAAGTTCGACGCTGTGACAGCGAGCGCTGTCCTTATAGCACTACTGACTAAGCATTGACTAGAACTAGCAAACATAATGATTGCAATGTAGGATAATGTTGATTAAACGAAGTACCTGCGCAGGAATCCAAGTTGCGGGCGAGGGGCGTGATGACTTCTCCAACGACACGTTGCCTTTAATAAAGAAATCCAGCTGCGCTTGCGACACACGATCTTCACTCTGCTCTAACTTAATGTCCATTTGGAATGAATACAGCAATTTGTGACGTTCGAATATACCTGGTTAATGGTTTAAGCTATTTAGTGACTATTGGGGCCAAACTTCGTATAGGCCAAAATAAATATAAACTCAAATACATATGTTAAAATATTATTTTTTTATATATATTATTATATTTATATATTGCAAAGAAAGTCTACACTTTTTTTGCTCCTTACTTTAAATTTCTAACTTTGCATTTAACAAATATGTTATAAACATCCTCCAGTTATGTTTCTGCTCACCTGTACATCCGTAATCATAAACGTTCTTAGTGAGCATGTCTATGATATTTCGAAGACGCCTTGCTAAGATCACATTCGGCATCGCCTTACGCAGTGAGAAAGCAAACACCTGTGAGATAAAAGGTAACGTTTATGTTAAACCTTGTTGTGTAAAACACAGTTTGTGATAACCTTTATTAAGTATCTTTTTAAAATAAATTTGCCTGCGACATATTTTATTCGTTTGGATTTTAAAGAGTTCTAACTGAATTCAAGGTGTAAGTTCTATTAAATTGGAATTACATTAAAACGTAGTTAATTATCTCATGACTTTTTAAATATATAGGAAAACGATTTTAATGCTGACTATATCTTAACCAATGAGAGACACATTTCTCGCAAACCGTGCACAAACAAATGTTTAATGTTGTTATATACTTACATCCAAGTAGGAAGACAGCGAATATTGATACATGCTGTTAACGCTGGCCATATCTGACAGAACGAAAAATAGAATAGAGCCTCGTTTAGCCACTGGACGGTAGCCATCGCGAAATATTTCTATGTCCTTTGTAGTTATTTCTGCTAGATGTAATTTTTCCATTACCTTTAAAGTTTACGAAATATTTTTATTTAAACCAACGTTATATTATGTGGAAATATATAAAAAAGTAGGCAGGGCAGAAAGAGGTTTACAGTGTAGTAAAAACAAATAGAGATATAATAAAATGTCAAATGGCAGTGAGTTATGTAAGTTGATTTATAAAAATTAATTAATATAGGTATGCAGAAAAATGTAGGCAGGGCCTGAGGAGGTTGCCAGTGTAGAAAACATAATTTAGAGAGGATAGCCTCTTTAAAAAAAAAAGTCGGGCAGCGAGCCGTGTAATATATATAAAGGAAATATAATGTGAAAAATAAGAAAAGAAAAAGCAGAGAGAATAGAGAGAATTTTTTTCCGAGTAAATATCACATAATTGTAGTCTCACCTCTCCCGCCTTAGACTTAGTATTCTCTAAAGTGTTCACGAGCTCAACATTGTCAAGCATGTTGCCAGTAGAAGTGGCGAGTTCTCGCAACAACGAGTCTTCAAGTCCAGACAGCAAGCTCTTATTAGCACTAGTTTCAATGATCAGGCTTTCGCGTTGTTCTTCTAAATCAGAACGCTCTGCTCGTACCACCACTGACAGGAGCTGATCTTCTAGGCCCTGATACATGAGAAGAACGATATATCTTTATTTAATCAAACATAGTTCGTGTGGTGACGGATTAAGTACTGTTCGTTCTCTTTTTATATTATTATTTATTAGTCAGATTTTTGTGTTGAGACGGTCCTCAATTCAGTTCTTTTTTTTTGGGGGGATAACAATTTAAAATATTGCTACTATTTATAATTCACTTTTCACTTTTTGTGATTCGATTCGGTCATTGAAAAAGAGTGACTATAAGATTATAGACTTACGATTTTATATTTATTTGATAATTCTTAATATTTTGACTCCTATAACCAAATTATTTCAACTGTTTAGTTAATACCATTGCCAAACAGGCTCTATGTTTATAATAAGGGATTGAGTGTATAGGTACATGTTGTGTACTTGTAATTAATTCTAATGAACAGTTATATATCATAATGTAATGAAAAAAGAAATACCCGTAACGTGACAGTATAATTGATGACTACGGCCTTGGCGTAGGCGGCGGGGTTAAACTGCGGATTGGATAACTTAGTCGTCAAGTACATGCGGAAATTAGGGTCGTAGTCCACTTCAGTGCTGCCCAGTAAGACGAAAGCCCGGCCGCTTTCCACTGGAAATTAATTACACTTTAATTTCTTAAATAACTAAAGAGAATGTTCTTCTTGTTTTGATATTCTGGATCATTAGGTATTTTGAGGTGTAGGGTTGTTGGTTATCTAAAACTTTGTGGATTGCAAATGATTGACTAGCTATTGCCAGCGGTTTCGCTCGCGTGATAATTTTTTGTTTCGTGTGTCTAACTTTGAAAGTTATGAACTATTATATATTATACGACCATTCATCGCTTATTTGACCCCCTATTGGTGAAATTTTCAAACATCCTTTCTTAGTAACTGCTTACAATACAAAAACATTAGTTGCGAAAATTTCAAGTTTGCCCCAGCGGTTTAGGTTACGCAACGCAACGCAGAGCGTTGATGAATCAGTCAGTCAGGGCAATTAGTTTTATATTTATCAATAATGACTCCATACCATAGATTTGTCGTAAATTCTTAAAATGTTTTCAATAATAAAAATACTTATTTTAAACTCTAATGACGGGCATGTTGGTCTAGTGGTTAGTGGCCCTGACTGCTAAGCCGGAGGTCGTGGGTTCGATTCCTACCCAGGACAAATATTGTGTGATGAACACGGTCATTTGTTCTGTGTCTAGGTGTTATTTATCTATCATATGTACGTATTTAAAAATATATAACTATGTTTATCAGCAGTCTGGTCACCATAGCACAGGCTCTGCCTAGATCAGACGGCGTGTAAGATATATAAAAAAAAACGGAATGAAATAAATCCGTTGTACGTGGTACATCTACTAAGTCTGTAATTAAATAAGGGCGTCCATTCCAATCGTTTGTCAGTACCTTTAATATTCTTTTCAAGTACATTATCAACAACAGGATCTATGTACTCATTAACATCTTGGAACAGTACAGGCATGCCATATTTAATAGCCATTTCCAACTGTCGCAAGAACTGAGGGTCATTGAATGATAGAACCTGAAAGAAAAACGAAATGTCATGTTAATATCATTCCCATACATTTACATGTAGATCTCTTCATAAAATTGTGTAATAATTACAACATTAAATTAATAACTGTGATGAGGAAATGATGATGACAGTTATGTAAAAAAAGGATTTCAAAAAAAAAACAGGAACAATTTAAGTATTTTCGTCGCACTAAAACATCTATCCTAAACAAATCCGAGCTTAACATTTACAAGAGTTCAGGGGTACCTTGAGATTATTTTTGGCTTCCTTTTTCTTGATCCAAGTTAGAGCTTGCGTCTGCGGGTCTATACACAGAGGAAAGCGCGACGCTCTGGTTGTCAGGATACCGTTCTGTACCGACAATTCGTCAGGCGGTAGACCTTCAGAATTCCATCTGTAAAACAAAGTCAATAAATATCTTTTCTAATTTTAACTAAAGAAGTCCTTTTTTTTCAAGTGACAGCAATTTGTAGGTTCGATTCTGTTCGTTGCGGCAGTCAATTTTTAAAGAACATCCATGAAGCGCAGATCTTTGACAGCCTATGAAGTTTTCTAATTTAATCGTTACAACAACAATTTATAAAGTCAAAATCATCGAAACACACATTTCCAAAGACGTGACAAAACCAATTCGATTACAGCAAGGAACCACGAGAAAATGTCTATTATCGAATAAAATGTCTGGCAAAAATGTAAAGAATATAAACGTAAGAATAAATATATAAAATGACTCACCCACTTATCTCAACTTCATTGGTTAAATTCTTTTCAATAGTGAACGGTTGGGTCAAGGGGATACCCTTTTCAACCACATCACCTAACCAATCCTCGTAAATCATCATTTGCCTAAAAGAGAACGAAAATGGGCCACTATAACTGAGAAAAGATGCTGAAAGCAAACAGTTCCCAATCAGCCGGGATTGTTCCACGTATAATGCTGCCAAGTCTATGGTCCACCGTTTCTGTTCACTCGACAATCCAGACATTAACTTATCAGCGGCTATCAACCGCCGCATCATAATATCAGTCTCTTCTTGCAACTCTTGACGCCTGAGCATAGCTGTGTCATACTTAGTGTTTAAAGCATCCAAAGTATTCTGAAGTCGGGTAATTTCTCTGTTCAACGAAGCCAAGTAATTGCATGCTTCTGTATATTCCTTCTCCAAAGCCTCTACTTTGTCCTTTTTAGGTTTGACTTCTTTATATACCGCACAGTATCCTAGTACGGCAATTACGAATTTCAGTAAACCATAGCTGGAATATAAAAATATTAGTAATATATAAGCAGAATGAAAATGAAGATTCTTTTTTAGTTATTGCAGTAGTTTTTAGTAGTATAAAAAATATGAAATTTTCAACATAATTTTGCTTGCCATTGCCAATTTTAATTGGGGTGGACGTAATTTGTAACATTTCAGAGTTTTGACTTGATTTTTATGGCTGGCTGTCTGCCTGGCGCTAACCTTTCCTGGGAACGTAAATGTTATGTTGAACTAGGTACATCTGATTCTTGGCAGCAATGACTTTTGGCAAGAAAAGCATGCGATGCTTATAGGGCCTCGGACCTAGGAGTTTTAGTTGCCAAGGATAGAAATCACTATTATATTTAAATTAAATTCAATAATATTATACCTCGGTGTTGAAAAATTCTTTGCATATATATTTTATAAAAAGAAGAGTTATATTATTTTTTAAATCTATATGAATTTAAACGAATCTTTTTTCTGAATTTCTTTTAGTATGCACGCTAATTGCAATATATTGAAGAAATCGACTCGTAGTGTCTCGATAGTTATCTTGTTTTTGATCGATAAAAAAAGTCGTCAGCATATTGTTTTACATTGAACTACCTTTTTGACTTTTGTATTCAAACCAGCTATCGTATTCGGTTTTTATCGATCACGTGATGGTGAGTGGATACGTCCATGGTCACAAGTGCCCTTTGAGTCCCTCTCCCCAGAATTAAGGGGCAGGGGGTTGGTCTCACTTAACCTCACTTACTTAGTGAAAAGCAACGCAAAATCTGCCTTAAACCGGTTTTCTATTAGGACATGGTATCACTCCGGTCGAGCTGGCCCATTTATGTCGAAGCAAGGCTCTTCCACGGGAAACGCATTACGAGATCTTGTAGAGCTAAATACTTACCCAGCTTTACTTATCTGTTGCATAGTGTCAAGTTTCTTGCTCTTTTTCATATGAGCTTTGACACTTTTAACTTGTTGCTGAGTTATAAGATCGCAGTTCATTTCTTGCAGGTTACGTAAGAAGTTAGGGTCAGCCATCATGCCTTTGGCACCTTTCCAGCTTACGTCCTTTATACCTCGGATTATAACCACGCATTCGCAAACGACCTATGAAATAATAAAAAATAATAATAAAGATTATCTTTAAGAGAAAAATACTTAACAACACAACGCTAAAGGTTGTGTTAGAAAAAGATGATATGCGTAACGAACAATAAATTATATTTGTAAACAGGTTCGTTGTCAAAAATAATATCATGTCAAAATCTAGTGTCCAAAAAAAACTATTATCAAACAGCCTCTTCTTAGCAACATTGTTATATAATAGTAGGGCAAATTTTACACAGACCCCCTATGTCTGGCGATTTTTTTTTATTATGAGCAAAAAAAGGACTGTAATAATAAAATTATATTCGACATCATTTATTTGTTTTTTTGGTCTCCCATACTTTTATTAAAAATATGAAAGTGAGTTTGTTTGTTACGCTTTTACGCCTAAACCGATTTTAAAAATTCTTTCATGAATAGAAAGTTAAATTATCCGCGAGTAACATATACTACTTTATACCGCGATAACCGACATACTCCGTTACTAACTTGTGATGTATAAATTGTATTTAGTTATAATCTAACATGTAACAGTTTAATGTTCCAATAAATAAATAAATAAATACACCCGGGCAGACCCCCAGGCAAAAGCTATTTGTATTACATGTAGTACACATAGACTTAATGTTAGGAGAATGAAACGGTCTCTCAACAGCGTTGGTAGGTGTGTGTACCTGCACAGCCTCCGGCGGTGTGGCGAAGGATCGAATCTCAGTGATGTCGTTCTTGTCGAGGTCGGCGAGCGCGAGGCGCGCCGCCTCGAGCGCGGGCATGGCGGCCGACAGCGCCTCCTCCGCCTCCGACTTCTCCTCGCTGATCACCTTGCTCTGCTCCGTAATCTCCGCGGACTTTATCGACGCCACCGTCTGTTTCGCGACGGCCGCTTCCGTCGCTGATATACAAATATATTTATTTTTTAATGACAGGATCCGTGGGATGTGTTATAAAGTAAACTAGTAGTTCTTCGTATTTGTAACCGCGTTCGAGGTCAAGGTCGGTTAGGTGTGAGATGTTAAACAACCATAACTTACCAAAAACTTGGGGTATTATTTACCTCCAGTGCTTTTTCTTTCAAATCTGACTAGTAGTTGGAGAAATGGTCAAAAAAACGTTAGATTGTTAAAAAAAACCCTTCATTATTTTTTTTATATCCAAAAAAAGATTAAAACAATCTTACCCTTTGAAATCTCCTTCAATAAAACTTCGCACTCTTTGGTCTGCTCAGCCACTATGACCTTTTGTACAGCGAGCTTCTGATTCAAATCATCCAGTTGGACGTTTGCTTCCTCGATTTTAGCAAGTCCACCTATTAGACGCTCGCACTAGACAATATAGATTGTTAACTATAATTTTTGACAATCTATTCCTTATTTATAATTCTTATTTATTTCTCTTATGGGTGTACTTTATCTATAATACATATGTATTTAGAAATATATAAGTATGTTTATCAGCAGTCTAGTTACCATAGTACAGGCTCTGCGTAGTTTGGGATTAGACGGCCGTGTGTAAAATGTGTCACAATATTATTCTTGACTCATACTCAACTCTATTCATCAGTACCTACTATTTAATCTATAATTTATCAGTACTATTTAGAACATGAAATATTCTTATTATAAAATTTATTTTATGTTGTTCTTTTATTTTTCCATTTATTATGAAAAACAAAAGAACACAATAAATATACATAGAGTGATAGACAACGAGCGCCGAAACTAATTTAAGTCTAGAGAGTATAGAGTATTTATATCATTACAATGCAAGTTTTTACTTATCATATTGTGATAAACGAATCATATTAGAAAATAAATAAAAAAAAAACAGTTACCATATTTTAACAATTGTGTCAAAGAATACAAAGAATACAATACGTAATACCCAGTATTATATATGTTTAAGTTTTTGACCTATTGACACAGATTTTCAAATAACATTTGCTTAAACTTATGCAATGGTTACAGAATAAATTTATACCACAGAAGTTCTTATTGGAATTAGTGAGGCATGAGGCGTTGTTTGTTTTTTTTTACGAGAACGAAGTGGTTTCAATATCTAACCGAGGCGTGTAGAAAGTACAGAAAGTTGAAGTGCAGTGAGAATAATATTTGAGTCAATAAAGTTATTTATAATTTTCCATAGAAAATTTTTGTCAAATATTTTATTAAATTTCACATGTTTATATAAATATAAGCTTTGAACGTGGTTCCATACAGAAACTTAATGAATTATACATTTAATATACCTGTGCAGTAATGAAGGCATCCTTCTCGTTGAGCAGTGACAGGTAATTCGTCAAGTAATCCATGTAATGTTTCGGCGTCACGAAGTTGTTCCTGCGGAGTCGCAGCAAAAACTCCAGGGAGTAGTACGCGATAGACATGTGTACGTGAACAACGTGCTCCACGATTATTGGACGAAATTCTTCTGGAATCTTTTGTACCTGTAAGTTAGAAGGTAAAACATTTTTATGGTATAATAGGCAAACGAGTAGAATAACGTGACGGATTAAGAATACGGAATGTCGCCACCTATATTCATCCCGCGGGTGTCGTAAGAGCCGATTAAGGGAGCAAACTACGCAGGACAACAGCAACCTAATACCACCATCTGTCCAGCGTGGTATAGTAGGCCAAGACCTCATTTTTAGGGTTCCGTACCTCAAAAGGTAAAAAAGATCACTTATAACATCACTTTCTTATCCGTCTGTCCGTCTTTCCGTGTGTCACCACCGATTTTCTCAGGAACGGGAAGACCTAGCAAGTTGAAATTTATACCAGATACTGAGGTCTATGGTCCCTATTAGGTGTATAAAAATCAAGGTCCTGAGTCAACACGATAAAAAGATATGGGCAAATTTCTATTTTCGCAACAACTTGTAAGTACAAAAATTTAAATTAACTTTAATTTCTTTTTTTTCAGAATGTTCTCTTTACTTGTGCTGTAAGACCTTGCTTTTAACCACAATTGACTATTCTAGGTCAACCGGAAGTCCCCTATAGGTTTTGGGTCGAAAACCTATGTATATGGTAGTTCCCGTTGACCTAGAATCACGAAATTTGGTAAAAAAAAAACGTCTTACAGCATAAATAAAGGAATAATTCAAAAATATAAAAAAAGTTGAAAATTAAGATAAATTTTGGTACTTACAAATTTAAAATCTGGGTAGGTACTCGTCAGGTACGGTTTTTAAGGAGACCCCTATGTGCAGCAGTGGACTATTAAACGCTGTTGATGATGATGATGATGATGAGTATTTGACTATTTGCTACGACCTTCAAGAAAAGAGCGTACTCCTTCCTCAAAGGCAACGCGCTTGTGACTCCTGAGTTGCAGGCGTTCATGGGCAGCAGTAGTCGCTTTCCATCAGGTGACCCGTCTGCTTATTTGCCCCCCCATTATCTGCCTACCCTTTTCCCAATTTTATTTGGGGTCGGCGCAGTATGTATGATTTTTCCATTCTACTCTGTCATGCGTCATCACACTGTTTACTCCCTTCCTAGCCATATCCTCCCTCACGCAGTCCATCCACCTTTTCTTCGGTCTGCCTCTTCTCTTGTACCCTTCAACTCCCATACCTAAAACTTTCTTCGCCACATTTTCCTCATCCCTCCGCATGACATGTCCATACCAAGATAACCTATTACTTCTTAACTTTTCATCCAGTGGCGCTACTTTCAGACTCCCTCGTATATACTCATTCCTAATCTTGTCCATCTGAGTCACACCACACATCCATCTCAGCATTCGCATTTCGGCTACGTTCAGGCGTCTCTCATCCGTTCTCTTAATGGGCCAACTTTCAGAACCATACAGGACGGCAGGTCTGATAATAGTTTTATAAATTTGTCCCTTCAGTGTTAAGGGGAAACTGGGGTCACAAGTTGTTCCCGTTACCTGCCGCCACTTTATCCATCCCGTATTGATTCGATGCTGTACAGTTTGATCAATCTCACCATCACATTGTAAGAGGGAGCCGAGGTACTTGAAATTGGAGCAGACTGTTATCGCTATCCCATCCAGCGAAATGGTTTCAGGACTGGAGAAACCGCCGAAATCGCAGAACATGTACTCAGTTTTGGTTCTGCTGATTTTCAAGCCAACATTCTCCAGCCTTTGTTGCCATTTTTCCAGTCTGCTCTGGACCTCAACCCCACCCTCACCGACCAACACAATGTCATCTGCAAATAGCATGCACAAAGGTGCATTATTTGCCCCCTATTCCATAAAAAAAACGTGACACGTGATGTTAAGTGACTACCGCCGCCGATGGACAACTGCCTATCAAGAGTCACAAGTGCGTTGTTGGCTTTTGAGGCATATTACTCACTCAATGCAACGAAAAAATTGTTTAACAGCGGTTTCCTGTGTTCAATTCAGATTAAAAAGAGATAAAATTTATCGTTTCTCTACTATCTTTAAAAGCATAAGCTTGCTTATAAAGCTTGCTAAATCATAATTATATCTTTATTATACTCTATGAAAATATAGAAAGGTGATATTTTTTTTTATAGGTTGAGGTATTACCGGATACTTTTATTAATCTGGACGCCAGGACAAGCCCAGCGAAGCGCAAGGGCTTTCCATCACGTCACATGAGCGTAAGAAAAAAGAATCCCTGTTCATTACTTTTCCGTTTTACAATATAGTTCTTGTAGTAGGCCATTGTATTTTGACAAATCTGTAGATTAAGTTAGGGCTTGTAGAGTTAGGGCATTTAGACTTAGAACTTTTGCTCTACATGAGATTTGATAACTTTTTGACAGTGCGGAGGTATATAGTCTTGTCTTGGCAACATTTTACATTAAAATGTTTTTGGTATAATATTATATTTTACACAGTTATTTTCATACGCACGTCAGCGAGAAACACATTAGCGACAGCTAATAACGCCTGCTTCGGCCAAGGGAACTGCCAGTCGATTGTCGTGTTGTTCACCAGTCCGGGAAAACTCCTACATCTGTAGACAAAATTTGAATGATATATATTAATTATTTTATATTTATGTAGAGTACAAAAATACTAAATAAAAATATCAAACTATTTTTTCATCGTTTTGTAACAAAATATAGTTTGAACTATATCTACAATTGTATATTATATCTTCAATTTGTCTATATTTTAAATACACATGGGACATTCATTTGTGAGGTTAATATTGAGCTGAAATTATAAATTGACAATGTTTCAAATTCACACACCTGTTTCTCAAGATATCACCACTAGGAGACATAGATAATACGACATGAAGATTATCAGTGCATCTATTGCAGAAGAAATTCCAGACTGCATCCCTGCAAAAAATAAAATAGTTATAATATATTAACTGTATCATTAATGTGTGTCACTGTATTATAAGGACCTAAAGATTTAATGAATGACGGTTGATATAGTCCTTTAAGTAGTTTTCTGATATCGCGTCTATTGTTTTAGATTCGATATCTATTAATACTAACAAATTTCTTTCAGTGTGTGTGTGTTCTCTTAGTGTGTTTGGGTGGTGCAAACATGAGCGATTAGCTGCACTTGATTGAAATTAATACAAATTATAATTAATTAGTTGGTAAAAACAAGTGCTCAAATAGTCATGCATAGATACGCAGACTTTCAAAGTACAGAAATAATAGCGGACTCGACAGACGTCCTCTGCACGACAACATATAAATAAAATAAAACATTTTGTGGTGGACCGAATTAAGATTCTAAACCATTTTCGAATCCACTGGAACACACAAAAAACCATCAAAATCCGTATAGGAGTTCCGTCACATATACACGCACAGAAGAATTATATATATATATATATATATAAAAGATAATGCAATGCATTATGGTTCTAATGGTTGTATACTTGTGTAGTAAACCGTATTTTTTTCCTATAAAGGTTTTTTAAAAAGATAACATTCCTAATTACGTGTAGAAATCCTAAAGATAACTTTTCAGTGTAGAAAGATTATGTTAGTCAAGCAACACGAACTTGGCTACTCCATATCCTGCCTCGGCGCTCGCATTTCGTACGGAATTGATGATCCCATCTTTTTCATCGTCACCGAACAACGCTGGGATCATACCGATCATTAATATGTTATTAATGAACTCTAGAAAACCTTCTTCTATTATCTGTAAAGAAATAATTATTTTATTAATAGTTAACGCTACTACAAGACATTAGCAACTTTTACTTTTAATTTTAATTTCATATAAAACATTCTTCAAGATGATATAGATTGGTACTAATTTGACTTCTCTTTAACTTAGAAAACCATCAAGTTAAATAACCATAAACGTAGGCAAATGACAGATACTGACCGCAGGCGTTACATTATGTTAGATTCTATATTAATTCGTATATCATTACATCACAATCAATAAGCTATAGGTATTACTACACTCTAGTTAATGACTGAATTCTCAATGTGCTGGTGGTCGTCAAGAATGACCATTGTACAGCGGCCAGTTGATATCCTAGTCCTCCACATGTTTACAAAAAAAACTGATGAACGGTACTGCGATTCTTTAGTTACCTGAGCAGCAGTGAATAAGAAGACATTCTTCTTATTGTCGCAGCCAAGAGAGGTGTACAGGCGCTTCATATCGTCCTTGAATGAGTTCTCGTTGTAGTTGCGTGTTATTGTGATCTCAAACATTTCGCAACCTGCAACCATTATTACCTACATTGACATAATTTACTCTATATTTGACACTTTAAACAGATAAGTCCAAAACCTGGCAAAAATATTTGTTTTTATTAGTTTTTAGATGTGTTTGCCGGTATTCAAATGTAATTTTATTCACCGTCTTAATACGTACAATAAAACATTAACTTTTCCTACGTAAATATTTAATATAGGTATTCTGTATATTTTTCTTAGTTTTAACAACTTCATTTACTCTTAAGTTAACTTAAGTTTATTAAAAAAAATGAATAGGTGGCACGTGTGTTAATAGTATTACGTTTTGGAAGTTTTGTAAACCAAATCAGGTGCTATCAGATATTTCAAGCAAAATGTGTAGCATAGTTTCTACGTTAATTATTTATGAATTGATATATCTTTAAGAAATTAAACCATGATTCGAGAACTACATATATTTATCTATATTGCCCTAACCAGCAGCGAACGCAGCTAATCTGCAGATGGATTTCTTGCCGGAGCCCCCGACACCGATGATCATAGCATTGCCTCGGTCCATGCGGAGGATGCGCTGTGTCCGCGTCAGATGTTCCAAGCAGTCCTCGAACAACACCACTGATAGTTTGTTGTTGCGTTCGTTATATTCGTCAAGAATCTGCAATATTGAAGAACATATAGTAATATTTTTGTTAAGTGTAATAATAAGCTTGTAAACATATTTGATGCAAAAAAAGTTCTTCTATAGCCGTTCAAGTAATGTTTTTTGAAGATAACTTGCATATTAATTGTTGGCTGCAATTATTTCAGTAGAGAGGATTTGATCGTATTATACTATTAAGGGCACAGCCCCCGATGTGACGTTTACGAGTCCTAATGCCCCTATTCAACTCATTATAACATTGTTATATCTTCTGTCCTAAGTGTTTTCTTTACCTGAACTTACAGTGGAAAGTAATTACCTCTTGGAAAAGAAAATAGACAGCTTCATAGTCAAGTAAGTCCTCGTAGTATCTGATCTCCTCCTCTTCCAACGCGTTTCTAAAATCGCCAAATAACATAGGATCACGGAAAACATACTCTTCGAGCTGTAAACAAAGTTAATGTTCAATAAGAGATAAAAGTAATTCATTCAAAGTTTAAGATCATTTATTTATTTATATTAAATTTATTGTTTGTACACACTACAATTTACTTTTACATATTTTGCACTATGAAAACTATTATCTGCTAGTTATGGTAGGTAGGTTATGGTAGGCAGTGAACTTAGTACATATTTCATTGATTATTTAATTTATTGTGTATCTTATTTGTTAACATTGTATATATTTATACTTTTTTTTTCTTTCATTTTTTCTTTAGTGATGTGAGTTAATTAAGCTGAATTGAGTTACTGTGTTAGCGTAAGTTACTCAAAGCTCTAAGCTTATTATGAATTCAGATAAGGGCGTTCACGGACTAGGAGTGATTTTGCAAACGCAAGGACATTTGCCCGTTGTATAGCCACTTAAGGATAACAGGGCGGCTATTTCCTCCATTGTAAGACCAGGCGTCTTACAATGGATGCATATAATTTTGCAAAGTTTTTTGAAACATGTTTGCAATTTGCAAACTTGCCTAACATTAGATATATTTATATTTATTTTATGAGGGTATACAATGCTTATGAGGTAAATGAATATATTAGTATTAAAAAAGTCATAATTAAAGATAATTTATACAGTAGATTAAACAATTATGGAAGTAGTTTCTTTTACTAACTGTTAACTCTTTCTCCTCTGGAACTTCCTCTTCTTCTACTACTTCAACTTCAGACTCAGCCTCTTTTTTGGGTTCCTGTTCCTTTATTATCGGTTCGCCATACTCTACAATTATAAATAAAAAAGGTTAAATGAGATTACAATACACTCTCTTAAACACGCACGCACACACACACACGCACACGAACACGCACACGCGCACACACTCCCACACACACACACACACACACACACACACACACACACACACACACACACACACGCACACACACACACACACACACACACACACACACACACACACACACACACACACACACACAGGTCGTGCACATCCCGACTCAATTCTTGACTATTTCTATGTATACAATAATAATTAAACTTCATAAACTACATTAATATGGGATACATAAATTAGGATAATGAAAGTAAACCTTTGGTAGGAAATTAACCTATCTAATAACTTATAAGTGCATTCATAATTGTATTTTCATTCGATGTCCTTTGAAAGTGTAAAAAACATTATTTTCGCCTCCTTATGAAGCAGCCGAATACGACGCAATCTGATTTTGATCTTCCTAGAAGAAGGGCCAGAAAAGAGATGTTATCTGCGACCCGTCTCGTGATAATATTTTTCACCCCTGTTCTTTAATAAGGACTTTGGCGTGAAAGCATAACAAACTCATTAAAGCAATTATAATTAAGTTATAAGATATGCAGTACCATCTAATTCCGGCTCTTCTACCTTTACATCGTCTTCAGTGACCACGATTTCTTCCAGAACTACCGGTTCGTCTTCGGGGAAATATTTGACTGTCTGTTCTCTGATGTGACTTCGCATCAGTTCATTGTCCTAAAATATAACTTCTTGCCATTAATATGATGATAACGTTCATTCAAATAAAATAAAAAAGTATCTGCGATACCTTGACTTTCGAGCGCAATAGTTCTCAGCTGATTACGAGTATCGATGTAAGAGATACCACTTCTTACTCCTAGAATGTAGATGTCAAATAAACGAAGTCTGATTTTTATTGAATATTGCGAACGGATCGATGGACTGTCCCGAGCTTGTTTCAAAAATATTCCTACGAGCCAATCTAACAAGATTCCGGCAGAGACCATTGTTAAATGTGCCTTTGAGCGCAACAAATCACAGTCGGAATTCGTTTTTTTGTTTTTAAATTTTCGTTTTACATTCGACTGCAGTGTTAGAGAACAAAAGTTATATTTACACTCAATGCAAATATTTAAACTTGACTCGTCACTGGCTATTTAGTCCCATAACCAATGATACAAGTTAAGCTTACGTTGAAATACGTATAATATTTTTCTTTACCTGTACACTGATAAGTCTATCGCATATAACCCGTGTGAACTCGTTGCGCCAACACCGCACGACGCAACGCTTGTCGCTGAAGTAATTAGGGTGCGTTAGACATAAGCCCGCCGCCACACGCGACAGGTCTCGTAAGTTGAAAATGTAGTGGAACTTGGCTGGGGTTGCAGGCAGCTCGGCAATAATTATCTGCAAATATGTAAAAATATCTAAGTAACATATAATTAATTTTTCTTATCATACTTTAAGAAGAAACTTATTTATATTATGAAGAGGCACACAGGTGGCTAATGTTATACATATAATAAATTAAATTGCGCTGCCTTGTTGAATCGGTACAGAAATGAAGAAATATTGGATGGAAGATGTGACGAAAAGTAAATTGTTTACGATAACTGTAAGCGAAAAATGCAAATGGCTGACCCCAGGTCAAACGCCGCAACAGTGCCCTAAAGCAAAGCTTACGAATATAAAGGTAACTGTATGGTAACTGTTTGGTGGTCTCTTCATCGTCTTATTCACTACAGCTTTCTCAGGTCTGGTCATTCAATAACGGCATATGTTTACTGTTGCGAATTTTGAACAATGTGGCAAAACTGGCAGTGAAACAGCCCCGACTCGTGAATCGATCTTCACCATTATTACTCCATGATAACGTAAGACCTCACACTGCACGAGAGACCGTTGTAACCCTACGGAAGCTGCAGTTAGAAACCATACGTCATCCTCCGTACTCTCCAGACCCAGCTCCAACGGTATTCCATTTTTTTTCGTTATTTGGACAATTTTCTACGTGATAAAAACTTTTCTTCCCAGGAGGCAGTGCAAAATGCTTTCACACAGTTTTAAATTTTTCCTTTAACTTTAACCCCTAATATGTTATGAACAGTGACATACGTTGTACCATATGTTAAATAAATACTTTTATTAAATGAAAGTAGTAATAGCATTAAGGTCAGTCGACAATAAAACGGCAATTTTGGATTCTGTAATATAGGGGGCGTAGCTCAGATGGTAGAGCGCTCGCTTAGCATGCGAGAGGTACCGGGATCGATACCCGGCGCCTCCAAATACAGGTTTTTATTTTTTATTTAATTGTGCTTAATTAAATATTTCTAAAACTGCTAGAAATAACCATTTACGGGACCTTATGACTACAGACTACCTACTAGACCTACCAAGAAATGGATTTTCTAAGTACCGGGATATCGATACCCGCGGCTCCAAATACTACTTTTTTTAATTTTTATTTAATTTTGCTTAATTAAATATTTCTAAAAACTGCTAAAAATACCCACTATAGGACATACTTAATTGACTATTTACGGGACCTTATGACTACAGACTTGTATTTATACCTACCAAGAAATGGATTTTCTAAGTTTTTTTATTTCATTTAGTTTACGTTTAAGTCATTCTATCTATCCTACCCAGGCTGGCATTTTACCTTTGAGATAGAGAATCTCAAACTAGTTACCAACTTAAACTAAAAATCCATTTATTCTGTACTTCGATCAATAGTACTATTATTGATCGAAGATTCTGTAGCTTAGTTAACTGTGATCATCTCCAGTACCTTGTATAATTCGAGCGTCAACAGTACGAGTTTATCGACGATTCCTCGTATCTCGTCTGGAAATATCTCGAAATGCCCTTCTAAGATTGATATGTAGATATGCTTCAACGTGGTCTCTGATGGGAATTGTAGATTATATGTCGAAAACATTGAGATGAAACGAGGGTCCACCTGAAAGACAGAAAAAAATAAATTTTGATTTATACAAAGAGTTTTGATATGAATACTATTGGACCCATTGACTTAATATAGGGTAATCCACACAGGGTACTGTGGGAATTAAAGGTCAGTAAATAGAAAGTATCAAATAGTAGTTAAGAAGGGAATGGATGTTGCTTATATTGCTGGGCAGCGGAATGAGTAAAGCACAAGTTTGAGCAGGTCACACTCGCATAAATGTGATCTCGAACAGGCTGCTGTTAGGCAATCCTGTAACATTCCTATAATTTTGCTACCTACCCTAAGTTGTTTTACATTGCATGTATACATTTGTTGTCATACATTACATGGTATTTTATAGTCCTCGGGTAAGTGCATTATAGCCTGAAAAAACAGACAATCTCTGTTTATTAGGAAGGCGCCTTGAAGCAAAGGTTCTCTTGAAACATATTTTATAAAATAACTTCCTAATCAACATAAAATTATGTATGTTCACACTTACATCGTTCCTTCCACCCCCAGCTTTACCCATGGCAGCCAAGAAGCCAATATCTTTCAAATTTTTCCAGTTAAGATCCTTGCCCCTATCGTAGAAACCTTTTCTCTCGAACAGTAGTTTAAGAAGGGCTATTGGTTGTTGAGTGCCGTATGTGTCCACCTAAAAAGACAGTTGTTTGAACATCATCTAGCAACACTTTCGAAAACTTTATTAAAATTCTTAAATGATGCATTTTAAGAGTGATGAAGATGGTTATCTGAAAATACTGTGATTTTGTTGCAGTAATAATAATATTCAAACTCAAACTCAAATATTTTTTATTGAGTGGCCTTGTTAAAGAGTATTTTCAATCGTCAGTAGGATACAAAATAACAGTCATGCAAAATAAAAACAACGATAAGCTGACCGTATTACATTAATACATTTACATAATATCCCTATTGCAAGGCCTAACATCGACTAGTCTGCCGTTATCACGAGAGCTTATAACTAAAGCTATGCAGTGACCAGAAAATACTCCTGTAATAAAAAGATAGCTAAGAAGAGAGAAGAAGAAGCTAAGATTGAAAAAAAAACCGATCGGTTCGATGGAACCTCCAACGGCGACAGCGCGGTGTAGTGCTTACAAACCATTATCCTTATAGCTAATGACTAGAGCAAATCAATCCTATGTAGATTAATCATTGATGTAATCTTTAACGCGGTAACAAGCTTCTATACTCAGCTTGCGTTTTACGTAATTTTTGAGTCTATTTAGTGAAAAAGAACCTTGCACATCGCACACATTTGTTATGGTAATCAGACTGCTGATAAATATACTTATATATCTCTAAATACATTAAATAATATTAGGTAAATTACACCCAGACAGAATAAGTATTTATTGAGTTAGGGCACGTTAGAGTTGCTGAGCATAGCCTAATACATACATATATATATATACATACAATAGCATTATTTTACTTCAGAAAGTCACCAAGATCTAGTTACATATTAAACCTTATGCGAGCGGACATTTCAAAAGGTCGTTTCGTAATCGCCTTAGGCATAGTAATAGAGCTGACTACGTTTATTTTACTTTAGATAGACACATTCATTTTTATTTAAACAAGTGTGGGGGGCGTAGCTCAGATGGTAGAGCGCTCGCTTAGCATGCGAGAGGTACCGGGATCGATACCCGGCGCCTCCAACTGTTCTTTTAGACATTTTATAACGTACTTAGTATCAGTACATAGTTTAAGCGACTATAATGCTGTCAGCCTTTTGGAAACGACGCCACTTGCCTTGCATACACAAATGTTTTATGGTACATGGAGCAAAGCTATGGAATTCAAAGTCGCGGGTGCAAGCTAGTATAGCTTGCACCCGCGACTTCGTTCGCTTCTAATTTTAAAAGCGCTGGCTTAGTGGTGTAGTAGTATGAGGCCTCGGGTTTGATGCCCAGACCGGGCAGAATTTGAAAGGGTTTTGGCCTACTATACAACGCTGGCCTGAAGAGTTAGTATAGGGTTTGTATCAAGTTTTCCTTCTCTTTGCAGTGCTGTTGTCCTCCGTAGTTTGATCCCTTAGTCGGCTTTTACGACATTCACGGGATGAATCTCGGTGGTGACACTCCGTATTCTTAATCCGTCACCACACGAAGAGCCCAACCCCACGCATCCCCTTCTAATTCTAGGGTTGGGGGCAACACAAATTTGAGTTTTCTCTTGAGTCTGTGCTTATTCTATATATCATAAAGTTCACCCTGTTTACTGTCACAGTGTCGATACGTGAAGTAGTAATCACGACGCCTTAGGCTAAAGTCTTTTTACTTAATAATTACTTACGATAGGCATATTCATGTCATCGATGAATACAAGCATTTTCTTGCCGACAGGCGGTCCGAATGTGTCTTTAGTTCGCTTCTCGATAACAGACTCCAAATTACGTTGTACATCCATAGAAGAAGTACGCGATGAAAAGTTCATTGGTTGAATAATCTGGAATTAAAATAAGTAAAGTTAATTTCTTCACATTAACTATCACATGTTGTTCGTTTCAAAAACTGTTATTATTATAGATCAAACTGGACAATGTCTTCTAACATAAATAAATTGCCTCGTAGGGAATTCCAAAAACTATTATTTGGAGGCGCCGGGTATCGATCCCGGTACCTCTCGCATGCTAAGCGAGCGCTCTACCATCTGAGCTACGCCCCCGTACACGGTATTACGCTAAACTGCCGATTTGTTGTCGATTGACCTTAATGTTTTTGTAATACTTTCATTTCAGTAATGAGTCATAATAAGTAAGTTAATCATTTATGTATTTTTTTTTATTTAACACGTACGCGTCTGTTTACAACATATTTCTAAAATATATTTGTAATTTTATTAAGTGACATCACACTTCTAAATAATATAGTGGTATTTCATAAATAACTTTATTATAGATTACAGGTTTTACGGTGATTTAAAGAATTTTAACCAAAAAGGGTTATTTTAAGGGTTTTTTTGGGGTGGGAGAGTCATGTTTTGTCACATGTGGGCCAAATCTTTCGGTATTTTTTACTGAGTGAGTAAGGTGACCGGAGCCCAATCCTGATTCGGAGGGGAGGGACCACGCATCTGCCACTTGACTGTTGCCAGTATCCACGGGCGGTATTAATCACTTACCATCAGGTTACTCGTGTTCTCGTTTTTTAAGACAACTCCCGCACTAGGAATACATCCTGTGTCGCGGGAGATTTTACAAACATTCATGAAACGGACCACACAGACTCCTAACAACAATTTGTGGATCACACAAAGTGTTGTCCCATGTGGGGATCGAATTCACAACACTAAGCGTAATAGGAAGCAGCGAGGTAACTGCTTAAACCGCGCCATCCGTTAAGTCAAAAGCCAAAAGTCAAAAGCAAAAATGAAAAAACTTAAAATTTCGCAGCAAGCAAAATACATAATACTTACATATTTTTCCGGTGGCAATTCTCGCAAGTAATTAGTAATAATTGCAGTTTTGGATGTTCCCGTTTCTCCAACTAATAGGACTGGTCGTTCAACCTGATATCAACATTATATGCTTGTAAATAAAAGAAATTAAACTTACTTCACCATACTACAAATTAAGATAAAAGGGTGTAATAAGATGTACGATGTAGATGATTTTTGTATAAAATAATATATCGTGGCGTCATACTTAGCTATTGTAAAATCATTTATATTCATATATCATTTATTTTATTTTATCATTTATATGCTGATTCAAAGATATCAAAACCATAAAATATTCATTTGATAACGTAGGCCAATTCAGAATGATATGAACTACTCGAATAATTATTATACTAGCTGAGCCCGCAGTTTAACAGGTTCCTGTTTTCGGGCCAAAAAGTCAACCAATCCAGGGTGTCAGCTACCATATCAAGATTTTATCAAAATTGGTCCAGGCGTTGGAGAAGAAGTAAAAACCTACAAACAAAGAGACTTTCCCCTTTATAATTATAGTAGTGTCATTTCTGTACAAAAACTAAAAACAACGGTGAACTATGATGTACCAGACTGCATACAAAAGAGAATTACCTGGTAGTCTATAGGCTTAGGAAACCCAAAGATATAAAAAGATAAGGCTTACGCTCTCCATGATCTTAATAAGCCAAGTCATGCGCAACGTGTCGACTGTGGGTACCAATATCGACGGGAACTTCGTTTCTCGACAGTGCTGGTACGGTGGAACGAGCCACTCCCACGCTTCCCAGATCTTAGTGTCAAGTTCAAGGCAGTATTCGTATAATGTTGCATATCCCATTGGAAAATGTTCTGCGAGAAAATATATACATAATATAGCATAATATAGCTTAGCAACTGATCGACACTTCTCGTGATCATAAGGCCGGCCTATTTCTACCACAGATAATTTGCATTGCCATTCAACGTGGCAATGCTGCCAGTCTTCTGGGAACGCTACCAGTAGGCGATGATGCGGAAGAATTTTTGATGCTTGTATGTAAATGTTTTAAATATTTTAATTGCATTGAAATATATTCAGTTTCACTGTAAGCTTATATTATATGAATAGTTTTATAATTGATGTAATTTATCATTTATTCTTACCAATTTATGGATAGATTGGTTTAAAGAAATTATTAAAAAGGTTATGTCAGTAAATTATTAAAAAATATCAATATACTCGTATTACACGTTTAAGTATTACTCTTTATATTCCATATTGTTTTTTTAATTCATCAAAAATAAATAGGTATACATTTTTAATTGTTCTGGGAACCCAACTAAGTACATAGTAAATGTCATGAAATTTTTACTTGTAGTTGCTTTCTTCTCTGGATTATCGTCGACCAGCATCATTGGACAGGCCTTTTTAACGTAGTTGTCGAAATCCAACCGGCCACGGTCCACTATTGCCGCACCGAGGCTGTTGTACATTGACTGAAATATATTACATTGGGTTAATTCCATGAGATAATTTATTTTTTATTATTAGATAGTTTATTCGAAGTTCGTATGTACAAATATGTCTGGTTACCATAGCACAGACTCTTGCCTAATTTAGGATCAGTTGTTCGTGTGTGAAATGTTTCAATATATTATTTAAAAATAATACAAAAAATCCTGTTTGGAGGCGCCGGGTATCGATCCCGGTACCTCTCGCATGCTAAGCGAGCGCTCTACCATCTGAGCTACGCCCCCGTTGGAGTGAAAGATTAAAATACGCGACATAATATCTAAAGTGAAAGATATAAATAAATTCTATACGCGTACCAAGATAGTGTTGCCTTGGAGGTAATCTTACGCAACGGCATGTGGTATCAATTATATCTGATATTGTATACACCTAACCGTTAAAATGTTTTAATTTTGCACAATTTCTTTTAATATTTGTACAATTTGTTTACTTGATTAGTGGGGAAAATTAAAAACAAATAAATTGCATTTAATTTATGTAAAAAGTATGGCTAGTGAGTATAAATGACAATAGTTGAGGTAATTAAAATTAAATAATAGTAGTGCAATACGTTCATTACCAAATACCTACTTATCAATTTCTCTCTTACTGAACCGAGACTGAAAAAAAATTCGCAAGACATTTTGTCACAACTTTGTAATGTCCTGGCGTGATGATAGGATTAATTAACAAAAATATAAAATATTAAATATTATCTCAAGAGATTGTCAATTTGTGGAAAGTGTTTATTCTTGGATCAGCCAGTTATCTATTTACTAACGGATAGCCAAGAGCCTGAAGGTTCTAAGCTCGACTTAAATAGCTGTTACAAGGAAAATATGCAAAAAGCAAATATGTTTTCTTCGACAAAGACCTTGAGGTTCTCATCCTTAAAGCTGTAACAATCATTGTCTTGATGGTGGGTAGAGTCCGTTTCCATGGTGTTCTATTTATAATATTTTTAAAGAATTGGGATTCAGTAAGAACTGTTGTTAAGATATCCGAGTATTAATAGACATTTTTTTAAATTTTCGGGGGTCTATAGCGCACTTGGCGACAGCGAAATATATAGATGACTGCAGAAACGTTTTAATTATTCGATCTATGATTTTGTATTGTTAATACACGAATACTCGGAAATATTGTAAAATATATTAGTAATAATTAAAATTTCATAAACTAAAGACGTCTTTACACTTTCTCACGTTTTTGCTTTTACCTTATTAGCAAAGTATGGTGAGAACCCTTCGTATAAAATAATATAATAGTTGTATTCATATGAACTATAAGTATATCGGTACCTATACATTTACATATATAGTACACGACGTGTCTCTCTAATAACACATTAATTCCTAAATTAGTATGATGTCATGCCACAAATTCAAGGTTGCTATGCTATTACATACCACCATGAAGACGCATTCGACGACAGTTCTATCAATCTCTTCATCCACTGCTTTGTTCGGCATCAGACCACTTATCATGTAGCATAGCTGGGTCACCTACAAATGGAAAATTAGGGTATATATTAGTTCACAGGATTCGGATAACAAACGTTCTTGTCTGACTCTAAGTTAAATTAAATACATTAGAAATACCGAGAAAGAGATTACGTAGAGAGGAAAGTGCATTTTTTTTTTCTATATTTTTAAATTCTATTAAATTTATTCTAAATTTTACGTTTGAATTTCATAGAACGCTCCCTATATTAACAATTTAACATTACTCAGACATGTGTTGTAGCTTTACCAAGAAAAATAATCTGTGAATCGAATAAGTGTTGTCTCACACTGAACATGCAAGCTTTAAAACTTCGTGGAATACAGAAATTCAGAAACCATTTTGTTTATCTTGAGCATTTGTTCTGTCTAAGTGTAAGTGATCTCTATAAAAAGTAACTGACAGACTGATTCACTGACTGATCGATCAATGCATAGCTGCAACCGCTGGGTCTAGCCATGAAATTTTGTACAAATGTTTCCTAGGTGACGTAGGTGTGCACTTGTTTGTAAAAATTCCACCATTAAGGGTGCAAAATAGGGGTTGGAAATTTATATGAACTCTACGATGTCTGATGTCGATCACCACTGTGAGTATAGTAGTTATTAGTTATGAATCAGACTGCCGTGTGTGAGATGTGTGACGTTATAGTTATTATTATTCCTACCAATATATTTGGCTTAATTCAGCAATAAGTAATGTGACAAAAAAAAGTGTTAATATGTAATTTAATTTAGGAGTTATTTTCTTGAAATATTTATTTATTTATTTGACACATTATGCACAAAAAATTATACAGGATGCCAAAGTGAATTGAAAAAGATAAAGCTAAAATTCACTTACCAGATTGAGTGGTGTCTGCGGGACGATAGTCTTGAGTGGCGTCTGTTGTTGGAGACCGAACAAACCGAACACGATATAGTTTATGGCACCGGCTACGTAGTGCTCAAACAGACCGTCCAGCTGTTCCCGTTCCTCCTCATTGGTGCGGCCACGGAGCCACCTGGGACATTTAATCGCTCTTATGGAGTAGTTTTACCATCAACTGACTACGGGATTTTACTGATTTGACATCATGTATGCTTTTTTTCATAGGAACACAAAATGACCTCAACAGTATAAAGTGCACAAAAACAATATTTTCTTTTGTGCGGATAAAAAGTAACCAAGTAAACGCAGTTATTTAAATCTTTGTGTGTACTTATATAGGTTCTCAATTATATTTGTTGACAAAAGTTTTTGTATAAACATAGTTTATTTATGTATTAAGGACCTACCACAAAAGATATCTTTACAAATAAATAAAATTGAAGTGTTTGTTTGTAACGTCGAAATAATAAGTTTTTTTGATGCTCACACGGTTATTTGCACGATAACTATGCCTAAAAACCAGTTTTATGTCTGTCTCTTTGTTTCAGGTAATCTTAAAAACGGCTAAATCGATTTTGATAATATTTTACTTCCAGGTAGCTGTCTATATAAGGATTAAGTTAGGCTATCTTTCGGTTCAGAAAAACCCTATAACATTTTGCCCGGTCCAGGAATCGAACCCGACGCCTCTTGAACTGCTGTCGCGTACCGTACTACACCACTAAGGCAGCGCTTTTCAAATTCCACGCGAACAAAATCGCAGGTACCAGCTAGTACGCAATAAACCCCCTTTATACAAACAATACGTTTTTGGCTATTGACTCCTTCAATTATAGGAGGCCACGGCATACACTAAAATAATGGATATTAACATTTCGTATATAAATAAAATATATAAAAGAAACTCCAAAAACGTAACGAACAAAATAAAATAAAAAGTGAAAATACACTCTAGTTGAAGTTGGTATTATTTTTTGTATTGGAATCTAATTTCGACAATCTAACACATGTTGACTAACGAACGTTTTGACTGGCAATAAGTACTAAGATACATTGAAGTTCCTATTTTTTTTAAATTAAATCATTTGACTATTCCACAATCAATATAAGAATCTTATCTGGTAATATAGTGTTTACACCTTACTTACTTGGGAAATACATAGCTACCTGCTATATTGCAGTTGAAACTTTTATCTTTTATCGAAGTCTACAGGCATTAACAAGAACAATAAATATCTCGAGTCAAACGTACATATCCCAATAGGGTTGATATCCTAAGTTCTTGGGGTCTACAAACACCATGCCAGCTCTGGACACGGTCGCCGGTGAAGCATAGTTTAGATCACCAACTTCAAATAACAGAGCACAATATGGTGCTAAGCGGATTCTCTCTCCGTTGGCTAATGTGAGCAGCTTATTGTCATCCATAACAGAGTTCATGTTCTCTATCCATAACGCATCGACGTCACCGTCGAAGAGAGAGTAGCGACGTTCCTCTCTGTCTGCAGGTCTAAAAGAATAAGACAGTTATTAAAAAAACCCATGTTTCCTTAAGATGTACCTACTGGAAACCAAACCTTAAGTAACTTACCAACAAATACATAAATAAGTGTATATACATAATTAAACATATCATACTCGCCTATTCATTTCACGAAATATCTTTGAGTAAAGCCCATCAGTCCAATCCCTGGTTACAGGGTCCAAAATCCCATATAATTCGACGACTGAGCATGCCTGTATTAAAAGAAAATATAGATCAGGATCACTATCAATCGACCAAAAAAGTTGTAAGAATTTTGATGAGTCAAGGAGGTGTTACAAATGTACGGTAATAGGCAGCTGTAACTGAGCGGATGGTCACATAAGACGTTCTTATCCTATATATATATACGGGTTAGTGAAGATAAGAAATCACTATGCATGTCGTCTAGTTCTACAGCAACAGACGGTATTACCTAAATAAGTGACGGTATTAATTTGAGAGCGAATTTTATTTGCTTTTTGAGCAAATTTCAATGTTGGCAATATTTTTTATTTTCACTCCTTTTTGTTTGAAATCCAATAAACGCATTACGTGCATTTTTGAGTCTTAATTATTTTCCACTTTATTGATCCGAAATATCAACAATCTTTGTCAGTACCAGTCACCCGAGATGTTGGGGTGACTTTCAAATGAGATCTTTTAATCCGATTCAAAGTACCCTTAAACTTGAATTTTTTTATTACAGCTCCCGCACTAGGAATATATCCTGTGTCGCGAGGATTTTGCAAAACATACATGCTAGGGACATAAAGAACATCCAGACTTAGAACGACAATTTGTGGATCACACAAAGTGTCGTCCCATGTGGGGATCGAACCTTCAACACTCAGCGTAGTAGGAAGCGGCATGGCGACCACTTAAATCACTACGCCATCCGTGCAGTCAATCTGAGATGAGGTCGCAACCAAAACGATGGGTACTGGTTAAACGTACCTTAGGATTTATAATCGTGAGTTTTGTCGGCAGTCCCATATTTGTCTGAGCCTTGACCAGCGTCTGTAGGATGACTGTCTTGCCGCCGCCCGTAGGCCCCACCAGCATGGTGCAGTGGCGAGTCATCATCGTTTCGTATAATTGAACTATTTTGTCCACCTGTTGAATAATAACAACATTATAACAATAACAAAGATGCCTGTGTAAAAGCATACTTTCAGAGTCAGTGCACCAACCGCTTAAAGGTCCAGGCGTAAAAAGCTTCTCCTTCTGCGAGCAAGTTATGCTCGCGAAGGAGACGGCGGAGCGGGACCGGGAGAGGTTTAGAACTCTCCCGGCCCGCCAGGCCCGGGCACGGGCCAGGCAGCGCAGGCGACTCAGGCGCCGGAGGTCGCAGAACGACCTCCGTCCTCCATAAGCGCAGGCCTGGGGGTGACAGGTGAGGCCATCTGTCACCCTAGCAGAAGCAGGCCGGGGTGGCGGCGAGCGCGTTGCGAAGCGCGCTCGCTTCCAGGGAGCACAGGGAACATGGGGTTCCCACACGGGGCGGGGGTCGTCTACTCGTCTGTAGATGACCCGAGGTATGTCGGGGCACCAGGGCCTTCCTTTCTAGGGTATACCTGGTTCCCCGGCTATTAGTACCCGGCGAAGGCGTGCGGTTTTAGTCGGTTCGAGTCCGACATGCCACCGACAGGTGGTATCCGAGGGGATTTCCGCACGAAAAAAAAAACATTTTATTCTCATAAATAAATAGGGGCAAATAACATTATCAAGCAATTCCATATTAAAATGCTCGATGTTTTTCTACTAAGAAATTATTGTCTCCGCACGTTAAATCCATTGTACCTTTTACATGAAATTACTGTATTTATTATAATAAACTCATTACATTAGTATAGGTAGATTAATAATTTTTACGGAGGTATTATTTCTCGTAATCAGTTGCTATTTATAGTGGCAGTTAGGACAAAATGGGTGGAGTGTTGCTTCCTTGCAAGGAAATGAAACTTCATTTCGAATACTACGCTAACCAAACTGTACCCTTTACACGATAACAACATAGGTCAATAATGCTCAGACAATCTAAGCATAATTTCTTGATTTTTTCAGATATGAAGCAAACGAGCCATCCATGAATACTTTCAGCTCAATAATTATTTATTTATTTATTTATTTATACATCTTTATTGTACACCGCTACAGCATATATTGTACAGACATGGATGGACATCTACATGTGGTATTACAATAGGCGGTCTTATCGCACACGGCGATCTCTTACAGACAACCTTTATACGGATATTGCCAAATACGATTTAGGGTAGTCTGTGGTGTACTTTATAGTATTAAAATATATAAAAATAAACATACTAAATACGCTCACAATATACATACCAATACATACATATATCCACATAAATAATAAATACATACAAAGGTTACAAACGTTAATACTAGGTTTAAAGATCGCATAGGTCTGTGCTTTTCACCCGCTACAGCTTAGGTTCACAAAGACCCACCTGATGAGCTAGAACAATATATCCATCATTTACGAGTACTTCCTCTACAGCGGTATTAAAAGATGGGTACCCAACACGTGGGCACTCTAGCCCAGGGAACAGGTCCTTGATCAAACCCAAGAAGAGGGGCACGTCCTCGAACACAAACTTAGGATGGTTCATGTCCCTGAAAAATAATAAATAATAGTAACATCCGAAGCATACTCATTTTATTTTTTGGATTAACAAAAACCAAAATCTTGGCACAACACTGGCTTAAGTCATACACAATTGATTTATCTGGCTAATAACTAATAATTGTATGATGAACACTATTATTTGTAATTGTGTTTCGGTGTGTTTCGGTGTAATTTATATATAATATGTATTTATTTAAATATGTTTATCAGCTCTGAAGAAGAATATCGAAATCTGCTAACCGAAGCGCCCGCATCAGCACCATAATCTCACTAAGGCCAGGCGAGTCTCGGCGCAGCTTGCCGGCCATACGCAGTACTGCAGTAAGAGCACGTAATCCCCAATCGTAATGAGATTGCTTCGATAGTTGTTCTCGAGCCACTTTGTACAGCACTGTCATTTTCTTGGCTAATACCTGGAAAAACAGAAAGATATTAGAAGAAGATATTATTAAAATTTAATTGTCACTGAACTTATTTTGACCTAATTTTAGGGTCTTATAATTTCATGTTTTCTTTTTATATCGTTGTAAAAGGGTTCTTGAATTTTTGATTATTAAAAAGTGAAGTGACTTTTTACATGATTTGACTATGGCGTCATAGGGTATTATTACATACTAACTGACCCGACAGATTTTGTCTTGTACAAAGAACAATGGCAGGTCTCGATTCAAAAAATATTTGGAATCAAATTACAGTATCTTGAAAAGCGAAATTGAATGATATGCCTTTACCTTGGCCGTTAGGAATCCATCCGAGAATAGTGAGATCTGACAGATCATTTCAAGATCTGGCAGTATACACATGACAGGTCTGAACAGAGCTTTTACAGATTCTGGAAGTTCCGTACGTCCAGCATAACCTGGATTCATTGTGATAAAAATGCCCACTTTTGAATCCATTGCTATTTCTTGACCTTCAAACTGATAAGAAAATATATTTAATAAGAATAACATACGAGTTTTAAGTATAAAAATGCCCACTTTTGAATCCATTGCTATTTCTTGACCTTCAAACTGATCAGAAAATATATATATATTTTTTTCTTTTTTTTAATATTGTACCACATTCACACAACGCCATCTAGTCCCAAACTAAGCAGAGCTTGTACTATGGGTACTAGACAACTGATATATATACATATATACTTTTTTTTTTTGTAAATACATACTTATTATACATAGAAACACCCAGACCAAATCAAACATTAAATGTTCATGCACACAAATGTTTGACTTGAGCGGGAATCGAACCCGCGACCTTTGGAATAGCAGTCCGTTACACAAACCACTACGCCATTCGGTCGCCATTTAATAAGAATAACATACGAGTGTTAAGTATAAAAATGCCCACTTTTGAATCCATTGCTATTTCTTGACCTTCAAACTGATAAGAAAATATATTTAACAAGAATAACATACGAGTGTTAAGTATTTGTGTTTTTGTATTAAATATTATTATTAGATTATGAGAGTTGTTAATATTGGTGTTTTTGATATTTTTATGTATAATAAGCATACTAGTATAGTGGTTTTATAAATAAGAGTATATTTGACATCTCTGTTTATAATAATAATATTTGGAACATCTGACACATAACGCCATCTAGTTTCAAACTAAGCAGAGATTGTACTATGAAAACTAGATTGTCTTATAGAATACTTTTGTAAATACATACATATTATACATAGAAAACATCCAAACAGCGAAACAAATATTTTCAGATCATACAAATATTTGCTGCGACCCGGGAATCGAACCCAAGACCTCAGCACAGCAGTCGCATACGCTACCACTGCACCAGCTTGGCAGTAATAATGCATATGTTGCGATAACTTCAGTACTATGTCATACCATAAAATTTAAATCAAGACAGTTCATGACACTTACTGTGAACCTTTTGAGTTTCATAAGCAATGCACTTCTTATACACTGCAGCTGAGTGGATATGACGGATAACACAGAGACGTCAATCCTATTGAACTCGTCAAAGCAACCCCACGCCCCGCATTGACACAGACCAGCCAGAATTTGTCCAACCGCGCGGAAATCCATACCCTCCCCACAGTTTGTAACAACACACAGGAGTCCAAGACATTTAGCCAGATCTTTGGTTGTTTCAGTTTTGCCAGTTCCAGCGGGACCTAAACAGTACAATTAAGGACAAAAAAAACATTGCTTTCTAGATCAATTTAATTCAAACAAAGACAACATCTTTAGACTTTTTAGTAAGACATAAAGGGATTATGGGATACGAATACTCGAGAATACCATACTTCGAACGTTTTTCCTTCTCACTTATAGTAATAATAATAATAAAAGTTATAATATTTTGGACATCTAAAACACAACGCCAACTAGTTTAAAACTAAGCATAGTTTGGTTCTATGAAAGCTAGATTGACTGATAGAATACTTTTATACTTTTTTTTTGTAAATACATAGAGAACACCGAAACCCCGAAACAAATATTTGCAGAGCATACATTTGGTCCGACCCGGGCATCTTACAGCAGTCGCAAATGCTACCACTGCGCCACCGAGGCAGTCAAAATGAAAATAATATAATAATTTATTAATATGAAAATTAGTAATAGGCACAGTAGCTTCTTTAAATCTGGAGCATTTTTCTTATAAATTGTTTACGAATGTCTTTGGCTCTTATGCAACATCAATCCAATTAACGTGTTATTCTACCAGTCATCCTCTGATCATTTAATAATTTCATCGGGTGCAGAATGTGAATTATAAAAATAATCATTTATTGAAGATAAAAATATAACATAACTACAATAAAGTGTCATATTTTCAAAGTAACACAGTCTATACATGTAATTGAATATGCATTTATTGATCGCATTAAGTGAAATATACGTAATTCGGACGTATTGGACATTGGTCCACATTTTGAGAAGAGTTCATAATTTGAAGGAGGTAGAGTATATTTACCAGCGGGTGCTCCTCCCAACTGCATGGTAAGCGCTTGTGTGATGGTGAGGTAGATACGGTCAGTAAGCGGAGTGATCACCAAGCGCCCGTTCAAGCCCATGTATTCGTAACCGTATTCAAATATTCCTACAAAATTTTAATTTAGTTTCTATATCTATCGTATAATGTCTTTCATTTAATTATATTCATATGAGTAAAGTACATGGAATAAAAGTAACATTGTATGTGATCGACATAGTATGCGTTTAAGAAAGAATATTGAACAATACAAGATAAACAGATTTTGATACAAAACTGCTTTGCTTCTTACCTACCAATGCATTGTTTTTAATATACAACTCCCGCGTTAGGAATATATCCTGTGTTGCGGGGACTTTACAAACATACATAAAACGGACACAAAACAAAATGTGTGAATCACACAGTGTTGTCCCATGCGGGGATCGAACCAAGAATAGTGCTGACAGTAGGAAGCGACGAGGTGACCGCTTAAACCTCCACGCCATCCGTGCAGTCAATTGATCCGTATAATGAAAAATAATTGTTACTTTCGTTAAGTTAATCTAGAGAAAAACTTATAAAGACTTTTTGCACCTGTACATTGTCGACACCACAGGTTGTCGTCCTTTTTAAGCCAATAAAACCTGAGCTGACTCTCCCACTCGAACTCACTCGCCTCAGTCACGTTGTCTCGCACGAACCCCTCGATGATATCGCGGGCGTGCACGTCAATAGTCGTTATAGTCCGGAATTTTAGACGATCGTTTGGCGATAAGTCTGTATTGCAGAGGAGGAATACTTGTATTACAGATTTTAACTAGTATAGGTACTTGTTGGTTCCACTTAAAGGTGCTTGCTTTAAAACTTTAAAAGCTTTCGAATAAACAACCGCTCAGCATCTACGCTATCGACATTCCTTCACTTAAGAAAAAAAAGCAGACCGGTATGTACCTTTTTTATAAATATGTTTTGACAACAGAAACATGTGTTGCCATTTTTTAAGTGTTGCCTATAAATAAGGTCTACTATAGGAGCTGCAGTGGTTATAGTATGGTTTCTTATCAGAGACTTTCAAAACATAAAGGAACCTGCGGAAACGGCGTGAGAGGTCCATGGACCTCCGGTCGGAACAAAGTTCTTTTCACCTTTCGGTTAATCTTTTTTCCGATACTTTGACGTTAATCAAAGTGTCGGAAAAAAAGTCTTATTACACATTCTTCGATCGCGTTCCCATCCACTCAGAGCATGTAACGCGCGATAAGAAACTTTGTTCCAAAAATTCCCTATAAAGTACATATTGTGCAGAATAAAAATAGAATAGAAAAAAGAGCAGCATAATAAGGAAATGATGACGATGATGATAGGATAACATCTCCACAGTTTTATTCAAGCTCTACTCGACTACACGACTTTAAATATGATCGTGGCTTTCTATAAAACTCTGTATATAGGTATGTAACATCATATAGATAGATTTACTTGGGGAACTCTGATCAATATCTACGGGTAATTGTAAATTATAGAAAAGTACTAGGCAACCACTCGCTTACAGGTTTAACAATATTCAAGAATGAACTTACCCAGCCTAACTTTTACTACAAGTCCGTCCAGTTGTTCATTTTGTTGCGCCAAATGTTCTTTCATGGCCCTCTTATTGCCTTTTTTAATACGTTTAAAAGTCTCTTCAGTTTCTGCCGTCCACCATACACCATTAGCAACTAAGCACACCATGCCTTGGTATTCCAATATCCAATCAGTTCTAACGACAAATAAAATCATATAAAATTTTATTTATTACATAACTGGAACCTCGTAGCTACAGATATTAACTTATTTAGCTGTTCACTGAGTGAGTTCACAAAGACAACATAATATAAGAAGCAGTCTTTGTAATTATGTAAAACAAGTATTTTTGTAATAGTTATACTATCACATTAGGATTTACCTGTAATGATTGTAGTAAGTGTGGATACTAATAAATTAAAACTTAATAACGTATAGTTTCAGAATAAAAAATGATTATAAATGATTTCTGTATAATTATGTATCTTTTGCAAATCGTGTGGATTGGCTACCTAAATATGACTATAAATCACCAATACAATAACTTTTATTGATTTTTATTTTAGCTCAAATTGAAATTGTAGTACATTCTTAAACATCAATTGTATTTTTTTTGGCCTTTTACTTTGATGACTGTGTCTACTGTAATTGAAACAAATAAAATCCAAACCTGGGTACTTTCCAGTTTCTTCCGTAATAGAATATAGCCTTCTTGGACAAAAACCTGTTGGAACTACGCATTTCATTAAGCACAAGGTTCATCCAGTCTTCTACGCGACCTTCTGTGTATACTACGGTGCGAAAGTCCATTATCTGGTAGAAAAACACAAGATCTATTAACCTTCAGAACTTTTGAAATCTTTCATTATGTTATTGACTTTTACTACTTTTACTTTGACCTGAATAAAAATTAACAAAACACGATTTCTATAAGCCTCTACTTTTACATACTGAGGTTTAATCGCCATATTAACAACGACGACATTGTGTTCCCTATGCGTAGGGCAACGTTACAAATATTACATAAATGATAAGAGAGCTCGTTGCATTTTAGAAAACATATATTTATAATTCTCACATACCTCATTTTCAGCTGATATCATTTTGGATGCGACTGGACGATTTGTATGATCAACATACAATTCTAAAGCACGAATATTGTCGAACATCTAAAAATACATAATGTATAATTTAATCGTCTTCTACCTGCTCACAAGTTAACCACCCTTGAAGCATTAAAAAAAATGAGTACTTTTGTGGTCGATTTTAAGTATTTTTCACCCTCCTACATTTTTCAATCGCCATTTTAGTATTTTTAAATGAACATAAATTTATACGGTAGAACAGGGATTTCCAAAGTAATCGATATCGACCCCTTGGGATCGAAAACTGGTTTTGGGGTCGTCGAGGTCTAAAAATCGACCCCTATTAATTAATAAAAGTTCTTATTTGAAACTTTCAAGATACTATATCAGTTGTGTTACATGTACCAACTAGTCCAAATATTTAAGTAGGAAGTATCATTGTTGTTCATCAAGTCAATACTTGTTGTGTTTTTAAATAGTACAACAATGCGGTATCAGTTCTTTTTACATACGGGGAACTTACCAGAAATAGTTTGGGAATCGCTGCCAGGTAGAACATTTGCCGGGTCGGCTAGTATTACTATACTTATTTATTTATTAAGAACGCACAAACATTATACTAGGCATATACATGCGGAACACTTCAACAAGGTGAAGGTGAAGGACTATTGTGCTAAGTAGTATCAGATGGAAATTGGTCTTTGCTACAGAAAATTTAACGTCAACTGGTCAGCGCATCAATGTCTTACGTCGTCGATAAAGAAAATTTAAATGGATCCGTACTTACTTTGATCATGTGCTCTTGCACACAAGAGCATTCGCTACTGCCAAGGATGGACAATAGCTCATCAGTCGAAATAAAGAAGAAACGTGGAAATATGCGCCTCTTAGAGTCCAAATAGTCGTTGAGAGATTTCTGACATCTGCATAATAATAAAATAGTAGTATTGTAGGATTGTAATATGTATATAGTATGTAGTATTGTAGTATTGTATATTCTTAAACTCTACTGACGAACACAGAATTCTAAACAGGAGTACAGAACTGAAATGTAGACACTTTTTAAACTATAAATATGACACGAAACATGATACTAATTAATCAGTTTCAATGCCTGGGGAATAATAAATTTAGGTACACAAAAATTTATTGATGCTAAGATTTTACTACGCTCTTTGATTGGAACTATTGGTTTATCACGTTGCTTACTTTTTAACATGGCTTGACATTGTGAACAACAATATTATTCACTTTTTAAATGACTTAATATTCAAGAAAGAGAAAAATAAATAATCGTTGTACCCTAAACAAAACTATATTTTAAACGATTTTTAAATAAATAAAAAGATTGATAAAGTATAAGAAACTTACTTCTGCAGTCCAATTCCTAGGTTGATGAATTCCTCCAATCTACCCGGCATAGTGCAGCAATCAACAGCGTTAAGTCTCTTCGCAGTGTCCAGCATAATCTAAAAAATTAAATTTAATAAGAAGAACTTTTCGAACGGTAACCCCCTTGGGGTCCGAAATGAGTATTTTCTTTTTCACATCTGCCGCACTAGGAATAAATCCTGTTTCGCGGGGGACTTTACAAACATGCATTGAACGGACACAAAGAACACCCAGACTCAGAACATGGATTTTTGTGGATCACACAGTGTTGCCCCATGTGAGGATCGAACCCACAATACTCAGCGCAGTAGGAAGACGGCGAGGTGACCGCTTAAACCATTACGCCTTCCGTGCAGTCAAAGTTAGCTGGGCTTCCCAGAATTGCACACCTGGCTTTAAAAAGTTGAAGGACACATCATAGAATGGTAGATCATACAATGGCGGACGTATCAAAAAGCTGCTGCAAGTATAATACACAATTGAAAGGACGCATGTAAACTAGGTTCAATAGAAATCGTCGAAGTCGCTGTAGCAATAATATGACAGTATTTTAAGTATATTGTTTTAAAAAAACTCTATAATAAAATAATAAACCGACTAACCTTTCTAAAGTTTCTGTCAATGTCATCAAATTTCTTAGCCTCGTCGGGCAACTGAACGCGAATGTCACCTCCCACGAAAATGCCTTCTAAGTAAAGCCACTTGCGTTGAGTTGCCATCCACTCTTCAATTACTTCTGACATTAAAGATAATGTCTTTTCCCATTTGTTCACCACAGAAAGGAATGGACCAATAAACCTGAAATAAAAGTACTCACTTAAGGTAGGAAAACAAAGTGACATATAGAACTATCAATCATCAAGTGATCATGAATAAAACAAAAACGTGTTAGTTACACCCTTCGTAACTCAAAAACGGCTGGACCGATTTTCCTTGTGTTTGATCTTTGATTTGTCTCTGCCTTGAATAGCAGAATAAGTACTAAAATAGTTTAGAAAAAGAGAAAAAAAAATATGAATGCTTTTTTCATTCAGTGCATGAAACCTAACACAGATCAAGAGCAGAGTTGTGACTAAATATGCAAGTGAAACTGCAGGGAATTACTAGTTTTTTTATGGTTTAAGGGGGCAAACCAGCAGACGGGTCACCTGTTGGTAAGCAACTACCGCCGCCCATGTACACCTGCAACTCAAAAGTCACAAGTGCGTTGCTGCCCTTGGAGTCCCTCCCGCTTGAGTCAGCGTGAGGGGGGATTTGGGTTCCGGTGACAGTTGCTTGAAAATTAAAGTCTCATTTTCAATTTAAAGTATTAGAACATAATATTTACATGGACAGTTACGATATGACCTTTATTATTATGTTCTTTATTATTTTTGTTTTTATGATGGCTTATAAAATGTTCGCATATAAACTATGAGAATATTTCTCTATGCCATATATCATCGAAAGTTCCCTGAATAAACTATTAAACTAGTTTAGCCGAATAGACTCTGCTCAGTAGTTGCTACTGCTCACTGCTCATTTAGAATTCACAAGAGAGAGAAAGAGAGAGATGTTAGTTACTGTGAGGCGGCCATGCTCTGCAACGTCATGGCGTCGTCGTCTAATTTAACAGTGATTTCATCACACGGGTTGAGAGTATAACCGCGGTCTTCACCACGATTGAAGTGACGTGACACGCTGAAGTTTATATTTTCCCATGCATCCTGTACATCCTTCACGCCACGTTCTATTGCTAGCTCCTGCAAGTGAGAAATATCATTCATTGAATATAGACATGTATGTTGTTGACAGATGTAGACGTCTTGAAGTATTTGAGACATCGCAACATATGGAAGATTCTTTTAAAGAACACCGTCTCGTACCAAAAACTGCGTGATTTTTCTTCGCTTTAAATTTAACGTACCCATATTTTACTTTACTTACTTTTATGGCAAAATTAACAATATTTTCAGCTATATCTTGATACTTGTGCAATTCCATGGCGAACATATTTTCCAATGTGAACCGTTCTGGTGACATGTCGAAGTCCTGACCTATTAAAACAAAAAATACAAAGTTTAGAAAATAATCTCTGGTACTGAACACCACGCTGCAATTGCGAATTAACACAGCATGAGGTATGTGATATACATATAGGTGTGTATTTTATACAAGGAAATAACACGAGTTTATAGATAAATAAAATCGTTTTAAATTCCATTTTTAAGAATACTTATCCAATTTTATATGTATATTTAAAAAGTCAATATGAGAAATAATCTTCACAGAGATTGATGCAATGAGTTAATATTTTCTTTAAATTTATAATAGTTCCCTAAATATTGAAGTATTCTCAACGTTAACTACTCATGGTGTGAAAACTTAACACGTTGCGTACCATGAATCTTGTTAATGGTGGTCTCCACATTACTCACCGGTTTTTGCCATCAGCTCCTTCCAATGTCGCTCTCGCATAGCTTCGTTTTTAAGCGACACCATAAGGGGCACAACGTTCTTGAACTGCTTCATTTTAGTGTCAAGCATAAGACCAGTCGGGCTGAGACGAACAGCTTTGGGCAATTTTCTAAAAGCCAATACAAATATCGATATAATATATCGATCTAAGTGGCGTGCAATGGGAGAGGCCTATGTCCAACAGTCGACTGCGATAGGCTGATGATGATGATGATGATGAATACAAATAAGTCAGAGAAAACATGAGTCATGGATATAGTAATTTGAGTATGAGGTTTCATAAAAAAAAAAATGGTAAAATTATAACTAGAATACCACGATCGCGATAATAAATGTGTCCACACAAAAAATACATGAAATATTTTACTTAAATTTATTTATTATTTGTTCATTATCATTTACATTTTTCATTATTTTTCATTTTATGTCTATTTGCAAGAAGCTCGTTTGTGACTGATCAGTACTTTTTGTATGGGCAGGACAGTGCTAGTATGGTTTGTGTACTATGCTTTACTACCGAGTTAAGTACCCTTCTCATAAATGTGTGTAGGTAATAAGTATTACAATAGTAAAAAAAAATACAAACTGGTACGAAATTCAACAGGTTCAAATTTTTTGTTACCTGTATTCTTTGAAAAATTGCTCAATACCGTCCACGAGCGCTTGAGGGTTTAGATTAACCCACAGAGTCTTGGCCCACAGCTGTCTCGCGTTCTTCTGGGCTTTATATATTTTGTACACTTGCTCCATTGCAAGCATATCTGTCTTTGCGCGATTGAAATTCGAGAAGTCTGCCAGTGGGTTATCGAATAACTGTTCAGCTGCCTGAAGTATCTTCTTTCTCGCCTCAAATTCATCAAAGTATTTGCTGTATTCCTAAAATACAAATTATGTGTACATTTACATTTTTACGAAAATTAAGTAATCAGATATCATTTCAGATGCGCTCGCTTGATTGTAGCCTAAAAAAACACGCGGACAAACTGAATTTTATTTATATCTTGCTATTGCCAATAATTAAATACCATCCATCCGCCTGTATCTTTTTTTGATGTCGTTGTTATGTTTTGTTGTCAAATTAAATAAACATACCTCCATAAGCAGTGAGCCTCTATCCATTTCTTCACCGACTGTCGCAGGACCCTCAGTGTCAAACTTTTCTACAAAGTCATCTAACTCTTTTAAAAAGGCTGCTATCTCTACAACGTTCAACTGGGAGAATTTTTCTTTGGTGTCCTCTAACGTGTTCCCGCGGAAGAGACAAGTCTGTTGCAAATCACCCCAGGAAGTTTGGAGACCTGCTACGAATACCAGGTCTTCGTCTTCAACCTGGACAAAGGAAATATTAGAAAGCGTGGTGCAAAAAGCATTGCAGTGGCTTCTTTTGTTAGGTGTAGCCGAGTCTTTTGCACTAAACTTACGCATGACATTCTGTGGTTTTATAATTATAATAATAATTTTTTTTTACGTATAGCTTCCATATAACATTGTTTACAATATTCACAATTTAACATGTTTCTTTAACATCAACTTTAGTTACAATTATCTATGTAGCTATTTGTAACCATTTTATAAACATGGAACTGTTACACACACACTGTCAGCAAGTTTCTTAATTATACTGTTCCTACACGGACCAACCCGGACCATGAAAGCTGCGATTCGGCTTCTTTGAATGGCATTAAACGTGTTCAGTCTTGCCTCTGCAAACATTGTGGAGGCGCTTCAGTAAGGTGCTAGCCCCATAAGGTGCCTATAGTAAATATTATTGTACTGAACACGAATGTCATCCAAAGACCTCTTCGTATTTGCAGTCCAAAGTTGACAAGTGTAGAAATTCTGAACAGGTGTACTTTAGTCCGTACATCGGCACAAAAAAATCTCCTTGCTATCATATTGGAAACGACTAAAATCGCTCGAAGCTGGCGGTCTATGTCTCATGTCTGACGTTAGTATGTGACCAAGGTACTTGAACCTCCCCACCATAATTATCTGGTCTCCTATCCATACCGGAGGAACTTTCTGCGGTCGGCGTCGGCGCAATAAGTATGATTCTTCCATTCTACTCTATCATTCGTCAACTCACTGTTTACTCCCTTCTTAGCCATATCCTCACTTACAGTCCCATACACCTTTGTTTTGGTCTTCCTTTTCTCTTGTACCAGTTCCCTTTACCAATAATTATGAAATATGACGCACATAATAACTGGGCTAAAGAGAATGGTATAATAGTACCTACTCTTTTTACTCAAAGTACTCCTTGCATCCAGAATAAAGTACCGGCCTCAAGGAATACCTAAATAATTAACAAAATCCGTGGAATATAATAGAATACCTCGATGCCGTGCTGTCTGAGCATGTGGAACAACTCCTGCATATTGCGGTACTTGACCTCAGCAGTGATAACCAGTTGTTGGACTTGAGTGATGGTTGCCATCACAAGTTTGAAGTCTTCAAGCCCTTTGATGTTCAGGTTAACTGTTGCACGTAGCGACTGGATAAGATATTAGGTATATATTTATATTTTTGAAATAATAAAATAATAAATAATAATATTCTACCACATTCACACAACGCCATCTAGTCGCAAACTAAGCAGAGCTTGTACTATGGGTACTAGACAACTGATAAAAATACATATATACTTTTAATATGTATAATATGTATGTGTATTTTTGTAAATACATACTTATTATACATAGAAACACCCAGACCAAATCAAACATTAAAAGTTCATGCACACAAATGTTTGACTTGAGCGGGAATCGAACCCGAGACCTCAGCACAGCAGTCAAACCCTGACCACCCACCTCAACTTGATTTTTCAACTCGTGCATATTCATTCTAGTTTTAACCAGTATACAACGTCCTAGTATATTTTTCCACTCCTGCGCATGCTCCTGAATTTGTTGTATAATAGGCCTGAGGTTTACTCTTATAGCACCAACATCTACGAATTTGACGTGCTTGTCCAAATCACTTATTATGTCTTCGAAAAAGAAAAACTTTTCGTCATATTTAAATATTTGCTCATATTTTTGGATATATTTTTCACAGGATAGGTTTTTGTCGAAGGCCCAGAGGTGTTGGTATTTCAGCCATCTGAAAATTTATCATATAAAGAAATTAGAAGCTATAATCGGTAAAATTTAAGAAATGTTTTAGACCTAAATTTTTGAGACTAGAATAATGTCCTGTAAATTTGTAGTTTTTGAAGAGATCTATAGAGATAAAGATCGAATTTATTTTCTTACAAGAATGCAACGGACAATATATTAAGTCTTTACCGTTGAAATTAGAAATTTGTATGAAAATTAAAAAAAAAGGAAACTTTAGCATTATTTTTATTTTAGCCAATCAAATTACTGGCCCAGATTATCAATAAAGTTTTTTAATTTTGATGGCAGTTTGATTATCCCTGTACTGTAGAAGTCTGATGGACGGGAGGCATTTTGAACTGCCTCTCTGGTGTTGATATTTTTCCCACTTGAAAAATTGACTAAATTTAAAAAAGTAGAAATCTGTTGGAGCTAACGAAATGTAGGACGCCCACAGGCCAGTTGAAGCGACGACGATCTGCGCAAGATGGCTGGCAGGAGCTGAATGCGAGAAGCCGAAAATCGATCTAACGTTGGGTGATGGAGAGCTTCCAGCTGTAACTCTTGTAGCTTTGCAATGGTCTGTCGTAAAGAGTGAGCTTGCGCGTTGTCGTCGAGTACAGGTAAATTAGCTTGGAGAAATTTTTGCGTTTGTAGTAGTGTATGGTCAGCAAATAAAAAAAAAACAACATTTTATTTTTAGTTTTTATTTTTTTAAAGGTAATGTACGTTTGTGGCTGGAGCACACCAAATGCGTACACGTCTACGCATACGCACTACGTACTAATACGGACGTGAAAATGTGTATCCACTGCATTGTAATCTATGGAACTGTATGAGGCAGACAAGCCAGTTCCAAACATTACAAGCAGTGAATGCCGGTTTTCACTTCAGTGAAAACGTGTATGAATTAGGTGTTCTCCGGCCATAAATGTTTTATTCTAATATTTCATCAACCCCAGGCATATCACAATCATCCCCATCCTCGCTTTCATCAGATGAATTATTAAAATTATTATGATTCGTTCTGATATTGTGTCTAAAGCTGCGTCTCTACCCTGATATTTGTTTTCCTCCTCAATAGCATGCAGACAAACTTTTCTCCATTCCTCTACAGTTATGGCGTTCATTTTTTCTTCATCATCAACAGCCTTTAATAGTCCACTGCTGGACATAGGCCCTCTCCTTAGAAAGGAGGGCTTGGCCTACTATACCACGCTGGCCAGACGGGTTGGTACAGGGTTTGTGTCAAGTTTTCCTTCTCTCTTCTTCTTTCTTTTTCTTCTTTTTTTTTCTTCAGCTAATGACATTATAACCTTCATATTCATTGCGACATTCTTTTTTGCGACATATGTTTTCACTATCCCCCATATATTTTCTATAGGATTAAACTCCGGATGGTATGGTGGTAAACGCAGCACAGTATGACCATGCTGTCATAATATTTCGTCTATCTTGTACTCTACAAATCTCGCCTTGTTTTGCAGAATCAGTTCATATAATTGAGGCTTAAGAAACGTGGATGAATGCTCAATGTTTCGCAATATCAGCCAGTCAATCATTTGCTGTTTTCTAGAATTACTATTCGGTGCAGGATTTTGTATTGAGTTATGATATGGTGCGTTGTCAACAACAACAACACTATTTGGTTGTAAGTTGGGTATTAATTGAGTTTGAATTCACCTTGAATAGTTGTCATAGTTCATATTGTCGTGGTAATCTCCACTTTTTTGGTTGGCTTTAAACATAAGCAATGCATTTGGTATAAAGCCATCCATACCACCGGCATGAACAATGATTAAGCGGTTGCCTTTCGATATATGTTGCTTCAAACCTGAAGTGCTTCCATGTGACCAAGATTTCGAGAGGGTATGTGATGTATGTTTATATGTTTCGTCGGTGTAAACAATTGGTCGGCGTTGTTCACGATATTCAGCAATTTTCATCAAATAATTAATTCGCAAGTATCTAATTTCGTGTTTTTCCATAAGAAGTTTCCGGTTATCTTCTGTTTGCTTCCAATTAAAACCTAATGACATGACGTGTTTTCGTAACGTGCTGACACAACCTTTATAATCGATATCTTCTTTCAATTTTGCGTGCAAAGTTTTCAAAGTGGGAACTTCTTTATTTGTGTTGTGGAAGTCATGAATTGTTCTTCTGATAACTTGCTGATCAAAGTTATCGATTACTATTGTAGGTTTACGATTCGGTTTCTTTTTAGGAGATTTAAATGTTACTTCCTGATCTGAAGGACGACATTTGCTTTCTGATACTACCTTTCTGACGGATGCTATTGAAATTCCTGTTGATTTAGCAACTAATTGAGTGGGGGTCATAATACTGCTCGGGTTGTTATTACACTCATTTTCGAAATATTTGTACAAACAGTACAAAACTTCTTTAGTTTGAGAAGTCAAAGGCTTGCCTCGACCATGTTTTAACACTGGAGCCATTTTGAATTAACAATATAAAGTGACAACACTTACACACAAATTAAACACTTCAACAAAATTAAATATTATAACAATAATAACAAACAATAACAACAATCAACAACTACAAAATTTAACAATTAACGTAATAATTATAATTTTTGAATGAAATGTGTGCTTTATGTTCTAACAGTACCAAGCGACTGACGCCGGACTGCACGTGGCACCTGCGGACAGCGTAAACTGGTTTATTCTGGTTTTGTGCGTGTTTCCACTTTCCACTATCAAGTGACGATGTTTTGCTTTAGATTGAAATATCTCGGAAACGGTGCGTCCTAGGCCAAAAATAACAAAAATTTTGACCCCCCCCGTAGATCCCCCGGAGTTTTAAAAACCTAGATGAAAGGAAAAAAAAAAAAAATTTAAATATCGGTCTCTCCTCTTTGAAGTTTCACTTCTATCGTGTGTGAATCGCACACACACCTTTTTTTTATAAAGTCAAAACCTTTTTCTTTAAAATAAAAACTTGTTTTTATTGAAAACAAAAATCAGAGTGTTGCTAGGGATAAGTATAAAATTAAATAGTAATGTTAGGATATCGAAAAAATTTTGTATAGGCCAGAACGATATAGTGGAAACGCGCTCTAAGATCTGAGCAATATACACACACCACTACATATGCAAAAATTTCTCGAGATTAATTTCACTGTAGCAATGGGGAAGACGATTGACTAGACGTGGTTGTTGAATTGAGAGCTTCTCCGCCATTGTTTGCAATTCTTGGCAAGAGACATTTGCCGTCACTTTTATGCCATTCGGGAAGAAGCTGTGGTGTACAACTCTAGCGCTGGTCTACCAGACAATCACCATCATCTTTCTGTGGGTAATCTTTTTTTAGCGCACTGATAAGGTGCTTAACAGGGTCCACCCACTGAGACGAAAGATTACGGTTATTGTACAGAATCCACTTTTCATCGCACGTAAGAATTCGATTCAAAATTCCCTCGTTTGTATGTCGATTCCCTAGTGCTATGCGTGATTCGACGCGTAAGTCTCGTCGATGGGTGCTTAGTTCGTGTGGCACCCACTTATCTAGCTTGTATCGTTCCGATTTGACGCAAATGTTCCAATGTTGTTTTGACATTAACTCCAAAGACCGCACCAATCTCAGCCGTAGATTGAGTTGGATCCGCTTCTACTATCGCTTTCAATTCACAGTTATCGACTATAGTTGCTGGCCGACCACAAGGTTCGTTTTTAACTCAAAATTTCCAGATCTAAAACGATTGAAACAATAATCAATCGTTTTAGATTTGGAAATTCGTGTTTGTACAAGTAGTGCTAGGCCCGTACACGTCGTTAATGTTTCGTGTTGTTTGCGCAGCGGTATTTCCCCGTAGGAACTCATGTACGAATTTTCAGTTTATCCATGGCTCCATTTTTGGTTTTCTTTATTAAAATAACATGTTATATTTTATTAACATAAAATAACGTAAAAATTTATTTGAATTTAGAATTACACGACAATCCACAGATAATTAAATCCGAAAACGCTGGTTATAAAACTGTGCAACTTCATAGGTAAACACCAAAGATTTAATTAGAGATTATATTGAACGTCTTAGGCCCGTATTTTAAAAGGTGTCTCAGTCGTGAATCTAGTCTTAAAACTAATTTTAAGTTGAGATTTTATTATTGAACGTCACTTAAAACGAGATTCACCGATCCATACTCAAGTGAGTGATAGCTTATTTTAGAACGATGACTATGTCGAAATTATTACTCAGGTATAGATTTTGACAGCTGTGATCTTTGTTTACGTGAGACAAGCTGAAACTAGTCATTTAGGGACATTTAGAAACATTTAGGGAAAATTAATGTGTTTTACGATTATTTATTTTTGAATAATTACGAAAGATTTACTTTACTTTATTTACGAAACAATTGCTTGTCATACTATAATCAATTTCACTTTAATTTACTTTAATTGATATGAAATTCACCAAAATTCACATTTTACACACACAATACCAGTTTAAATTACCACAACCTTTTTGGTTTATGTTAAAAGTGTAGTATTATAAATTTCAGAAATATCAAATAAAAACATCGTTTGACATTTCAACATGACAAGTGTTGATAAATAACTTGAACACTCCGTTATAGCCTATTCATACAGCTAGTCATTTTTATTTTAATATTTATTATATTTAATTTTGAACGAACAACAAGCTTGTTAATATGTTAACATTGCGCCAATAATATATTATATACAAATTCACAGAAATTATGTTTGTAAAAGAAATGTATTTTTTAAATAATTAGCTGCGTACTGCGGAATAATAATGTCAATCATGCGAAAACGTAATTGAGAACAGACTGTAAGTTCAAATCAATACTTGAGTAAAACTTAAAACGCTTTCTATAACAAGATCGATACTTAAGATTTGATCTGCACTTAAAACTATTTTCAGGCAATCAGAGTTCAATCGACACTTGAGACGTCTTTTAAAATACGGGCCTTAGTGTCTGAGAGCACATCATCATAGAGAGAGATTAGAATTAAGTAGACATTAGCTTTTTTAACCTCTTAGAAATTTTTGTGTGTATAACAATTTGTATGGGCTAAGATACCTGAATAAAGAGATTTATCAATATTTTTACAAACTTACTTTTGTATATACGAGTTGATGTCAAGAGTAAGTCTGTAGATAGTGTCCTGTATGAGTATAGTGATATCGTTAATAGCCGTAACACGAAGGATGTCTTCAAAGTACGAAAACACGTAGAACTCATTGCCAGTTGCTTCGGTAATCGCTTGTGGAGCGCAAGGTAGACATGTACTTTTCATCCAACGCGGGAAAGACGTGAGTCTAAAACATACCATAGGTAATATATATTTTAGTTTCACTAATATGCTTATTTCTTTCACTACAAAGAGAAATATGTTCTCACTATCAACGCCAATTTTAGATTATTTAATTATTTATTACAGTCGTAGTTCGGCTATGATTAGTAAACACCTGTTCTTTTAATCAAATCCAGTTAAGCGCATCCTTGAAGACAAATAATATCTTTGCTAAATCTATGCTAATCCATACTAATAAAATGTATCTAATGTATATTAGCGACATTACTATTATTTAAACTATATACGTATATGAAACTGTGTGGGCAAAAAGAAGGTCAATTGTCAAAATAAAAATTCGTTCCAAATTCAGTTTCGATCTACTCTCCATCCCACAAATGTCATAAAAGATACAGTCAGTAACCACATTATGATATTCATATTTGGAATTGGTCTTGGTCTGGAATTTGGAATCCGTGTGGTGACGGATTAAGAATACAAATTGTCACCACCCTAATTCATCCCGTGGGTGTCGTAAGAGCCGACTAAGGGAGCAAACTACGCAGGACAACAGCACTGCAAGGAGAAGGAAAACTTGAAACAAACCCTATCTGGCCAGCGTGGTATAGTAGGCCAAAACCTCCTTTCTAAGGAGAGGCCTATGTCCAGCAGTGGACTAGTATAGGCTGTTGATGTGATATATCAACAGTATGATATTTACTAGAAACGAATCTCAAGACATAAAACTAACATTCCAGCATATTTATCGTTAATATCTTTGGTTGTTTCTTTTAATTGAATGGCTTATTTAAAAGTTATAACTAACATATATAAAAACAGGACAATCTCGTGAATATGAACTTTTGCCAACCTGTTAAGGAAATGCTTGACGTTGTACCCGAGAATGTTGCACACTTCGGCCTGCGTGGGCCGCATCGTGATATCTGGCGGGACGAGCACTGCGTCCACTTGGAACAGCGGCATCTTTTCACTGAGCATCTGCTGAAAATCTTGCAGATTCTCTAGCACTAAGCTGTTGTAAGAGAATTACTTTACTGTCTTACAAATACTATTTGATATCAGTTCAACAAATAAGGAAAGACAACAAATATGTCTTGGGTGGTTGTCTTGTTATTTTATTTATTACAATATTAGTAACAAAATCAGTACGAAAACTTTATGCTGCCACATAAACTCATTCGAGTTTTTCTGATCATCATTATTACTTACATTCAGAAAGCAGTAAGTAGGTACACATTTTGCAACAAAAGTACATGATACAAAAAGAATAGCCTCGCACGTCCACCGCCCGCCAGCCGCTAAGCTGTTTTTATTATTGTATGCCGAATAGATAACAAACACGTTAACTGCATCTATAAATTTCGATCAAACATATGTTTTGTTTGATCGAAATTTTTGTCGATTTGTGATCAAATTGTAATATTCCGATCAGTGTATATAATTATTTGCAATAGTATGGTTATTTGCAAATTTTGTAGGTATGTACTGCGTTAGTGTGCTAGAACCATTAGCACGACTAAGGCTTAGTTTGAGTTTAGAAAATGCTGTGCTATATATCTCAGAATATTACCATTACTAATTACTTATCAGATCAGCTAATAAAAATTAGAATTCATGCTATGATATCTTTATAACACTTCAAGCATGCACTTTAAGCATGTATGATATACATGCTTCCCGTAAAGACAATTAGAATAAACACTAACTTCACAAGACATTTAAATATCCTCTGCTCCCAGAACGAATAGTAACTGGTCATGACCGCTGTACGACCAGTACTGGTGCCTAAAATCAGATACTCCAGCTTCATCAGAATTGGACCGATGCGTTCGTAAATACGAGAGAGGCTCGCCACTCGCTCTAAACGCTCGTTCTCTATTTCCACAAAGTAAGCCTGGAAAAAAATACAATAAATCATAAACAATTATTTCATTATTATCAGCAGCCTTCTATAGTCCACTGCTGGACATTCTCCTTAGAAAGGAGAGTTATGTCTAATTGATTAATCATTATTGAAAACAGTAGAATCTTCAAACATGTGTTTGGTTATGCTTTCAGGCCTTGCCTATTCCAATTCATCAGAGTAAGATTTTGCATATGTATTAAGGATACAGAAAAGAAAATATATTATAGTTAATACAGAAAAAAATCGTTTATGAATAAAGTGATGACATTATATATTCTTAATCCATCACCAACCCTATTCATTGCGTCGGTGTCGTAAGAGCCGACTAAGGGAGCAAAACTACTTCAACAGGACAACAGCACTGCAAAGAGAAGGAAAACTTGAAACAAACCCTAAACCGTGGTATAGTAGGCAAAAACCTCATTACTAAGGAGCGGCCTATTGGACATAGGCCGCTCCTTAGAAATGAGGTTTCTTACTATAGTGGACTATTAATGACTATTGGTGGCTGTTGATGATAATCATGTGTAAAGTAGATTACTTGCTGAAATCTGCATAAACGCTAGCAAATTCAAAAGCAAAAGCTTTGGTGGTTTTAGTTAGGAGGAAATGTGAATTTGGAACCGAATGGGTTCGCATCCAAGATATTGCTCATTTTATACGTTTGAACGAGGATTAATATAATAAATTATAATAAAAATGTTTATTTCATCTCCACAAATTATGTACATTTTGTTTTTTATATTTAACAGTTGACAGGAAAACTGTCAAGAAATTTGCAATTTGTGGGAGATCTCGAGTCTAAACTAAGGCGAGGCCTGTACTGTAGATCTCCAGGCCCCCATTACATAACACTTTGCAGAGGATTGTTTTACAGCATCCACACACGAGCATTGTTTTTTTATTATACTGGCATTTAGTGGTCCATATTACAGACTAATTTCCGAACTTGCAACTCCTGTTCTTACCTTACAAGGATACAACCAATCCGGATCTGGCAATTGAGTTTTAGGATCTATATAGTTCTGGGGTCGAACAACTGGAAATAAATCAAAAGCTTCTAGCTGATCGATGAGGAATTGGATCTCTTTCTCCACCATTTTTAACTGTTTATACACAGCTCTCAAAGAGTTTTCACCTGAAATTACATCATTAAGTTTTTCGGCACTTTCTGATGGATATTAATTTTTCATATTTTTGACCTTAATTCAGCAGTGGACAGTGATGATGATTTATATCAGAATACCGCAAGCTTATATTAGTAATTATATAATATACCAGAACAACGGCATTTTCGTACCACTTATCACACCTACTCTCTTTCCATGGTTCATTCTATTTTCTGAGTATATTATGTCATTTGAAACTCTTGCAAGTGTCGCTTCAGGATCGAATTGCGATTGCGTTCTTTTTACGAAAAAAACAATCTACTACTATTAAATTTTTAACGATTAACGTTATGTATTTTACAGCAAGCCTCACCTTTAGTAATATCCTTGATATACTCTCCAATACCAAGTGCAGTCCAAGTGACCCTGGTCAGTCCGGGCAGTATATGTCTCTCCATATCCAACAAGTGGCGCTTCATAAGATGTGTTTCTGAAGGGCTAAGGGCTTGAGCGCTGGCATTGTATTTATTTATTACATCCGTTAATGATTCTAACTCGTAATATATACGAGCTTTCTGCATAGCTACGTCTCGAATGTTTGATGGTAAGTCAAAACCTTTAAAAAAACAATTAATTATCCATTACAAATTCTCTACAACGCAATTAGAATTATAATATTTTTAAAAGTTAATTATATTATATTCTCATTTTTTCAAAAGCAACTAACCCAGTTGTTCCATGAGTTCAGCTTCTTGTATTATCAAGAATATATCTCTGTCAAAATTGGGATGGAACTCCAGATCGTACTCCTGCATTAGCTTACGTACGGTCAGGTCACGCCATGTGACGTCTGTCTACAAGCCAAAACATCGTAATGTAAGAATTATTTACTTATAATATTAATACACAATATTACAAAAGGTTATTATACCATCGCATAATATCTCAATGATATATATACTTTTTTCAATGTTTATTTTTGTCTTATCTATTATTAATATATTATTTCTTTAGAATTCATCTTTATTCATTTTTATTAAAAATAATTGTAACCTACTTGCAGGCGATCACCCAAACACAACCATTTTGTACATTTATCTATATAACACTGTGATATATGTATATTTTATATACATACTGTGATATGTTCATTTATATTATTTTTGTTCTTATTGTGTGTGTTCATTTATATGTTCTGGATTTTGAAATTGCACAGCTTAGTAGCAATACTTTACACGTTTTTCAAAGTATCGAATCTCTGAGTTTCTCAATAAAACATTACCACAAGTGAATACGTACCAATCCTTCTTTAGCTAGTAGAGACACTGAGCTAGGTGATCTTACATTCTCGTAATGTTGGCCGGGTATTCTCATCAACATCACTGAAAGCAATGATACAAACAAGAGGTAGATACTCCACCAACGCACAAAAGGCGAGGGTCCTAATTAATTCGAGAAAGTTCATAAAATGTCTTCCTGTATATTCCTAAAGTGCACAACAACTGTAAATGTATGTACGGTTACGGAACAAATATTTTGAGCGTGCAGTAAGAATATAACGTATCTTAATTAAAATATCATTGACTGAAAGGTATATTGAACATCATTCTTAATTATATTGTTGGTAAAAGTTTAATATTTATGCATTGTTAGTTTTAGTCAGTGTAATTGAATTTGTACCTATATGTAATATATGAATGTGGTGGTGCACACACAAATTAGTATGTAAGGCAATACATCTACTTCAGATAACTAATCAGTCAATAAATTAATTCGCATCCACTTGATTGAACATCAAAAGTGTGACGAAGAAAGTCCCGATGACAATAAAATAATACAATAAAATAAAGCTGACAGCTTCTTTTAGTTTTTTTTAACAGGTTTTTTTTTTAGTTGACTACACGCCCTGGTCTCCGTTAGCTGATAGTTTTAGTTCGTGATGTGAATAAAAAATTGATAGCTCGTCTATTGAGAAAGATCACAGTCTCTTACTAGCTTCCACCATAGGAGCTGAGCAGTGACCAGAAACTGCAAACAAGGGTTAGTAATATGACGGTATAAAAGTTAGCAAAGAAGTCCGCCAATACTCACGGGCTTTGTCCCTGCGTCGTTTATCAGCGATTTCTTTATTAACAATGTCGATGGGAGAGAGCGATGTGATGGAGGCTTTCTTTTTGACGTGCGCCCGACCCGCCGCTGTCAGCTGCATGCCTCTGGCAGGCGGTTTTGTTTCCTCTGCAATTTACATTACAGTGTAAGGTGAAAATAACAATGCGTAATAAAATAGGCTCTGTAACGAAAGAGATGAGATTTGATAAACAATAGTGAATATTTCGACGTGGCTGGACCAAATCTGGACTTCCTTCCGCAAACTAGGTAATCTTAGCTGCTACTTTAGGAAACATAAAAAACTGTTACTTTAGTAATTCTATTTTTTTTTCAACAAATCGTTTCATCCTTGAAAGTCCTTCGCCGGTAAATCAAATGCTATATTTTACCATTGATTCAGAATCATGACATTTGGCGAAAAGCAAGATCGGAAAGTAGTAATTTTTTTGTTATATCAACACAACAATATTATGTGAGCATCGATTCAAGGGAAGAACAAAATGTTATTGAAGTTTGTAAAGAACCAACTGTACTTCTAAGGGTATTTAGTGTTTTCTAAAAGAACGTACCAGCTTCTTTTTTAAATTCTACTTTAAGAACATTCTTCTTCATCATGTTATCAACAAAGTCAGAGGCGCCCTGCACCCACTCCTTGTACTTCGTCTCCTCGTACTCTTTGATAACTTTAGATGAAGCTTTATATTGCAAGAAGGCTTCCTTCTTCTGCTCGCAGTCGTTAAGTTCTGGCACCTAAGTTAACATTAATAATAAAACATATTTAAGCTGATGATGGAAATATGAGTCAGAAAACTAACTATTCTCAATTATCGCTTCTGGATCGCGATATAAACATCTTTACTCAGTCTCATCTTGTAAAAAACTACATAATTTTCAAGAAGGCTTTCCTACGTCTCCTGGTCAGATGATGGTTACTGTCATCTATATATATGACAAGGCTACAAGAGATATCTATGCCAAATACTAGTACTCGACCAAGTAACTAATCTTAACATATTATAAAATAAAGTCTCTTTTTGTGTTGTACGTTTAGATCTTTTAAACTAAGCAACGGATTTTAATGCGGCTTTTACCAATGGAGAGAGTAATTGAGAGGAAGCTTTATATGTATAATACACGCATATTACATTAGATACTAGCTGAGACCCGCGGTGTTACCCGCGTTTGTTGTTATAACCGCGGGTAACGCCGCGGGGCGAAGCTAGTCTAAAAAAAGTCCGTCGAAATCGGTTCAGCCGTTCCAGAGATTACCCGGAACAAACAGACAGACAAACAGACAAAAATTGTAAAAAATGATATTTTGGCATATGTACCGTGTAAACATACACATGCATTTAGTAAAAAGCGGTTACTTTAATATTACAAACAGACACTCCAATTTTATTTATTTGTATAGAAAAGCCGAGATTTGTTGTAAAAACATGTTTTTGTGCGCTTACATTGCAAAGGCTGGCTAAACCTTACGAGATTGACCAAAATAATGTACTACGGAATTTTATATCTTAAAAAGATCTACAAAAGTCCGGAATGGTATATATCTGTCTCCTAAGCATACTCTACAGTAACCATTTTTATCTTTTGAATATTACACAAAAATAATGGGTTTTTACGCTATTACGCTAAGCTATTTTCAACAATACATTATTATTTCTTATCCAATAAAATACGTTAAGCATTTAATTTAGATTAAAATTGCTTTTTACAGTATGCCATTAAAATGAATACATTACAAGCTATTAGAGGTATAAAATGTGGGGGCCCAACTACCGTTGAGCCATACATCAGGATCGGATGGGACCTATAAATATTGCATTTAAAGATGTGCTGTAGTATAATCCTATAATAATACACCACATTGTATATATGTAATACTACTAATGTGGTGTCACTGACATCACATTAGTAGTATCTACATTGCACCCGTGCGAAGATAGGGCGAATGGCTAGTTTTAAAAAAAGGAATCGCAGCTACTTACTTTTTGAAATTTCATAACTGGTTGTTTCATCCTATTGAAGAGCGCTCTAGCCCAATAAATAGCACCAGCTACAGGTGGATGGTTACGAAGTAGCGGCGGGTTTTTGCGTTGGCGCTACGAAAAATAAAATTTAAATATCAGAATAATGGAACCAGGCTGTATTACTCTCATACACATAGTACTAAACGTCAATCCAAAATATATATAATACAGTAAAACTACTATTAGAATAAAAGCCTTTGCAAGTGGTATTTTTACTTGTTAAGGACGATTTTTTACATATTAAGGACGTAGTTTTGAAAACGTGTATTTAGACCCTACTACTTTTGGACCAGAGGGCCTAGTGTGAGTTTATTTCACATGGTCTAGATCGTCATGGTGACGGCGTTCGGCGTTGTGATTGGTGAAAAGTTCAGTGTGACACAATCGCACCGCGATGCGGGCGCCGCACATTACTTTAATCAATTGACCTTAATAAATACAATATAGAATTTAGTACTAATTAAAAAGTATTCATAAATAGCTTTTCAGATCATTTTTTTCTATAATGTCGTGACATAAGCTTATTAAATAGATACAAGCACTAACAGTAAATTTATCATCGACAGCGGTGATCTCCTTTATGAATTGTCTCATGACAAGGTCGAACTTGGTTGACAGTTGACGCCTGATAGAATCTCGCGTATCGAATTCAAGAAATTTCAATAATACTGTGAGCGCCTCTTCTGCTGACCTAAAAAGTGATTAGTTCGTTAATACGAGTATTTTCAAACTCTTCCTCTTATATAAAAGTTTCTGGAAGAATATTAGTGTCATAAGATAGTGCCATCTGTTGGGAACTGAAGTCAGCTTTAAAAACATTATAGTTTATCATTATAGACTCGTACATAATTTTAGTAGGCCAAAACCTCCTTTTTAAGGAGAGGCCTATGTCCAGCAGTGGACTAGTAAAGGCTGTTGATGATGATAATTTTAACATAATAATAATAATTTGACATAATTTTACTATATGAATGGCACTATGGTTAAAGTGGTGGCTGGCCTCTTCATTACGCCACGACAAAGCTTTGGGTGATTAAGTTTATTCGATTTTGTAAAATCCAAAAATAGTTGCCAACAAAAGTTGCCGAAACTTGGACACTACTATTGTGGTTAATCCACGAGCTTAAAATCGCGTAGCGGTTATAAAAGGAGCTTGGAGTTTCTTTAAGGATAAACTTCGAAAGAGGTCATATAAAAAATAAATAATATCCCCACATAGCTCATAGAGTAAGCATGGGAATATGCTGGGAAGTGGGACAACTCAGATTGGATAAGGGAGTTAGCAAAACCGAGAGAGATCCATCTCCAGGACTCGACTGTAATATGCTGATGGATAACAAATGGTTATCAAGGATTTAGGTGTTCTTTGTGTCCATTGTGTAATACTAAAGCCGCTGTACAAGAATCACTCCTAGTGCAAGAGTTGCCATTTTAGGATAGAACACATTCTATTAATTAAAAAGGGGTTATTTACCTTAGATTACCAAAGCTAGCATTTATATAATTAGTTGCTTCTGCTTCTAGATATTTAACTTCACGCCAAAAATCACCCATAATAACATCCCAGTTCTCTTTGTTATCGAAATTGAAAACGCTGAAGTCAATCGTTCGTATTGGGTATACGAGGTTTTTGACGCGCTTGCGCACATCGTCTATTTGAGTTGGATCGCTTATAATCGATTGCAATTCGAGGCCGAAAATACGCTCAAAGTCAATGAGCACCTGTAAAGAATATCATCTAAAATATCTATTAATAAATCAAATACAATCTAGTATACGTGCGCTTCAAATCTACTTTAAAATAAGTATTTATCTTAGTTACAAGGGTTAACAGTATAATAAGGGAGATTTCAAGGTTCAAAGTAACTCATTTCACCTGAATAAATAAATATAAACTCAACTACAGCCTAAACTGTTGTCCATTGACGATTTAATGTTTCTATTGTTTTTATTTCTTCTATATTAAATAAAAAATAATTTGACAAGAGCTAGTTATGACGTCACGTCAATGTATTTCATACAAAAATATACCGCGTATATCGTTTTGACGTTTAACATATATAATGACATACATTCAGCAACAATTAAAACAGTATGAAAGCAAAAGTGTCACCTTTTTACCTGTACAACATCACCTAAGTCTTTGGCGACAGAACCGATGTAATCTGTTCGCGTGAACAAATAGGGTTGGTCGAATTCCCAGCGAGCACCTTTACCGCAAAGCTCGATCTGGCGACGAGTCTCCTTGTACAAATCATGCCACATCAGCATTATCTTCTGCCCAGCTCGAGCTAAGGCCAGTACTTCGTCATTTGGTTTACTAGAAGATTAGGTAACAATGTCTATTTTGATCTCAGGTTAATTTTAGTACAAATGAGCTATTTAGTTTAATCTTTCTTCTCGCTTTCATGTAACGAAGGTTTATTACAGGAAGCCGGGATGGACTGCAGCACTCAGACTCATTGGTTAAATCGCGCCTTATTTGATTTGACCAATGAGCGCGTGCTGTGCTGGAGTTGGCCGTCAGATGGTAGGTGAGATATCAGATGATAAGCTGTAAGTGTTCTGAAATTCATAGATAGTAAACCCCACAGACCCCTTGGGGACTGATATCAGCCGTAAGTATCCAATCTATCGTAAAGAAAAAGAAACTTTGTAATTGCATAAACACGGTATCAATAAACTGAATGCAAAATAGGGACAAATAACTTATCTACCTGTGGATCTCTCTCTCTCTCTCTTACTGTAAAAGTATGACTTACTCTTACTTACTCAAAGAGCTTATGGACGTTTAGAAATCTTTGTAGCTTATCACACAATGCCCAAGAAATTCTAGACATGAGCGGCACCATGGTTTCATCAGTTCTGTATCCTTTAGACAGCACCCACATCATGTAGACACTCTCCACTAATTCTGGCAGGATCTCTATAACTTGGGTTAACGGTGCTTCATCTTCAAGTACCTGTTTTTTTAGAAAATGAATATATTGATATTTAAACATTTTCACTCTCTCTCATACTCATTATGATACAAGATTTGAATCGAAACTTAGTGTTCGTTTGAATCAAACATCTCACACACTGCTTTCTGATCCCAAACTAGGCAAAGAAGTAACAAAGGTAACCAGACTGCTGATTAACATACTATATATATACTATATACTATATATATATTTCTAGATACATACATTATATAGATAAATTATACTCAGACTCGGAACAAAAGAGGGAGAATAGGTGGTATGGTCTCTTCCTACGAGCATATGATAATGAGTATCCATTGTTCACTTATTACTAGTTATTACTCATTCTATACATAATTTTTATCAAGGGTTCGGGTCCGACTTGAGGTTTCATTGTTGCGGGTTCGAACCCACTCGTACTACTACAGGTAAATTAGCTTGGAGAATTTTTTGCGTTTGTAGTAGTGTATGGTAGCGGACAGCGTAAACTGGTTTATTCTGGTTTTGTGCGTGTTTCCACTTTCCACTATCAAGTGACGATTTTTTGCTTTAGATTGAAATATCTCGGAAACGGTGAGTCCTAGGCCAAAAATAACAAAAATTTTGACCCCCCCGTAGACCCCTCGGAGTTTTAAAAACCTAGATGAAAGGAAAAAAAAAAATTAAATATCGGTCTCTCCTCTTTGAAGTATCACTTCTATCGTGTGTGAATCGCACACACACCTTTTTTTTTATAAAGTCAAAACCTTTTTCTTTAAAATAAAAACTTGTTTTTATTGAAAACAAAAATCAGAGTGTTGCTAGGGATAAGTATAAAATTAAATAGTAATGTTAGGATATCGAAACATTTTTGTATAGGCCAGAACGATATAGTGGAAACGCGCTCTAAGATCTGAGTAATATACACACCACTACATATGCAAAAATTTCTCGAGACTAATTTCACTGTAGTTGAGTGTGATCCACGTTACTAGTATTTTTTATTTAAAAAAAATATAATCTAAATGGTCAAGGGATTGAGATAGAGTATTAAGTTTCAATTAATGGAATGCAATCACTTGGATAATTTCGACTTTATCTGTCATTAAGTAAGATACAACGCCGAATTTTTTATGTTAAAGGGGGTAGACGAGCAGACGGGTCACGTGATGGAAAGTGACCATCGCCGCCCATGAACGTCTACAACTCAGGAGTCACAAACGCGTTGCCGGCCTTTTAGGAAGGAGTACGCTCTTTTCTTGAAGGTTTGCAGGTCGTATCGGTCCGGAAATACCGCAGACTATAACCCGTTCCACAGATTGGTTGTGCGGGGCAAAAAGTTCATTGAATTGATTCGCAACAACGTTTTTAAAGTATATCGATGTGACATTTACATCCTATCCAGTGAATATTATAAAAGGCAGTGTGAGTAAAATTAATCGATAATTTTTTTTTGTCAGCTAATAAATTTCATTTAAAAAAATCAAAGGTCAAGAATACACTTGTTTATTTATTTATTACAAACTATGGAGGATTTACAGCTATGATGATCACAATAAAAGCAGTCAAGAAAACAGATAGCCAATTACAAATCCTCACTTATATAAATCAGAGATAAGTTACAGTGCATAAGACTATACAGAATATGATCAAGAGGTATTATATAAGTTACAGGCACAGATCACTTACAAATTACACAGAACGTAATAATATACACACAAAACAGACAGGACCCATAACAATAACTACTCAGACCCCTCACCATCACTCCTGAAGAATTTAAGGCTTAAAGCTAAACATAAATATGTTGCAATATGCATTATTTCTAAGGGAGTGATCCTGACTGCTAAGCCACAGGTCGGAGGTTCCATTCTTACCCAGGACAAATAATTGTGTGATGAGCACACGATCATGCGGTGCGGTTTGCATACCATAGTACAGTACTCTACCAAGCTTGGGCTAGGCTATTATTAAATATAAAAAATAAATATATTAATAGTCAAAATATACTTACAGTAAAGAATCTCATTAAAGTAGAGAGGAATTTCAAGTTATCGCTAGCCATATTGTATTGTTCTAACAATCTCTCCTTGTTGCTGTTGAACCCCTGTAAAAATATAAGCAGATTTTAAAATGAAATAATTCAAAGATTTTCAGAATGAGATTTAACTTTAACCTAAATCATGACAAATTGTAATAAGATGATCTTCATCTTATCATTTTCAACTATAGAAGTGAATTATTTTCTTAAAATTGAATTGGAACCAACCAAGAAAAAACTCAGTTTACAAATACACAACACACACAAACATCAGTAGAATTGAGAATTTTATCTTATTTTAAAGTCGGTTAAAAATAAATTATATTACAAAATTAGAATAATACCTCGAGGTACGTTGAGTTAGACTTCGTCAATAAGAAGAGTATTCGAACAACCATGGGTTGCTTCAGCTGCTCCACTAGCAGGGACAGTTCCGCATCTCGCTCGCGCCAATATCTATATTCCGCAACTGGTCCTTCCCCTTCACGTGTCTGTACAAATAAATTTTAAATTATTAAGAAATATGTTTTTGACATACCTAGTTATATTTAAGAATGTAAAGATTGACTCTTAATTTTATACCATTTAATAAAAACGATGTATTATTATTTGCATGCACTTGCAGTACAGTATTGCATTAAAATATTGCTGGCAATAATCAACTACAAAACTAGTATGTACAAAGTGTGGGCCTGACTATCTATAAAAATTACCTTCAGTCTACGGCTTCGCTGGTGGGAAAAAAGTATATTTTTTTATGATCTAAGTTTTCTGTACAGCAATGGTATAGAAAACCAGTTTCAGAAATCAAAATTACTTATGACAACATACTTTCATCATTTTTGGTTGAGTAATTAAGGCGAGGAATAATAAGAAAATAAGAAGGATTTATTTGCATTTATAATATGACTTTAAAATTAGGGTGAAAAAATTCAGCCACAAGATAACATTACCTTTCCCAAACAAGTGGCTATAATAGCGTCGATGTGACTTTGCCACATTACGACGGTTTCTTGGAGTTGCTCAACCATCTCTGGGTCCACAAACTCTACAACACCGCGATGTTCTTCTGTGAGCATTGGAATGTTCGGCATCGGAAGCTGGATTTCACCTTCTATGTGTTCTGTTGTCCTAAAATTACCGACACATATTAAAAATTTGCTTTTACATTTAAACGTGTGACGTAGTCTATGGATGGCCCCCCAAGAGCAGTAACATAAAACTTGTCGAGATAAGCGACCACATAATATATCTTTTTGAACAACTTAATATGCAATTAATGACGAGTTTTTTTTTAAAGATGAAGCTTTTTTATTTTATTTCCTTCTGTTCAAAGACCCGCACGTAAAGCCGCAACGGGGTGATATTTGGTTTATTTTAAGATTCTATCAGTCCTTTTTTTGAACAACTGTTACAAATAAACAAATGGCTTCCACCATTAAAGATACCTTATAAATTATTTAAGAATATAGTTACGTAAATATTACCATATACCGTAATGAAACACGGATTAATTATTATTTTCAAAACATGAACAAACCAATCCACGATTCCCACAAGCTCCTTTATTTCTGATGTGATTTCATCGGCGGTGGATTTCTTTTGTCCTGTTGACTCGAATGTTGAGAAAGAACTCTCCTGTAAACAAAACATCCTTTCAATGCACTTTTGCTTGTAATGTTTGAGAAAGTCATATAATTTCGTTTGTAACTTAATATAGGGATACTTTTATTGCAACTTAATAACAGCCGCTATGTAAAGAAACATAACAAGTATTAATCATCATCTCAGGCCTTCCCCAAGGTTCGCGATGACATGTGCTGCCCGCCTCCGAGTATTCATCAGCCTTTAATAATCCACTACTGGACATTGGCTTCTCATTAGAAAGGAGCTTTTGGCCTACTATACCACGCTGGCCAGATGGGTTGGTATAGGGGTTTGTGTCATGGCACTATACGGTGCACCGGCGTGGGCGGCGGCTCTGACCGCCCAGAATAGGGCACGCCTCTGGCGCCCTCAGAGGGTATTGGCGGTCGGAGCCATACGCGGTTACCGCACCGTTTCGACGGAGGTGGCGTGCGCGTTGGCCGGAACTCCCCCGTGGGATTTGGAGGCGGAAGTGCTCGCCGAAGTTTATCGGCGAGTGGCTGGCTCCCGGGCGGAGAGCGGATTTCGCCCTCCGCCCGAAGACGTGCGCGAGTGGCGCGAAGCCGCTCGCCGAGCCACGATGGCTCGTTGGTCGTTCCGGCTGGAGACTCCACGCGCTGGCTTCGCCGCCGTGGAAGCTCTCCAGCCAGTCATCGCCGAGTGGGCAGGGCGGCAGCACGGGACCCTTACCTTCCGGCTGACGCAGGTGCTTTCCGGGCACGGTTGCTTCGGAAAGTACCTGCACTCGGTCGCTAGGAGGGAACTTAGTCCCGCCTGCCACCACTGCGACTGCAGTGAGGACTCGGCCCAGCACACGCTGGCGGTCTGCCCCGCATGGGCGACGCAGCGCCGAGCCCTCACTGCAGTCATCGGAGTGGATCTCTCGCTACCGGCCGTAGTACGCTCCATGGCCGGTAGCGACAGTTGTTTTACCGCGGTCGCAACCTTCTGCGAGGAAGTAATCTCGCAGAAGGAGGCGGCGGAGAAGTCCCGGGAGGGCGACCTCCACTCGGACCCGATCCGCCGCCGGCGAACCTGGCGGCGGAGGCGCGCTTATCACCGCCTCATGCCGCCCTGAGTGTGGCCGCGGGTGGACGGGGTGGGTTTCCCCTCCATCCGCATTAGTTTGGCCAGCCGCGAGGGGGCGGCGTTCGCGTGTGCCGGACGTCGCCTAAAAAGAGAGGAAAATTTTGAAACGGAGCCCGCAACAGGAGCGGGCCGGCGCTAGGAGGGGTCCGGATGTCTTAATAACAGCTGTTCCCGGATCCCTCCTATTACAGGCGCAGAGTTTCACACCGTGTGGTTTTAGTCGGTCCGAGTCCGACACACCACCCCGCCGCAAACTCCGGTGGGGTGACGGTCCGAGAGGATTTCCACACGTTAAAAAAAAAAAAAAAGGGGTTTGTGTCAAGTTTTCCTTCTCTTTGCAGTGCTTTTATACTGCGTAGTTTGGTCCCTTAGTCGTCCATACCCACGGGATGAATAGCGGTGGTGATACTCCGTATTTTTAATCCGTCACCACTCCGAGTGCTAATAAATTTATTTATTATGTCTTAAGCACATGGTACACAGGCGGATTAATTGAAAAAGGCGTGCTCTAACAACCGACCATTAGGAAATGCACAGTAAACAAGACGCCAATACGTCTTAGTTAACTTATAAGTTTATTAAATGTGCAAACAAAACACAAACAAAATATAGGTACTAAATATGGTATCTAATATATACATGTGTTTATATTAGATACCATATTTAGTAGTTTACATAAAACCTCATATATTACTTTTATTTTTATTTTAAAAAGACAGCTCCCGCATTAGGAATATATCCTATGTCGCGGCGGACTTTACAAAACATACATGAACGGGCACAAAGAACACCCAGACTCAGAACGACAATTTGTGGATCACACAATGTTGTCCCATGTGGGGATCGGACCCACAACACTCAGCGTAGTAGCAGGCGGTGTGGCGACCGCTTAAACCACTACGCCATCCGTAGAGTCATCATAAATCATCATAAGTTAGTCATATATAAATACATACATACATACATAAAAAAGTCATGTGTGTGTATATGGACTACTGTTAGGTTCAGTCTTTTTCTATTATAGACGTACTTTTAAATACACTAAACGTAAAAATACAAACCATTTCTAGAGCCTTGGCAGTACTTTGCTGTCGAGATCGACGGGGCTCAGCGTGCATATTCTTCATCCTTTAATTAAAAATACGTTTTAATTAAAATGGTCCTGTTGTCTGTTATTACGGTTATCATTTCGGTTTAAAGCAGAGTTTCTCAAAGTGGTTGATATCGACATAAACGAAAACTGATTTTGGGGCCAACGAGGTCTAAAAATCAACCCCTATTAATAAACACAAGTTATGATCGGAAACTTTCAAGACAGAAGTGTGCCAACTTGTTATAAAATGACTAATATTTTAGTAGGAAGTATCATTGTTGTACTTTTTAAAAACTCAAAATCGAAAGTCGATAAGCTTACAATAGCTTGTCTATGGGGATCTGAGATATCAGTTCATTTTAGAAAAGGGGTCTCTTTAACTAACTTACTTACTTAACTATTACGGGTGTAATAGTTAGGGAATCCCTGGTTTAAAACAATTTAAAATAGTTCAAATTACCATAAAAAAATAAATACATTTTGCTGATATTTAGCTTTTAACTCTACTGTATAATAAAAGTGTTTTGTTTGTTTTTCTTGACATTTTCAACCAATTTATAATGACCTCGACAAATTATACACATAAACCGTCTTCGTGATTCACTCTGTCTATTGGTAAAAAACGCATTAAAATCTGTTAAGCGGTTGATGAGTTTATTGAAAATAGACAGACAGTCGCTACATAGGACTTTGTTTTATAATATGTATTTTGACATTTAGACATTAAGCTAGATGTATCATCATAATCAGTATCATCATTCAGTAGATGTAGATTCGTAGCAACAGTACTTTAAGTACTGTTGCTACGTAAAATAGTGGTGGTTTTACCTTCGTTCAGCATTTTCCTGTCTTGCTATATTTGACATCCTCCTGTAGTCCGATGGGCGAAGATAACTGACCTGATTTGAAATAAAATAGAAAAATCTAAATCTTATTTTACCACCTATATGAGAGCTCATAAAAATTCATGATAAAGTTATTGTTCACAAGTTAATCCAAAGGAATATAACATTACTTATTACAACAACATTTATACCTAAATGTATAAAAAAGAAAAATATTCTAGACTTTTTCGATCCTTGTCAGACATGGTGAAATCTTTTATAGAGCGTAATTTAACATACATGCTCCTACGACATATTTAACTTAAGATAAATCGAATAATATTCATTAATTTAAACAAAATTTATATAATACTGTATTATAATAGGGTAGGTGATAAAATTATGGAATAGGTACCTGAGAACCGCTCTCATCCTCGTGATGATGCCCACCAGCGTAGCTCACTTGTCTAGCCAAGACTACTTGGCTTGGATCCATATTTGAAACTGTTACCTCGCGAAACTGTTTCTCAAAGAGAGGTATGAAAGCCTAGGAAAAAAGCAACAGAAACTTGAATCGAGTATTTGAATACTTATATTCTTTAAAAAAGAAAATGTACCCTGAAAAGTTCGAATTGAATTTTGACATTTATAGTTCAAAAAAACTTTCACAAATTGTTATATACCATTTTTCAACTATCTAAATAGTGCGTCCAAATTAGATTTACGAACTTTCTGGGGTTCTTTAGAGAACTGGTCTGTTTGACTTTTCAATAAAAATTCTTAAATCTTAAATGAAATGAGCTCGAAATAATCAAATTAAGAATTTAGTTTACCAAAACTAAATAAGCTCTTTCTAACTCCTTGAAAGGAATGTTTTCCTGTAAGCCAGTATGGGTGGCTTACACGCGCATATCATTAATAACGCAACTTTTTACACTAAGAAAAAGTGTAAGAATCTATGATAAGATATCTGTCAGAGTTGTTTTAAAACTAACCCGTTTATCGAAAAATAACCATATTTCCAATCTTTGACACTATTTTATTTGCAGATGTGGGATTGATGAGGACTTTTGTATGTGCTTATAACATTAGCACCAATTTTGAGCTTCATGCGGTTATTGTATCCTTGCTATTTTTTGACCTAACTTAAAACAAATTGTGACACATACCTCTCGTAACTGCTTCCCGAGAATTGACAGCATTCTTCCCAATATTAGGCCGGATAATACGTAGTCTGACATCCTGAGCTTAGTATTCTTTGGAGTATCAGCTAAGGGTATTTCGTCTTGTGTCAGCCGTACGAAGTACACATATCGGCGATTGCGATGGATTATAGGATAGTTAAATGCACCAAAGAGTGGGAACAGCTTCGGGGTTTGAATCACCCGTGGGACAGATCGCTATGGGATAAAGATATATTTTAGATCTGATTACACTCAGCTCAGTATTTCTAAACTGTTACGATAAACAAGCGATCTACCTGGTCATATAATTTACCCCTCTTATTAATATTAAAACCTTAAAAAAATCTATTGTTGCACCATAGGATTAAATCGTTCTTGTATTGTGTACTTATTTCATGAACGTAATACTATTTTAAATGGGTCTTGTCACTACTTTCACTTTGTCCACCTATTATGATTTTGAAATCATCACTGCTTGTCTGTTCACAAAAGTTGTAGCTGGCCGGATTGTTTTATTCATCTTTAAATAGAAATTTAGCTTTATTAATTGCTCTGAAGCAAAGCGGATGTTTTTGAAATGCAATCCTGCCACTAAAATAGTAGACTGCCAATTCTAGACTCTCTACAGCGAGTAGCAGCAACGTATCAGCACACACATGTATAATATAATAATATTTTAACATTCTACCACATTCACACAACGCCATCTAGTCTCAAACTAAGCAGAGCTTGTACTATAGGTACTAGACAACTGATTTAAATACATATATACTTTTTTTTGTAAATAGCAGTCTGTTACACAAACCACTATGCCATCCGGTCGTCACACGTCGTCACATCCGATCGTCACGTATACAGCTTTTTAAATCCTTTTGTTTAGGTGGGGGGTAGGTACCCCACTGCTAAACCTCAAAAATCACATATGTATGTCAATTTTTCTATCTCCGACGATACCTTTGTTTGGTTTGTATCATACGGTGAGTGGGAAGAGATTTTTACATCATACATTAAGAATTAGAACACTACATTTTTTCGGGATAAAAAGATAGCCTATGTGTTAATCCAGGGGACACCAGGGGATAATAATTTCTTTAAATTCAAGGGGGATCATGTTACTAAATACAGACCAAGAGATCCTACGAAAATAATGATTCCATTTTGTAGAACATCTTTGATGAAAAAGAATGTGTATCACATGTGCATTTCAGTTTTCAATAAACTTCCTAAGAGCCTTAGGGAACTCCCATTTAAATATTTTAAAATTAAGTTAAGGAAATGGCTAGTTGATAAGTGCTTTTATACAATGAAAGAGTTCATGCAATACAAAACTGATGTATATGATCATTTGTAGATTTAATAAATTAGATATAATAATTCAATAAATTTAATAATTTCTAAATTTAATAATTTCTATGTAATTTTTTTTTTTTTTGACATTTTGTTAATTTTATTAGTTAATAGTTATCATTAGTTATTATGTTTTGAGTCTCTATAAAAATATTTGCATGCCTAGTACAGGCAGAATATAGCTTGAACATTATACACCTTTATAAAATCTGGTACCACCTGTATTCTCTGCAAATAAATGTTTCTTTCTTTCTTTCACCTAGTTCATAAAATTTGCCGCCATTCCAAATTTTATCAAAATTGGTCCAACCGTTTGAGCACGAAGAAGTGTTACAAACATACGAATTTTCACCTTTATAATATTAGTGTAAATTCGATCAAAGTCAACATGAATGGATCACTCAAAGCAAATGAAGAATGTTATTTGTGATACGTGACACAACACTTAACAGATTACACATTACGTGGCCGGTTATTTATTTATTTGTAGCAAGTAAGCAAGTAAACCTCTTGCGATTATTCTATTGTCTATATAACAATACAGAATATGGTACTATCTACATAAATCTAGAGGCAATATGGACTAATTTAAAAAAAATCCTTACAACAACTGTATAGAATTCCAAAGTTCCATCTACGTCAGGATCAAGCTCCTCCTCGGGTGCTATAAAATATAATTATTGATTTTCTGTTTCTAATTCACTAACGTTACATACGTTATTAATCTACTAATAAAATACTAATACTATCTATTAATAAAAAGTTAACTTTCAAAAGATATCACAAGTATCACATCAACAGCCTTTAACAGTCCACTGCTGGACATAGGCCTTAGAAAGGAGGTTTTGGCCGACTATACCACGCTGGCCAGACGGGTTGGTATAGGGTTTGTGTCAAGTTTTCCTTCTTTTTGCAGTGCTAGTGTCCTGCGTTGTTCTGCGCCCTTAGTCGGCTCTTACGACACCCACGGGATTAATTGGAGTAGTGACATTCCTTATTCTTAATCCGTCACTACACGGACTCCGTCACAAGTATCAATTTATGGTATTATAAAATAATGGTAGTACAGCGATATAAATATGCGTTATACCGGGACTTTTTTTTCCATAAGTATTTTTATATTATTATCAGTCTTTTGTAATACATCAACACCTGTAGTTCCTGTCGGGTGTGTAGGCTTCCCTTTTTTTATCGTAGGAGGGCGCAAATGAGCAGACGGGTCGCCTAGGTGAGTGGAAACTTGCACTCCATGGACACAGTAGAAACAATGCAGATACAAGATGTGTAACCAATATTTGTCTCACATTAAGAAATTGACTGCGAAAAATTGTTCATGTACCTAACTTAAAAACAAAGAACAAATAAAATTTGTTTGCGTGTAGGTATTGGAGTGTCCAAAACAAATGAAAAATGCTGGTTTAAGTACACTAGGTTTTAAGTAAATTGAAAATACTTACGCGGCGGAAAGTAATACTTGTCCTCCGGAAAGACAACTAGCTCCGATTGGCAGGGAAATTCAAAACCACTCTTAGTACCCATGTCCTCTTCAGACACTCCTACCGCACTCGCTGCCGTTTCGACATCAAATTCTTCAAAGCGACGTGATAGAATAATTTTTATATAGGTATTAGATTTAAAAAAAAAACATTATTTTAAGATATTGGGTCCTCGCTTCGGAACCAACCACCTTGGGAAATTTATTTTCCGAAGTGGATTTAAATTTTGTTGTAGAACTCAGGGTAACTTTTTTATACTAAAGTAACACGCCCTGGCGAAGGAGTACACCGTTTAGCCTGGCATCTACCATAGCCTCAGGAAAGTATTAAATTAAATCATAAAAGTATGATTAATAAAAACGAAAACGACATACCCATAGACAGATCTTGATCTTCTGAAGGCGCTGTAAATTTATTATTATTTAAAAAAAAAGGCAAAAGCAGTATAACATTATGACCAATCGAAAATTATATTATATTTTGTATGTAAAAGAATATCACCATAGAAGTTAGTGTGATAATAGGTACATCAAACAATCACACACCCACATCAAAATAATGTTGTGTAGTATCCTGGCACACATCAAAACAATGTTGTGATATATTTAATGAAGCGACTGTATCTAGCAGTGATTAAAAAAGAGTGGCCGTGAGTTTGTTTGCCCTTTCTTCTCATAAGGCTTAACCCCTTTGAAACGGGCAGTTTTGGATCGGCACAGGCATTGTTGCTATTGTGTATGTTGATCTATGACTCTGAGTCCAAGACGATTGTAATTATCAAAAAAATTGATGATATAAAGATATTTCGAGTTTGAGTTTGAATAAAATATCACACTACTCTCATATAACATATTATTATATCATTAGGTTCTAGACTACGTTGGGCACGCCGTCATTGCGGCGGTAAGACCCGTTATGGAGGATTGGCTCGAGAGGCGTCACGGGACCCTCTCATACCGATTGACGCAGGTGATCACTGGGAAGGGATGTTTCGGAGATCACCTGTGTCTGATCCGCAAGGAGCCAACGCCTGAGTGCCACCACTGCGATGGCCAGACCGTGGACACGGCTCTCCACACGCTGGCAGAGTGCCCGGCGTGGGTTGAGCAGAGGCGAGACCTCGTGGCGGCCATCGGAGTGGGAGTTCTCTCGCTCGATAGCCTGATTGCGGCTATCGTGCGGAGCGAGAGTGCGTGGAACTCTGCCGTCTCCTTCTGCGAGCAAGTTATGCTCGCGAAGGAGACGGCGGAGCGGGACCGGGAGAGGTTTAGAACTCTCCCGGCCCGCCAGGCCCGGGCACGGGCCAGGCAGCGCAGGCGACTCAGGCGCCGGAGGTCGCAGAACGACCTCCGTCCTCCATAAGCGCAGGCCTGGGGGTGACAGGTGAGGCCATCTGTCACCCTAGCAGAAGCAGGCCGGGTTGGTGGCGAGCGCGTTGCGAAGCGCGCTCGCTTCCAGGGAGCATAGGGAACATGGGGTTCCCACACGGGGCGGGGGTCGTCTACTCGTCTGTAGATGACCCGAGGTATGTCGGGGCACCAGGGCCTTCCTTTCTAGGGTATACCTGGTTCCCCGGCTATTAGTACCCGGCGAAGGCGTGCGGTTTTAGTCGGTTCGAGTCCGACATGCCACCGACAGGTGGTATCCGAGGGGATTTCCGCACGGGAAAAAAAAAAAAAAAAAAAAAAAAAAAAGGTTCTAGACTACGTGTGGAGTTGCTTTTTTATTTTATTATATTGGACAGATTCGTGAAATGTAGTAAAATTCTTAATACCTTTCATACTTTTTGCACTTTTAAGACTTTTCGCACTTTTAAGACTTTTTGCGCTTTTTAAGCTTTTCGCGCTTTTCAAGCTTTTAGCACTCTTAGCGTCTACCACTGGCTCGGGTTCCACCACTGGTTCAGGACTTTTTTTACCTTTTTTCTTTTTCTTTTGCTTTGGCGGCGGCGGTGGTGGAGGGGGAATAATTCCTGAGGATAGTTCACATGTTTATAACATACTAGACTTATATATTCCTTATTTACGATTAAATATAATAGAAATATATTTTTATACATAACATTAGATAGGTGTATAACATGTGTAAGCAGTACAGTTTGGTACTTATTTAAGTATTAATTATAATTATACGATAAGTACGTGTACCTACGGTAACACAATCCATCTATTAAGATATTAGGGGTTAAAGTATGAAACTGCCGATTTGAACTGAAAAATTGAAACTCGTTTTTTTTTTAAGATGTGACATATTTATTTAATCAAAATATTTAGACTCATTATCTACACATTGTTGCCATCTAAACGGAAGTTCATTTATGCCTTTACGATAGAACTCTAGGGTTTTTTAACAAACTTTGTGAAAGCATTTTGTACTTGCCTCCTGGGAAGAATTTTTTTTATTACGTAGAAAATTGTCATTATCACAAAAAAAAATGGTATTCCGTTGGAGCAGGGTTTGGCGATTACGAAGAATGACGTATGGTTACTAACTGCAGCTCCTGTAGAGTTACAACGGTTTCTCGTGCAGTGTGAGGTCAAAAGGAGCCAATGATTAAATTCGATTCACGAGTCGGGGATATTTTACTGCTAGGCATCATTGTTCGAAGTTCGGCACAGTAAACATCTAATGTTATAGCCCGACCAGACCTGAAGAAGCTATAGTGAATAGCACCATGAAGAGACCACCAAACAGTTACCATTACCTTTTTATTGGTATAAGTATACCGGTTGCGGCGTTTGACCTGGGGTCAGACATTGCAATTTTCGCCCACGGTTATCGTAAACAATCCAATTATCGTCACATGTCACAATTCGATCCAATATTCCTTCATTTCTGTACCGATTCAACAGGGCTTGTGTTGAGTTTCAACATGCATTTCTTACTGCAGATCAGTCAAATCATGATGACCATTTTTCATATTTTTATCTAATTGATTTGATGCAAATAAGTCAATATTGTAGGTAGGGTAACGTTAAACCATTTTTTTCACATTTAGGTACAGAACGTCATTTAGTGCCAAAACTGCCAAACTAAGCAGAGCTTGTACTATGAGTACTAGATAAATGATATAAATACACATCTTTATTTTTGTAAATACATACATAATATACATAGAAACACGCAGACCAAATCAAACAATGTTCATGCACACAAATGTTTGAATTGAATCGAACCAGCGAGCTTTGGCATAGCAGTCTGTTACACAAACCAATACGCCATCAGGCCGTCATGTCGCTAATTCCAGGGTAGTTTGACTCGGCTCGGCTTCCACCATCTCCTTCAATTCAGCTTTATTCACCTGTGTGACTTGAAGAACAAACCTCGTGGAAGACTAGGTTTGTTCTTCAAGTCGACGTTTCCATTACAAAATCGTTTAAACCAAAAACGCACGGTGCGTTCATTTGCAGTTTCCTCTCCAAACGCAGCGTTGATATTGCGAGCCGTTTCTGGCGCGTTAGTTCCGCGTCGGAACTCTTATTAAAAAATGACTCGGATTTTTAAAGTATCCATCTTACACGTCCCAAACTGAATAAAAAGCAATTGGAAGTCGAAAATTTAATGTTGCACATTTTTTAAAAGAAGAAGCTCATAGGTATCATGTGAAAAAAGTTCCACACGAAAATCTTACACCATGAAGGTTTTATGTCAATGCAAAGTATCTATTACTATACAACGGCAATTTCATACTTTAACCCCTATTATTTGAAAATATTTAGATAAATATTTTGGTTAAAAAAGATATTTCAAGAATTTACACTACTCTCTTCTGGTTGTCCTAGTACAACCAGTTTACCAAATGTTGGCAGTTTTAGGGTCTACAACTTAAACTCCAGTAGATATCGGCACTTTGCTTCGTTACATAAATCTTAGTAGGAATGGTGTTCCAAGTCTAATTAACCGATTCCCAGCCGAATGAGTGAGATTGGTCGCGACACAGGATATATTCCTAGTGCGGGACTTGTCGTAAAAAAAAGAAATAACCTAACACATCTACCACATTGCCATCTCATCATCATCATCAACATGTCATTAACAGTCCACTGCTAGAGATAGGCCTGTCGGCTGCAAGGAGGTTATGCCTACTATACCACACTATATACATAGCAGTCTGATCCTAAACTATGCACTCTATGCTATGGAGAAAAGACCAGGATAAACACACTTAAAATATTTCTAAATATACATCTTATTAGAGATGAAATTTACTCAGACACAGAACAAATGATTGTGCTCATACACATCATCACATCAAACATCATATCACATACTGGACGAAGGCCTGGTTAGAAAGGAGGTTTTGGCCTACTACATATTGGTGGCCAGACGGATTAGTCATGGTTTTTTGTCAAGTTTTCTTTCTTTTTGCAGTGTTGTTCTTCTGTGTAATTAGCTTCCTTAGTTGGCTCTTACGACACCCACAGGATGAATAGGGGTGGTGACATTCCGTATTCTTAGTCCATCACCACACAGATGATTATACTCATCACACAATTATTTGTCTGGGCTGGGAATGAAACCCACAACCTTTGGCGGCTTATGATCACTAACCACTAGACGATCAGGCCCATTAAGTGAGTGAACCAAGTATATAAAGATATATCCTCATATAAATAATTTGATTTACAAAATAGCTACTCACTCCACTCTGTGTACTCTTTATCTTCATAAATGAGTTCGTCTACAACAACTTTGGAAACATAGAAAGTTTTTTTGTTCAAGTTATGTTCATGACATTCTATAGGGGATGTTAAGAATTGAATCATTTTTTTTTTATTTTCCCTGTCTGCTATCATATTGTAGAATACACTCTCTTTTTCTACTCCAGTATAAGCCAAGGTACGTTCCTTAAGCCACTGGACTCGAGGATCAGTATATATGTTAATATTGTCAAGTTCGTCTAAATGTATATTTTCTTCAGACATCTTTCAAATGTTTCTCTTTCTTGATCCTGCAAAATAATAACTAACTTACTGTGTAAGTCTTCAGTTTATTTACTTTACCATATGCAATAATATGACTAAATAATCTGTATTACTCAACTACTAAAATGATAATAAGAAAAACTGTATCTTACAGAATCAAAACTTACTAATTGAAATAAAATTGACTTTAAAGATTTTGATTACATAACAAACAAATTTTTAGACCATATTATTTACATAACATTTCTATGCAAGCCATAGTAAAAGAGTTTTTTTTTAGTTCACTTTTATTATCATTTTTTAATCATTGTCAAAAAATATCATATTATTTTATTTTTACTGCGTTTTTGTTATTTCAGACTACTTCCAGTCGAATAATCATCTAGTAACATAAAAATGATCATTTTACCTTGTCTAAACTACTACAACAAGTGTTTGTAAACAAGAATTAGTTTATTCTGATGAGGAAGACTTTACAAAACAAAATCTATTCTGTTTGTATGAAAATATAAAATCTTAAACAATAATAAACTTTAGATTTATTACTGGGTATAAAATACAGGTAAATATTAGTGTTACCAAGGCAGTGAATAAAAAACACGGTTTATAACCAAATCTTACCTTTCTCTAATAAAAGCAATGAGCAAACTCATTTAAACTTCGGATAACACTATTATGATATTATCTTTAAGCCATTATTGATAAAATCCAAATCAATAAATGTTTAGAACTTTACTCGGTATCCAAGAAGTAAATAAAACAATGAAACGACAACAATAATTAACAATAATTCGCTGTCATGGGAACGATGTCGAACGAAATGACAGCGATTTGATTTTCCCGCTCAGTTTCCTGTGACATAAAAGCTGCGGTTTCATTCATACAATTATTATTCGTTTTGTAAAAAACGGAGAATTTGACCTGAATTTAAAGTTATCGAAGGTATAATAAACCTTAGTTAAACCTGTTTGTAGAGTGACATATATCACGATTTGAGTTGAAGGAATTTCCTTTTTACATATTTTACACTTTTGAATACTGTTGTGTATTATGTTAAAATACTCTCAGGGTCATTGCACTGTGTCCTGTTTGCCTGCACATCCAGTGTTTGCAAAGATCACCTGGACGGGGACATCATAAGGTCAACTAGGTATCTTTATTTTTTACCCGGAGAATGCTTTTTGCACCATACCCTCCGTTGGGGAAACGCAGGGCGTGTGCTCCCGGAAAAGCAGTCTACCCACTAAACCCCGCGGCGGCCTACCTCGGAAGTACCGCATCTGTGGCTTCTGGAGTCCTCCCTGCAATACCCCATGTCTGAGGCACACAAGTCTGAGGTGACCGTAGTCACCCTAAGGTGGGAGGTAGCCGCACCCACTGCTCTATCTCTCACACGACGTTTGCAGCGGCCACATGGCCCTAAGATGTGGCCGCAGCGACCCTTAAACGATTAAGAAGCTCTGCCGCATCGCATCCCCTTCGCCGCCTCCTTCGAGCGGGATCGGCCCTCTCCCGATCGCGCGACCTCCTTCTGGAGCATAACGTCGTCGCAGAAAGAGACCGCGGCTGCCCATCCCACGCCACTCGCCAGCATTGCCGCGATCAATGCCGGTGGTGACAGGTTTCGTCCAATCTATCTGACCAAGACTCGACGACACCGACGCAGGGCAGTCCTCCAGCGTGTGCTGGGCGGAGTCCCGGTCCTTCGATATTAGGCAGCAGGCGATGCAGCGCACCCGCTACCCCCGCACTCGGGGCACTAATCGCTCGACTGTCAACGAAGTACCTATGGATTAATTATTTAGGTAGGCCAAAACCTCGTTTCTAAGGAGAGGCCTATGTCCAGCCAGTAGCTACTAAAGTCTATTGGTGATTTAGGTAGGTTTAACACAACAAATAATGTCTGTGGGTGCCTATTCTATTTATGCACCCAGAGCTTTACTTAAAGATTTAAAATACGTTATGAACTACGTGTCATTTCAGATAAATTTATAATACTTTATAAATTATTTAAATTACAGAAATGAATACATGTATTTATGTAGGGTAAACAGGGTTACTCACTTGTGTATTTTGCGATCGTCTGAAGTGCCATACCCAACAACCTTTGCCAAGTGGTGAAGCGATTTTCTACATCGGTGTCAGGCACTGTCTGTACCGCCCTACTCCAGTATATTTCACCATGATCAGGGCCGGGTATGCAGAGCGTGCACCGCACACGGGCGCCATTTTCAAGGAGGCGGCAAATCAGAAATCGAAATGAAAACGAAACATTCTCATATATATACTTTATAAGTTTAATATATTTTATTATTCGTATTACTTTAATAAACGTAAGTATGAATAATTTGATTCACATACCGTGCGATTGTTTTAAATTCGGGAAATTTTAGGGCGGCTTAATCGTGGCACGTAGTTATTACGGTGGTAGGTAAGAACTGTTATGGAGGATTGGCTGGAGAGTAAATACGGGACCCTCTTATAACCGGCTGACGCAAAGTATGTTTTAGAGATCACCCGTGTCTGATCCGCAAAGATGCTACCACTGCGATGACCAGAGCGTGACCTCGTGACTAAGTGAGCGTGGCCATGGTACGGAGTGAGCGCGTGTATATTTCCGTAGTTCCTTCTGCGAGCACATTATGCTCGCAAAAGCGAGGGTGAATTGGGATAGCAAGGGGCTTAGAAACCTCTCCCGGCCCTCCAGGCCCGGGAACGGACCATGTACCGCATGCGGTTCAAACGCCGGTGGTCGCTGAATTATCACCGTCCTCCATGCATGTGGCCGGGGGCTGACAGTTAGCGACGCGACTGGCTCCGGAGCTCCTTTGGAATCAGAGAGGGAAAACTGTGGTCACCATACACGAGGGGGTCATCTGTAAGCCGTAGATGACTCGGGGAACGTCATCGGGGTATCACGGATTTCCTTTCTAGTTTACACCTAGATCCCGGCTAGTACCCCAGGGGGCGCGGCGTGCAGTTTTAAGGCCGGCGATGTCTGACGTCACGGCAAGGCACGACACTGTGTCCTTCAGCAGCCCGAAGGATGCTTTGGTATTAAGCAATATGCCAAAGCATGGCGGGGTATCCAAAGGGCTATTTCCGCACAGAAAAAAGGGGCGGCTTCATCGGCATTGCACGCGACGCTCAAACAGCTAGTGGCGGCCTTGACTGTGGTCACAATGAATATGTTGTTCGAAAGTTGTTACATGACATGTTATTTTTTTTTTTTTTTTGTCGTGCGTAATTTCCCACAAATACATAAACATTAAAATTATATATTTTAATTACCTACTATTTATAAGGAGTGGTCTATGTCCAGCAGGATTATTAAATATATATATGGACTATGGACTTTTAAATACTGTTGATGATGATTGATGATTTATATTGTTTATTTATATATTAACCAGACTTTTAAAATTGTGTTGTCATTTTTTATATATTAATTAAATTTCTGAACCTTTTTGTGTCGCGAATAACCCAAATATGGAGCAAATAGCTGCTTGATTGAGTTTATCTTATGCAATATGCAAACCATGTGTAAGTTTTGGAGGTATAAATAAATAAAAGTTGACAGGCTTTAACGTAACTTTATTAAATTTTAATCAGTTACTGATTTCTTCAAAACACATTTAATAAAATGTGGGCACTTTTTAAACAGAAGTCGACATTTCGTGTTAAAAGTTGTTTTAGTCTTTAATTTTTATACTATCTATAATGTGTTTAACTTAATCGTATTTAAAGCTAATACTTATAACTAGAAGTAAAAACTAAAATATTGATCTAAAATGTTTTTGGTTACACAGTCGAACAGAAAATTTGTTTTGTATCTAAAAGAGTAAACCTTAAAGCTAATCTCTGTATTTACAATTAGTAGGTAAGTATTTTACAATTAAGGGAATTATTTCATCATACACCTACATGCCTGTTATTCGGGCAAGTATATTTATATATGTATATTTTTACATGTGATCGAGTGTTGGCAAATTGGAACTCCATGTTATCACATCAAAAATCAATATTTACTTTGTATTGTAATATTCTCCCGATAAAGTCCACTTCTATAACAAGACAAGCGTTTAGATTTGTAAGAAGGTTTAACACTAGTACTACTCGTAGTAATTTTAAAAACTCATACCTACTTGTCACTATAATAAAAACAGGAAAAGAGAGCAACGTCGAAAGTAGTTATAAATTAATATTTAGGTAGGTACACAATCTAGCCATAACTCTTATTTATATTTGATGGATTTTAAACAGTATTTTCCATTAATTACAATTGCAATTACATTGCACCTAGGACATCTACTTACTAATATCAACTATATTAGTAAAAGTCTATTAATATTCAAACTTAGAAAACAAACTGGCGTGCTGGTCTCTCTTTTGGATAACCATTGCTGTTATTATTATCAAAATCTTCTAATTTAGAATTGAAATGATTTTGTATGTTTTGTCTTTTTTCTAAACTACCTACTGACGATTGTGGAGCTGTATATGAGGAGGGTACTGAGTAAGGAGAATCTGTTTTACCTATATCAGATCGCATAGTTGATGTGTCATGTTCTACACTAGAAGTTACCTCATTTTGATTAGTCTTTCCTGCAGTAATTTTCTGTTTGATGATATCTCTAGGAGCACCAAATTCGTCTATTTGGAAGGCATCCAGAATTTGCTGCTGCTCTTCCACATCTTCTAATTCGTAATTTACAGAAGGTATTAACTGGAAAGTTTCTGAATCTGGGGTTTTACTACTCTGCATTAATTGAGCGTCTTTTGGTGTATTCGTATTGGTCTGTGTTATTGTATTAAAGTTTTCGATTCTATTATCTTCTGGTTTTGTATATAGGTAGTATGATCGATCTGTCTTATAAGTAACTACTTTGTTATTTTCTATCGGGTGTGGTATAGTACCCACAATCATATCTTGTATTTTAGCTGATATTCCGTTTTCACTGTCACGTAAGTTGGTAAGGTTCTCTGTATTAGTAATTTGGTTTGATTCGTAAGATGGCTCTAGTTGTAGTTTGGCTGGATTCAGATTTATAGTTTCAGCTTTAATAATCTCGACTGCCGGGGTTGTCTGCTTCAGATTACTGCCTGCATTGTTTTGATTAGTGTTGCGCTGTAAAGTGAATAAATGTGTAGTCGGGTGTTGTAAAGAGTTTGAATTAATTAGATTTGCAGATGTTGGTTGATTGTAAATTTGATTTGTTACCTCAGGAACGGGCCACCGGTATAATTGACCACTGTAGATTTCATTCTGATTATTTAAAACGTTTTGTTCGATGTTTTGTTGGGTGTTTGGCCTTTGAAACCGGGAAGAATATAAATCGTTTTGAGTATTGCGAGAAGGATAACCATTAAATTGTGGGTTTTGTAATTGTCGTGCCTGATGTTCATTAGAGTATTTTAAGTTACCTGTAAATGGAATAACTTGGTTAATGTAAGTTGGTGGAGTAGCAATAATTCTTGCGTTTGTATCAAAATTATTATAATTATTACTTGAAAATTGTGATGATGTCAATTGTGATATTTTATTGGTAATATCGGAGAGTTGTTGATTATTCAAGCTTTGGAAATGTGCTGGAGTAGGTGTTACTGTAGATGATAGTACTTCTTGTTGTGCAATGTGGCGGTGTTCTCTCGCTATGTTGATAGAGTCAGTCAAAAACGAATAGACGAGTGCCTGTGAATCGGAAATAGTTTGACTGTTATTAATTTCAGGAAGTTTCGTGATTGGGATAAAATTGAAAATATTTTTCTTAGTTAACAAGTTATCATTATTGTTGCTGAGCACTAGATAGTTACTACTACCAGTGTTTAAAATGTCTAATTTGTCAAATTCTGCATCACTTTGGTTTTTGAATAAGTACATGGCAATTTTTTCTGGTATCGTTATTTTAATGGAAACTGTTCTCTCTATTGTATTGGGAAAAGCAGATTCTTTATAATAGGCTAAATTAGAGAGTGGGTTAATGTTTTGATAAATATAACTTTCATCAGGTGGCAGTAAGCTAATTGCCGGAGTTGCAATAAGTCGCGAACTCTTCGAAAACACTGTAGTAGTTTGTAATGGAGATTGATTCATTATCTTTTCACCACTATCTGTCGGCTTTCGTAACGAAATGTATTCATTTTGATAAGGGTCCAGAGATTTAATAAAGCTCTTGCGATATTGATTATATTCGAGGGGAGAAACAGTTTTCAGTATACTGTCGGTATCCTTGACTATATCGTTAACAGTGATATCTAGTTTTTGCTTTGTTAAAATATCAGCTAATGTTAAATTGTTATTGTTTATATTTACACGTGAGTCTTTTTTTAATGTAAATGATGGTTGATTGAGATGACCACTAGAAAGTATATTCATTGGTGAAGTAAAGCTTGGGCTGACTCTTAGTTGGGCATTTTGGTAATATACTGGTTGAGGTACAGCGTTTGGTGACAAGTATTGGCGAGACAAAGTTGTAGAATCTTTTGGAGGCAAATACAATCGTTGCGTAGCTTGAAACGGAGCTGGTGGCAGATAATATCTTGAAGATTTTGTTGGGAGTGGAGATGGTGATGGTACATTTAAATGTTCTGAAATTGTAGGTTGGGTTGGATTTACTGCCGGGGCATTATATAAACGAGTAAATTCTGATTCCGTTGATATTTGTTTTGCAGCTGTAGTTGGGCTAGGATAGACGTAAGGTTCTTCAGACTCTAATTCTGTTGATTTAGCATTCTCCACTGATAGAGAAAAAGTGGGCATATCATAACTATAAGGCGTGGTATTATCGACGAAGATTTCTGTTGGCGTCTCGATTGGTAGAGACGGTCTTTCGTAGGTATATGGAGTAGGGTCCGTTAATTGCCTACCTGCTTTAGTTGGTTTCATAATCCAAGTCTTATTTGTAGCACGAGATTTAGGATTTCCAGATTTTGTTTCCTGAATAAAGCGGCTAAATGCCTTAGTTATGGCGGTTGTAGAAATATTTGCGATTGTACTTACTAAGTTATCCTTCAACTCCCTCCCAGCTTTACCATTTTTTATTTCATTAGAAAACTTTGGTAAACCAGGAGGAAAATTTTTATTATTTCGTGATTCCGTAAATGTGTCTCCAATATCACTATGTTTTCCATCAGTTGCCTGAGCTGTTCGTTTTGATTCACTGAATTGTGACCGTTGTCTATTTGCTAGGTTTCTTTGATTGTTTTGTGTGCTGCTTGTAGTAGTTGGCAGAACTGTGTTTGTCTTCCTTTGCGTGAATGTAGTAACTTGTGTCGGTCGTGTCACTTGTGAAAATTCTCCAAAAGCGTTGTTATTGTTGAAGTTTGAATTAGAATTTGGTAAAAATTGTCCTGCATGGCTATTGGAAATGAGATTACTGCTATGTTGTGAATTTTGTAAAGATTGAACTCTGCCAGTTCGGATGTATTGACCACTTTGTTGTTGTTTTTGGACGAAACTTTCATCTTTTTGTATTGACGGAAAATTCGTGTTAGTTGGAGCAGAAACGTATTGTGGTTCGGGGGTCGATGCAGAAAATGTATATTCTGTTGGATTACTTTGAATAAAGTTTTGTTGTATTTGCTTTGATGGTACATAAACATTGTTAGGAGGACGTTCGGGGCCAGCCAAAAGTGCACCATTTGGAAACAACTGGCCAGTTGGCGGTTTATAATCTTGCATGACAATTAAATTACTTTTCATAATACTTTTATCATAAGAATTTCGCATAGGATGAGTAAGCATCTTTTTAATATCCTTCATAAGTTGTGGTCCTAGTCTAAGGTTTCCAAATTTCTCATTATTGTTATTGATTAATTGTTGGGAAGTTTTACAGTTAACGTTCATCCACCAGTCACATACGAATACTGCTTGGTTAAACAAAGTTCCATTTGGGCAGAGGAAGGACTGAAAACCATACGTTGATCCAACTGTGCAGACTCTGAATACTTGACAATTGGTTTCTATATCTGCGTAGTAACCTGGAATAAAAAAATCTTTACTGTAAATAATAGTCCTTTCAAGCTAAAACTTGGCTGACCTATTCATATTACTGAGTCGGACAAGTTTTTCACATGCTAAGTCTGAAATAGGCAGCACCTTTACTCCCCCGCCCTGCAAACACGTCAATATAACGATAGTATGTTTTTTATTACCTACCAATAAATTTTCATTCTAATTACGGTAATTTGAAGATAATTATACTTCTCACGTTACAGAAGCGACAACGAGCAATGCCCAAGACAGTGATAATGAAAATGACGACAATGTATATAGTGATGGGTCAGAAGTAGAAACAGATGATTTAGAGAATGCATTATATTTAGTGCAAAATATTTATTATCGCAGAAAATTACAATTAATGATGACACATTTATATATTATTTAATGTACAAGCACGATATGGCTAATTAATTCTTATCCATTACTTTCACTATTTTTCGAACTTTTTTTTTGAATATTAAACATGAAATTTATCGGACAAGCTATATGTTGCTTCGTTTCTGTCGGGCACTTTTTTTATTCAATATAGAATGTACTTTCTTACATGTGCTGTAAGTTAAGTCAAGAGGTAATAAATAAAATAACTCCCCGAAAATCGACTTGTTCACCGCGTCGGACTCGGTACAAGATGCATAATTATTGTTGGACACTTGTACCGGACGACTTAATATAGGTATGTATATTGTTATTTAAATTTGTGATTTAACATTTTCCTGTAATTTATTAATATCTGAGCCACCACTTAATCGTACACTGCAACTCCTCATTTCATATTTTCTCTCTTTTTGCAGTCACTGGAAAAGATCGCAAATCGCGATAAGAGTGCCAATTGTAGCAAGTTCGTTATTCAGTTTATTTTGATTGTTTTACGTAAGTTGTGTTCGTACGAATATTTATATTATGCACAAACTTGTATGATTTCCTTTAGTTGTGTGCGATAAACATTATCTATCAAGCTATCTAAAAATGTACCTATAACATTTTAGTATGTTGCTAAATAGTCCTTAATTCTGTGGTAAGGATATTATCTCGTGGTTTCAGGGATAGCAAATTGTAATTAAAACCATCAATTTTAATTCTTCCATTATTACCTGGTTCTTTGCCGGCGCACGAGAAATCCGTTCGTGGTATTGCTCCGAGGGTAGGATAATCGTTGCCGGGTTCACCAGGAACTGCCAGCCTGATATCCCATCCATGCCCGTTGTGATCTTGGTACTGCGGTCCTCGACCATTTTGGGCTTCAGCCCATGTAATGGTGAGACACACTAGAAAATAAACAAATTGTTTCAAATACATTTTATCATTAAAATTGATTTAATGTTTTTCTTTTATGAGAAGAAGAAAACACTGTTTTAGTATTTATAAATGTTAAACGGTTTTCTTTTACATGTTTTTTTCGGGGATGCTTAACTACTCGTAGGTCTAAACTTTTAGCAATTCTGTTTCAGTTTTTAAATTAGTGATGGCTTTTAACACATTCAATATAAGTAAGCTTAAATTCATAAAAGTCAAGATAATCATCGTTTTAATGTTTAAATTTTTATTACACAATAATTTTATAATACAGCGTAATAAACTTTAAATTCAAATGGACTGGAATTGTTATTGTTATTGGGCAATGGATATGCTTCTAGGTTTTATGGCCTTGTAACTTTTACATTTAATTTAGTTAAGTGGTTCCAAATAAGACGACTTTCATCTGAATAACAATCCTCGAGATAGCGAGCAGGCGAGCATGGCAAAACTCGCAATAACAATAACGGTGTAACGAACACTAATTAATAAATTTGAAACGTGGGCTATTTTAGTATGCATTTCAACAATATAAGTATATTGATCAAAACCTGTAAAAGGCATCTTCTCTAAAAGATAGATATACGACAAGTGATTGAAGTATTTAAAGCATTTAAGCATCTGTTTTTATTCAGATGAATAACCCAATTTAAAGATTTTAAATTAGAATTTTAAAACCTCCATGGTATAAAACATATATGTATGTACATATATATACTTATATATCAAAGATGAATTTATCGCAAAGGACTTAAGTGCTGTCTCATCAGCATTTACTTAAAGTTTTACCATCAAATGATACTATACTGATTTACAAGGTAGTCTTATATTGGTGCTAAAACTCTCTAAACTAAAAATCACAAAAAATTTGTTTAGTCATGTCAGACAACGTTTCCTATTCTGAAAACCTAATATTTGAAAGGATGTAATATTTTTTTTAGCGATTTTTAATTTAGTTAGTTTTCGAACAACAGAATTAGCACCATTGACTCTTTGTTAAACTATATTCACAATAGTTTCGTAAACTAAAGTGGTATGGAGGCAATTCTCATAGTTTTTCTGTCATAGAGAAATATGTGTGCAAAAAACTTGAGGGTTGACGGCTATCTCACGCGGTTGGTTATTCTATTGTTACAAGGTCGCTTAAGGTATAATTACCTTTTTATTAAAGGTACACAGCAACAACACTAGCAAACATAGACGGGCTGTCTATTAGTAATACAACACACAACAATAATCTGTTACCGATGCCTTTACCTATGCTTAGAACGCTTTGATCTTCATTATCGTCATCATTCTGTCTAATGCAAGACATAGGTAACGTGATTAAGATCTTCGGCCTATCTGAGCGTCCTACTTTCCATTTATCGATTCACGGTCTCTAGTATATTACAGAATAATATTGCACCCTTACCAAAAAAATATTTTAAACACAGTTGCAAAAAGTAATAACATCACACATGGCAGTCTGGTCCCAAACTAGGCAGAGCTTGTATTATGGTAACCAATCATATTATAGATAAATTAAAATATGTTATTGTAATTATGTAACTGTAATAATAAAAAAAAGTCCTGTAAAAATCGCATTAAGAATAAAGGGCAAATTTGCAGTATGCAAATTAAGTTGGGGGTCGGAATTTCAAAACTGTACCGTAGTAATAGAGTTTTGATAACTATTTTTGGGTCCATCCGTTTTTTTATTACAGTTGCTTTAGAGCATAACTAAGCTTTCTATCGTTGAACTCCAAAACGTGATGTTTTACAAACATACAGTGTTATTTAATTCAATTTGATTGTACTTTTATCACCATAACTATTAAGAAACTGGACAGGTACTTCTTTTTAAATATTATACGATTCTATTGTATCTACTCGATGAAAACAGTGAGGTACATTGTATTACAATCCTATAAGTGACATTATACTATCTATACTAGATGTTAACACTTTCTTAGAATGAATATTATCTAATGCTCTTAAAAATGAACTATATTTTCAACTAATTGTTATTTATAATTGATTTTTAGACAACGTTTTTGGTCATCACTAACTGCCAAGTGTGGAACTATTGAAACTTAAGTAAAATTTAAACGAACACAGTATAATCTAACAAAGCCTTAATTCTTCATAGATACAAAAAAAAACACATATATTTGATTATGATGCAATTTTTAAGTCACTTATGTCATATTTCAATTGTGTTTGATTAAGGTCTGACAAAGGTAACTTACGCAACGTCCTCTTGAATAGATCTAATTTTGAGAATAAATTATAATAAATTATCCAAAATGTCCAGTGAACCGTGCGACCATAGTGCATACTAAAGGTAGAAAGTTGTCAATATATTATCATTATCATAATCGGAATATTACGTAACCGGTGCCTATTTGATCTGATTCTAGGCGTAACATCTGAGGTCAGTGGGCGATGAGAAAATTTCTATCGAATTGATTTTCTAATCCAAATATTTGTTTTTACTACTTTACGCTGATTCTGAGTTTATAGTGTTGTTACATTACTTTTTATCTATAATATTTAAAATAATAATATTTCTATATAGTGGTTACTCTAGTCCTAGGAGGTCGAAGGACCTACGATGATTTTTATTATTAAATTCGTATGAGTAATCAACTAATTAAAATGGTCTATTGATTAAAAACAAAATGACTTCCATAAATGATAGTTACAGTAAATTCTCTAAACGGAAGTTAATGTTTCTTATCTGAAAGAATCATAGTTTTAAAATTAAAATGTTTTACGGTGGATTCACACAAATGTATGTGTTAATATGGATATGCAGAACACTAAGTTCATTTTCTTTTAAACAGATAAATACAATCAATTCACCTTTCTTAAGCTTTTTAGTTTAGTAAATACTGCTTTACAAATTATATTTGAAAACAGTGTCCCGGGACGTATCCCGGGAAATCATGATACAAGTATATAATATTTGCTGACTAATGGTAATAATTTAATTTTAAAATAGCACAGTAAGAAACTAATATTAACTTAATAGTGTACTCTACTGAAAGCCATTCTTCGTCATTGTTTGAATGAAGTGCTCAAAACACAGAAATACTCGAGCTTGTAAGATTAAGGTAAGGTTGGTTAATTACATGACGAAAAGTGTGTATTTTAAAAATCAGACGATTTAAGCGTGACATAAGGCGTGACACGTAGGAGAGTCAAAAAGTTTAAGGAAAAAAACACATGACCTTGACATTATTCAGTGCAGATAAAAAAAAATGGAAGCAAACAATCCAAGAAATCTTCTTAAACAACATTTAAGTAATTTTTTTAGCCTTTATTTGTCATATTTTGTAATTGAAAAAACAAACAACAAATTAAAATATTTCCAACCATCAGATTTAAAATTCACCGCAAATTTTTTGTCACAGGTTTGTCTAGCATGACAAGAACATCAAGCGGAACCGTCTGTATTAAATCTAACACGCACGGGTATTTGAAATCGAGATTTTTTGAATTTGCAGTTTGCATTTTCGAATATTTGCTATGAGCTTGTGTCACTTTAAAATCGTCGGAGCTTTCAATATCTAATGCCCCGAATATTTTTCTTTCGATTTCCTCCCCTTCCCCTTTTTTTTCCGCCCGGAAATTCTCTCGGATACCACCTATCTGTGGCATGTCGGACACGAACCGACTAAAACCGCACGCCGTCTCGGGTACTATTAGCCGGGGAACCAGGTATACCCTAGAAAGGAAGTCCCTGGTGCCCCGACATACCTCGGGCCATCTACAGACGAGTAGACGACCCCCCCCCCCGTGTGGGAACCCCATGTTACCTCTGCTCCCTGGAAGCGAGCGCGGTTCGCAACGCGCTCGCCGCCACCCCGGCCTGCTTCTGCTAGGGTGACAGATGGCCTCACCTGTCACCCCCAGGCCTGCGCTTATGGAGGACGGAGGTCGTTCTGCGACCTCCGGCGCCTGAGTCGCCTGCGGTACCTGGCCCGTTCCCGGGCCTGGTTCTAAGTTCTAAAGTTCTAAACCTCTCCCGGTCCCGCTCCGCCGTCTCCTTCGCGAGCATAACATGCTCGCAGAAAGAGACGGCAGAACTAAACGTAACAGAATAACTTTTATTCATTCTGTTACCTAATCCTTCAAATGCAATAGCTCCCCATTATCCCCCACAATAAATCCCCATTTAGCATCATGGGCTCACTACTAAAAACTTGTTGGCATATAAAATGATAGCTAAAACTATGTATTATATGCGTACTATAAACGTAGCTATAAACTAATTTTTATAAGAAACCGTCTCTTTAAAGATTAATGTGAAATCTTTTTATGTTCTATAAAAAGATGTACAAAACAAAGTAATCGATGACTAAAATCTAAATTAAATTTGCACATAAACAAATGTATTTAAATGAATGCAAAGAGTTACTTATAACTTTCGTTTCGTTATACGTACATATTTTAATAAGTTTTAAGCGTTATTTGTAGAAAAAATCTTATTATTTTAAGTGCCTGCTTTACATTCATAATTACATTAAAAAAATACAAAAGAACCGGTGTAGAGTTTTTCTTTTACTAATAATTTATTTAGAAATGTAACGATCAAAAAATTTGGAAATAATTTGATCGTTTAAAATATATGTCCGCTACATAGTCACGGTGTATTTATTATTATGTATTCTACATAATAATAAATACACCGTGTAACTCTCGCTAACTCTAACGGTTGTAGGCATTGAACTAATATTACTTACGTAGTACATTATAAGTCAGTGGTTGAAGGCTCATTTCTAACAAAGTGACTATTAACATACAAGGTTATTATTATATGATTACTAGTGTATCACTTAGGCTTATCAACTGGGCAAAGTACTCCATAGTAAAATCTTTATATTATATACATATATTATATTCTGTCTGTCATCCCTGTGTCTTCTCAGAATTCTGAAATACTTTCGCAACATCGCGAGAAAAGATGGCAATGATCTTGAAATATTAGTTAGACAAGAATGGTTGAAGAAAAAAGA